CCTGCCCCACAGTCACCCTAGGCCTAGTGGGAAGCGTTTACCACAGGGCCTGGCACATGGTGTTCGCTACAATGGCACAAGTCACCGATACTGCCCTGCACAGCTCCTCCTTCTGAAAAGGCCATGGGCGTGAGCCTCTGAGAAGCCACAGGGCTGCCCACCCAGGGCCAAGGGAAATCAGCCACTAGGGCTCCAGGATGAGGTCCAGAGCAGACACATCTGGGAAAGCTTCCCCGTTGGTCCCGTGTATTCCATCTCCATCTCCGGTTCTGCTCCCCCGTCTCTAGTTCCCATAATAACAATAAGATAACATTCCAAGCCACTCACGTTGCAGGCCCTACTGCCAAACGCTGTGACTACAAACTTCCATCAGTCTGTTCCCAACAGCTGCTTAAAGCTGGTTCTTTGCTGTTCACATAGCAAAAACCAGATATTAATTCTCATAACTGAAAAGACAGGGATAGACCGACTTCAGGTAGACCCAGGTGCTCAGAAGATATTATCAGAAATCTCCATCTGCATTTACCGACAGCCACACTACTCTCATGGTGACAAGACGACCAAGAGTCATTGTAGCTACTAGCTTAGCCACCACCTTAGTGACCAAGAATGTTTCTCCTAATAACAGAAATCACGTTGACAGCTCTGATTGGCTGGCTTCTAGTAACGTGTTCCTCCTAAACCAATAGGCCCTTGCCTGGGTAGGACAGAGAAATACACCCACTCTTGGAACCAGGAAAGGGGATCCTTTCTGTGGGACTCACTGGGAGCAGAGAGGGGAAAGGCAGATCCCAAAATGAAGGTCAAAAAGACAGCTGCTGGCTATAGAATCCGTGACCTCCACCCTGGGAGTGGGTACTGTTATCTCTATGTGGCTAAGGCCATTTTGCCACTCACCAACTCTTTTTCTTTTCTCTAACTATAGTCAGGATACATTTCCCAGCTTCCCTTGCAAGGCCATGTAACCCAAATGTAGCCAATGGGTTGAGAACTGGCTCTCATAAAAAGCAGGACTGGTGCATAATGTGCCCAGAACTGGCTTCTAAAAACCTCTGAGTCCCATCTCTGTGCTCTTTCTCCTTCATCTGTCTTGATACACTTAGAATGGTAACCTTGCATCCATCTTGAAGATATAAGCACAAAAGGGAAGGAACCCGGATCTTGGTATCACCACTCAACCAAGCTAGAGCATTTGTGCTTTATATCATTGAGAAATACACTTCTGCAATGCCCCAGTCCGTACACATTTTGGGGTGACTTTGTTAGGTTACCCTAACAATTACAGATGAACAAAGTAAGGGTCAGAGGGTGTAATGCTTTGTCCAATCTGAAAGAAGCAGGGCCTAGATTCAAAGCCCAGGTATTGCAGTCAGGCAAGGTGGTATATACCTATAATCCCAGCATTTAGGAGGCTGAGGCAGGAGAGTCCCATGAATTTAAGGCCAACCTGGGCTATCTAGTAAATTCAAAGCCAGCCTGGATTACACAGCAACACTCTGTCTCAAAAAACAAAAACCAAAGACAAACAAAACTATCCCTATAAATCGGGCATGGTGGCACACTCCTGTAATACCAGCACTCAGGAGGGTGAGGCAAGAGGATCATTGTGCGTTCGAGACCAGCCTGGGCTACAAAGTGTGCTCAAGACCAGCCTGAAGTGCATAGGGAGACCCTGCCTCAAAAAGGAAAAGCAAACAAACAAATTCCCATAACCAAAAATTGGTCTGGTTTCCTTTGCTCTCCTGCACGTCCACTTGAGAAGATGTGAATCAGGCCCTCTGACAAGGTCTGGTCCACACTCCATTGCCTTCGAGATACAATCCTGGCCCGGCGTTTAGAGTCAGGAGTCTGCTTGGCTCAGCTCACCTGCCTAGGGCTGAGCTGCTCAGGAGTCCTGACTTCCCCTGTCTACTGGGGGGAACCAAGGGCATCCTGGTAGCTGAAGCTGCCTCCCAGAGATCCGGACACAAGACGGTGCTCTTCTGAATTTTAAGATAGGGTCATGCTAAATTACCCAGGTTGGCCTTGAATCTGTAATTCTACCTCAGCCTGGAATGCTGGGCTTACAAGCCTGTGCCACCTTGCCCAGCTAGGACAGTGCTTCAGCCTTTCTTCTGGAGTTCCAGACCCTTCCACCTTCTCCATGGCCTCCCACCTTGGCCTGATGCCCTTCCCAACCCAATCTCTGAAGTCAGAAGCTTGGGGGTCAGCTCTGACTCTTCGGTCCCCTCTCTCCTGACTCGAACCCGTTATCAAGGCCTGTGTGTGGTAGCCCCAGCTCTGCTTTGGACTGATCTCTTCACCTTCTTGGGGACAAATGCAGGCTTTTTTCCTTCTGTTCTTCCCTCCTACACTTTCTTCACACCAGCATCCTCAAGAGACTTTTCTAGAAGGAAAATCTGATCCTATCTTTGCACAGCTTAGCCAGCCATGTGATCCGGATTCTTTGTGTCAGAGCCTGGGCTCTCTGAAGTACCCTCCAATCCTTGTGCTCCTGCTTTTTTTTTTTTTTTTAAATCGGTATCCGGGATCGAATTCATGACTGCCTGCTTGCAAGGAAGGTGCTTATGCTACTGAGCTAAATCCCCAGCCCGTTGCTCCTGCTTCCTATGACCCAGGCACGCTGAGGGACTCAATTACTGCGCTCACCTGACTCCGAATTCCCACCTTCAACTCAGGCTGCTTTTCACTGACTGTAACTCCCTCTGCTCCAAGTGTCTGCTACCCGCCGCTCCAGGGATTCGCTCTGCCACCATCTATCCTGTGGGAGTCAGGAAGAGCCGGTAGGCTGGTACCTGGGTCCACAGCAGCTGGGGAGTGGGGAGGATGGACCTGACCTTTGGACAGGCTACCTTTGACTAGAGCCCTGACTGCCAGCTGGGTCTATCCAGAGGCCATGGTGGGGACACACAAGTGACCGAGAAGGAGGACCAGCACCCCTGCTCTGTAGTCCAAGCAGCCCACCTGGGTGGAAACTCAGCCCCCATGGTAAACCAGAGGGACAAAGTTTAGCAAGAGGAAGAGAGGAAGACAGTTAATTTGTAAAGAAAGTGTGAGTGTTGGGGAGATCACTGCCCTGATAAGAATCAGGGAGGGGCTCCAGAAAGATGGAAGACCCCTGGGCCCTTTGTTCTCAGAGGTTTTCACAGAGGGGTGAGTGACTCTTTCCCCTCTACCTGGAACTTGCATAGCTGGATTGACTTCTGGGCATCTGTGCCCCATGTCATTTGGTATCCCCCGTTTTATTGGAGGTGGGGCACTCCCCTTCCATTTTTTCCTATTTACAGACCGCTGTCCCTACAAGATGACTGTGTGGGATCCGGTGGGGGTCTGCAGGTGGCAGGGCAGGTGGGCCTGCCGACAGGTGTGGCAGCGGGGAGCTGCAGTTGCTAGCATCTGTTTGCCCTGCCATCGTGGCTTGGAGCCCAGGGTGGGGTGGGCTGGAGAAAGGAAACAAAGGGCGGGCAGCCAGAGCAAACAATCAGGACTCCTGGCCCTACCTTCCAGCAAGCGCCAGCTCATAGCTGAGGGTGGGGCGGAGTGAGAGAGTTGGGGTTAAGGTCCTAGGGATGGCAGAGGGGTCAGACTGCAGGCTGTTTGGAGGGGATGGGGTACCCAAGCTCTCCAGAGCCTAGGGCTGCCTGTCCTGGGAAGATAGGTCTCCAGTGGGTAGCTATTGGACTCTGTCCCTAGCCAGCCAGAGTCCAATAGCCTCTGTCCCCATCTATCATTTTTATAGCTGCTTAGGGATGTGGTGGGGACTGTTTTTGCCAACTGTAAGTGGTGGGAGGGAAGGCACAGGATGGAGATATCTGCAGATATTGGATCTGAGGTTTAAAATGTTAGATTAGGCTGAGTATGGTGGTGCACAGCTAGTCTCAGCTACACAGGAGGCTGAGTCAGGAGGATTGCACTAGCCTGTGCAATTTAGTGACTTAGCAAGACCATTCCTTAAAAGCAAGCAAGCAAGCAAGCAAACAAACAAACAAACAAAAACCCAAATAAATAAGGCTAGAGATGTAGCTCTGTGAAGGTCCTGTGAAGGTTAATCTCCAGTCCCCCTTCCTCCATAAAAAGGAGAAGGGGAATGTGGGCTAGCCAGTCCCCACTGAGTGTCTCTGGACTCTAGAGATGACAAAGAGAAGACACAGAGCAGGAGGAGCCCAGTCCAACCCCCAGAGTAAGAAGCCAAAACCAGGGCGCATCCAGACAATGCTGGAAGCTGAAGTTGCAGGAGTCTCTAGAGGGTGCAGCCCCCCATGACCCCCAGCAGCCTTGGTCATCCCAGAGGCTGCCGCTCTGGGGAGCTGAAGGGTTCCCCATCCTCTCTCGGCTGGCCCGGTCATTCCTCGGAAGGATCCTACGCAGAAACCACCACCCCGCCTTTCAAGAGTCTCTAGGGAGCACCGCCCTCACCCGCGGCCACATTTCCTGCCACAAAGCGCGGGCGTGGAGTCCCAAGTCACAAGCTCGATGTCCTTTACCTTCTGTGTATGGGTTCATTGCTAGAGGCTGGTGTTGTCTGAGGAAGCAAGTAGCGCTGGGCCTCTGGGACACGATAAAGGCAGCGCACAGCTCGCAGGAGCCAAGCATCAGGTGTCTGCTCCGGAGCAGCCCTGCGTGTCTGGAGGCTTCTGGTGCCTCGGGATCCAGGGTCGCACTGCGCAGAAGTGGAGCTGGGGACCAGGACGCCCCCTCTGTGGACCGTTCCATTTTGCAGTTCTCCCACACCCCAGGAGAACGGCGAGCCCCGCGCTAGGCAGCACCCCGGCTCGGGGGACAGAGGCCAAGACCCAGCCCGCTCCCGCCCCGCGCCCGGCCTCCGGCCCGCGTGCTCTGCCCCGCCTCAGTGCGGCCCTCCGTAGAATGGGCCGGCGGGCAGGCGAGCGCCCCGGGGCGCGCCGGGGCGGGGCGCCGGGGTCCAGGGGGCCGGAAGGGAGCGAGTGCGGGGCGGGCCCTCGGCGCCCCGCCCCGCCCCGGGCAGGAGCCCCGGGTGCTGCATCCTGGCGCGGCCCTGGGCGCCGCCGCCACTGCCGTCGGGGAGGTCCCAGCGCGGACATGTCCTCGCGCGCCGCCCTCCCGGGCTCCGGCCACCGGCGCCCCGCGCAGTAGCCCCGCAGAGGCGGCCTGGACGGCGCGGACAGCGGCGGGCGGGCGGCATGGAGGAGGCGCACCTGCTCCCGGCCGCCGACGTGCTGCGCCGCTTCTCGGTGACCGCCGAGGGCGGCCTCAGCCCCGAGCAGGTGACCAGCGCGCGGGAGCGTCACGGCCCCAACGGTGAGCGCGCGGCCCGGCCGGCGGGGCGCGTCCCTGCCCGCCCCCGCGGTCCTGTCCTCCGGCTGCGCCCCTGCCTGCGCGCGGCAGGAAGCGAGGGCTCCGGAAGCCTCTGCGGATGCTCGGGTCGGCGGAGCTGCGCAGCCACCTTCGCGGGGGCTGGGGCGGGTTCCGCCTTGAGGACCGGACGTGTCTTGGCGCCCCCCTCCCCGGCCCCGTAGCTTCGACCTTTCGGGTTTCCCCCTCCACGCGGGTCCCCATCCACTCCTGAAAACTTAGCCTAAGCCCTGGGCGGCTGCGCTTGATCCCCAGGCCGTGCTGAGGGGACCCCCCACCCCGTCCTCAGATAGAGCAGGTGCAGATGCTGGGAGCCCAGGGACAGGGACGGGCCAAGCCATTCCGAGGCTGAGCCTCGCAGCTGGCCCTGGGGGAGGGAAGAGCCTCCCCCAAGGTGCAATAAAACGCCCTGGAGGTGCAGAAAGTCAGCTGGCAGCCTGGGTGCCCCCACCCCACCCCCACCTCAGGTCTTCCTCTTTCTGCTACTCAAGCGGATGTCGGATGTCGGATGTCGCTGGCGGGGGAGTCCCTGGAGGCTTTGACCTGCTGAGGCCTGAGACCCACTTTCCTGGGCCAGCAGATTCGTGGCCTCAGGGGTTGTTCTCTGACCGGGTGACCTGAAGTGACCCCTGCTCATCTGTGGGCATTGAGGGAAACTTTCAGCACTTGCAGTTTGCGTGGGAGGGGTGTCGTTTCTTCCTCACCTCCTTCAAAGGAGTGTGGGGTTCCTCTCTCTGCCTAGCTCCTTGGACGTAGTACACTGGGAGGCTCCTGAGGGTGAAAGATGTCCAAGTCCCCCCGCCTGTCCTTTCCAGGCAGGACCTGCTGCCCCTCCCCTTCCTCAGCCCCTAGCACCTGTCAGAGTGTGAAAGGCTGAGAGAGAGACAGAGAGAGAGAGAGAGAGAGAGAGAGAGAGAAAGAGAGAGAGAGAGAGAGACACGCACACGCACACACACAAACGGCCTCTATCCCTGTAGTGCAGTCTGGGCCTGTGTCCTTCTGGGACTAGGAGGCCTCGCTCTCCGGAGGTTCCCACCAGCCACAGGGGAAGGAGCTGTGGCCTGGGTGTCCCTCTGTTCAGGGCTGGCTCAGATATTACGAATTGCTGTCAGAAAGGGTGCTTTGGGTTTTGTATTGGTTTATGAAAACCACTTCTTATATAAATATTATCTTTCTGGAGCAGAAGTCCTTTTTCAAAAAAATTAGTTGCTATATTTAGTTGAATTGTGGGAGGAACTGGGGAGATAAACATTATTTAATATCTCCCATTAATGACTTGGCAGGGAGAGTGTCCTTTACTGCATGAGAGCAGGGCCAGGGCCTGGGCCTGGGGTGGGCTGGGGTGGGCTAGGGTGGGGTCTGGCAGGCAGGCCTGGGGTCCCATAGCCTCTTTGGAGCTGCTGAAGCCCCCAGCCTTGGAATCTGGATTCCCCAGGGAAGCTGGAAACCCTGTGCATGGTGTCCTTCCCAGAATCACAGATTCTGTTCCTGTACGCCAGGGTCCCTCTCCTTTTTGGCTCTCGCATCTTCATCTGTCCGGCAGAGGAGGTGCTGACAGGCAGTGGTGAAGCCCCTGGTCTCCTGGCCTCATGTGGTTTTATCTCAGTGAAAAATCTTTGGGTGACCTGGCCCTGAACACCCTCGAGAGGTGACAAGGGAAATGTGGGCTTGGCGTGGTTGTAGGTCCCCAGGCAGGGAAACGTGTGCAGATGCAATAGGAAAAGTGGGAAGGGGAAACATTGCTGGGTTCCGTGGTTCCTCAGTGCTTTGATAATATTTATATTGAAAACTTGTGTTCATTGAGAACCTACTGTGTGCCAGGCACTGTTCAACTGTTATCTCATGTTTTTCCCCAAACAGCTGTTGTCACCCCCATTTTATAGAGGGAAAAACTGAGGCACTAAAAGTTAAACAGTTTAGTGAGGACCATCACAGTGAGTGGTTAAGTTTGCATGAGCTGTCTACCCCTCCCTGGCCTTCGTTTCCCCATCTGTGTACGAGGGTCACAGGTTCTACAGGCTCATGCACGCACTGGTTTTGAGGCCTGTGCTAGATGTTAAGGTCAGCTGGGCAGCAGCTCTTCCAGCTTTGTCCCCAGGTCTCAGAGGGCCCCTGAGGACTCTTTTATCACGTCACTGTTGGGCTTCTTTCTCAGGAAGTGTCCTGTCCTAGGGCTCTGGAAGTTGTCAGGTGAGCAGAGAGAAGCCAACTGCTCCTTCCTGTCACCCTCCCCCTTCCCCCTTGTGCAGTCCTGGCCAGCGGAGGAGGCCTGGGTCCTGTCCTCTGGTGTCTACTGGCACAGCCTCTGGGATGGGCCTGTGGCTCTGGCCCTCCACCGCTGGGCAGCCCTGGACAAGCCTTGGATTCCTTGTTGTAAGTGAGCAGGCTACAACAGAACTTGCTGCTCAGGGTTGCTTGTCGTGTTTAGTGCGATGGCTTACATCAAGCCTAGGTCTGTTAGCAGAGGAGGTTGGGGCTGAGGTGCTCAGGGCTAGAAGCTGAATGGTAGGGTGGGTGGGGTCTGTGGGTGCAGGGAACACCCCAGGGACTAGTGTCCCCACCCTGGCTCTGTGCACCTGCAAGGTCATTAGTGCTGAAACCACAAGGAAGTCATTTGCTTAAGTCTTAAGTTTGTAAATTCTGCCAGAGGTGGGAGCGGGTGGGCTGAGTTCTCACCCAGATCCTTCCTCTCTTCCTCCCTCCTCCTCCTCCCAGAGGGAGAAGCCTCAGTGGTAAGGCTGGGAGCCCCGGCAGTGCAGCAGTGGGGATGCCAGCCAGGAATCCCCTGTGCACACAAAACACCATCTGGCCACACCTCGAATGCTAGGCCAGTGCTTAGGCCAGTGCTTGGGGACTGAGCCACAGCCCGCCTGAAGCTCCTGCTTTGCATAGAAGGCAGTGTTGTGCTCTACTGTCCACCTGCCTGGTGTCCCCGCGGCCAGGTCTACAAGGAGCAGCTTTGGGTGGAAATTCCTGATGGCTACAGAGCTTCACTGTGGGCCTGTTCCAATGTTTCTTCCCACTTATGATGGCCGTGTGGGTTGTTCACAGCTTCTGCTGTCAACTCTCAGCATTACAGGGACGGCCTTGTCCCCTCCTCTTGTCACACGCCTGAGAGGAGTACTGAAAGATGCATCCCTAGATGCATGTGTCCAGAGTGTGTGTGCCAGCAGTCCTGACAGCTGTTGCTAAATTTCCATAAGGTTGGACTGACTGGCTGTCCATCTCCCCCTGCCTGGCCAGCAGTGGAAAGGCTGCCTTTGGTTGGTGCCACTGTGCTACCAAAGTGCCCTCTCGTAGATTTCACTTTGCATCTTTCTGTTTTTAGGTCAAGTTAGGCATCTTTTCGTATGTGTAGGAGCCGTCTGATTTCCAGTGTGTCTGTAAGTCAGCTACTCATGTCCTTTGCTGGACCAGGAAAGGGAGCTGAAGTTGGAGAGCCCAGGGTGGGGGTCAGGGGAGACCCCAGGAAGGCTTAGGCAGACTCTGTTGGCAGAGCTTGTGGAACAGCAGTGTGAGCCCTGGACACTGCCTTCCTGGGCCTCAGGATGCTCACCTGCAATGGATATGGTAGCTCCAGGGTGCCCAGGTGGGATAGGTAGCCTGGGTTTGTGGTCCCATGGCTTGACTGTGGTCTTCTTTCCTGCCTGCAGCCCAGCACCCATTGCCACTGGGCGTGGGAAACCCATATGTGTGCCACCTGGAAACCAGGCTAAGAGGAGTGAGGTGAATGGGGGAGAGGAAATTGGAGTGGCCCCGCTCTCTGGGTGGTGTCAGACTGACTGGTCCCTCGTTGGCTTCAAGGCCTCCTCGGTGTATCACAGATGGGCCCTGAGGTCCCTGTTTCTGAACCTGACTCATGTGGGAGAAGGTGTGGTTCACTGGGAAGGTTAAGGTCTTTCAGCCTTTGCTCTGGTTTTCGCATCTACTGGGTCTTGCTGGGCCCCCAGGAATAGCATCGAGCTTGCCCCAGCTGGACCCCCTCATCCCAGGCAGGGCCAGATCTGCCCGCACTGTGGCAAGACCCACAGATGCTGAGCAGACTTTTCACCTAGTATGCCAGGAAGCTCAAGTGGGCCGGTGGGTCCCTCTGCAGAGGGGCGGCCACTTCTCAAGGCCCCTCCGTGGTCCTAAGTGGGACAGAGCCAGGTTGTTCACTCAAGGTGGACCCTGGAGACCAAGGCAGGGCCAGGTGGGCTGGGCGGGTTCTGCCCAGCCAGGGCCTCTCCCTGGCTCCACAAATGACAATGTAATTGCTCTGTAAATTTACCTTGGAGGAAGACCTTGGTGACTGCTGCCTCTCTGGCTGGAACTGACATTTAGAAGTTGGAGTTCCAGTTTCCAAGGTTGAGAGGAGGAAGGAGTTCAAGAGGGTAAGAGGAGAAGGTGGTATAGGAGCCTGGAGGAGCCCTGGGGCAGTCCGGCCTGCCCCTTCTCTCTGGCTGCAGGCGGAGGGCCCAGGGCTGCACAGACAATGGCAGGGATGGCACGTTGTGGACCCAGCACGATGTGGATCCAGCGATGGCTCAGCCCCTCCCTGTCTGGAGATGCTCCTGTCTGGTAGCTGGCAGGCCCCAGTACTGGTGACTGCTCAGAGGAGGAAGTCTTCCTGGAAGGGTGGGGTGCAGATGAAGAGATAGGAAAAGGTTCTGTGAGCATAACGAATGACACAAGCAAAATACTGACTGGGAGCAGAGAGCACAGGGCCAGTTGCACAGGGAAGTGATGTCAGTCTTGAGGTGTCTTGCTTGGTGGGGAGGGGGACCCAACATGGGGATGTGACTCTGGGGTGGATTTAGGAAACCCCAATGGCTGTCATGCTAAGCTGATTGTTTTTTTGTTGTCTGAGAACAGCCGCTTAAGACACTAGTGTGCCCGTGTGCCTGGCACCGTGCCTGGTGCCAGAGATGCTGCACTGAGCAGTCTGAAGCTCAGGGCTCTGTATCAGTTACTGTGGGGAAGCATGGGCCACGCTTCTGGCACTTATGCACGTCACGCAGTGGGTAACAGCACCCTCAGGAGGAGGCAGTATTACTGCGCCCTTTGTGCAGATGGGGAAGCACACCAGGGGTGTGGTGGGTGGCTTGTGGCCATGGCATGAGAGACAGAGATAGCACAGGATTTGACTGAGGCCCTCTGGACCAGATTCCTTGTCTCAGAGTTTCTCTGACCATCACCCTTTGGGCCTGTAGGGTCCCCAGATTAATACCCAGGCTCCTCCAGGCCAGCCCCACCCTGGCCCACTCAGCCTGGCAGGGGTGAGTCAGGAGAGATCACCCTGTGAGAGACCCAAGCAAGAAGAGCAGGATTTGTCGAGGGACCCAGTTAGAGACCCGGAAGGAGCAGAGCCTTGTTACTGCCTTTGCTCCCTGTGGCCCAGCTGAGGGGGACAGCACTGAAGTGGCCATGACTTGGTGTCCTTCTTAGCAAGCAGGGCCTCTGGTACTGCTGAGGTTCCAGCGCCAACATTTTAGGGGGACTGCTCAGCTGCAGACGGGCAGCTGGGAACAGCACCAGGAAATGAGCATCTGCCGTGGATGGCTGAGGCGAACAGGCCAGGAGCTTTCCCAGCCCTGGGGTTCCCCTGTGGCTCTGAGACTTATTCATGTGCAAGGCAAGTTGGGGCCCTTGTGACCTTGGTAGAATCGACATTTGAAGCAGTCTGGGCCTGACTAGTCCCAGGAAGTCACGGCCTTCCCTGTACCCCAGCTCGATCCCCTAATTCCACCTGTGAGGACAGCACATCCATTTGGACAGGGTGATTTTTGGCTGGTAGCTCTGGGGCCACCACCAAGGACCAATCAGTGGGATGGAGGTACCAGCCCTATGGTCAGGACATGGGACACCAAGTCTTCAGGGAACCCTGGTTGGAAGGTAAAGGGATCAGAGGACAGAAGGCAGGGAGCTTTAGCTCAGGGCCTGGAGCAGAGAGCACAGGGCCAGACCACTGGGCTCAGAGCTTCTTTGCCTCCTGGCTGTGCAGCTGTGACACAGCCACTCCAATCTCTGCGCTTGAGCTGTCTACTCTAAAATGGGCATAATAACTGTTCTCGTTCTGAGGTTGCTTGAGAATCATAGGGGTCGCGGGCCCAAGGAGTTAGGCGGGAGTCTGCCATGCAGTCAGGGCTCACCGCTGCCGTGTCACACCTGCTGTCTGACATCTTCTACGGCTTTCACTTTATGTTTGGTCACAACGTACAGAAGGCCCCTGTCGCACTGTGATGCAGTAGGTGGCTGTAAATGTGCTCCTGGTGCTGATGGTCACAGCAGCACATCCAGGTGGTGTTGTTTTTCTCCCATCCTCCTCGGGAGGCTCGGGACCCCTCAGGGAGTCTGCTGCTCCAGCAGGACTAGGACCACACCTGTGCCACCTGCCAGGATGGGCAGGGCCTCCGATGTGGCTACGTGGCCAGCTGAGCTCGCGCAGGTCACCTGGCAGGAGAGCCTCACAGTAAAACCTAGATCCAGGAGGAAGTGTGCTACCGCAGGAACCCCCAGAATGTGATGGTTGGCCGGGCGTGGTGGCACACACCTGACTTCCAGAACTGCCATGGGATAAGTGTGTTTGAAGTGAGGGGGAGTATTCTGAGGAGGATTAGTGGCAGCATGTCTTTTACTGTAATCAATTTTTAAAAGTTTAAATATCTATCATATTTTAAAATCATACCTCATAGTGAGGTTGTATTTACAAAAAAATCCAAACAACAGCAAAATTCCTCCGTGGCTTAAGAGACTAGAGATGCATTTCTTTTGTGCTGGGTGGCAGTGGCAGGTTGGTTATCTGGGGCTCTGTGCCTTCCTTGCTGTGGGATTCGGGGTGACAGGACAGACCCCACCTCACAGGCCACCAGAAGGTCAGAGTCCCCAGCTCTGTGCTGACCAGTGCGGCCAGCAGCAGCCGCCTCCCGTGGCTTTGTAAGCAGGGTGAACTACCTCAGCCATTCGCAGTGCCCTAAGTGCTCAGTAGCCACACATGACCAGTGGCAGCTGTACTGGACTGCACAGAGAGAAACCCTCTGCCAGCACAGAATGTTCTGCTAGACAGTGACCTAGAGAGTCCCACACCAAAAATTCAGCGCTCCAGCTGGGAACTAACACACATTCTCCTTTTGGAAACTCACAGGGGACTGAGAAGTACAAACTTTCTCTGTGACCATAGATGAGGAGAACCGGAAACGTTTGGGTGACCTCCAAAGAGTGGGTTCTGGGTCCACGAGGGCCGGGGAGCAGGAGAGGAGAGCAGGCCACCTGAGGCGGGCAGAAGGCATCTTGGAGAAATAAATAGCAGGTGGGACTGACAGATAAACTCTCCCCGTGGCCAGGAGTCTTGGAAAGTGAGGCTTTGAGGGGTCTTCTTGGGAGAACATGGAAGAAAGTGACTAGTATGTGCCCTGAAGTTTGCACCTTTCTGTCTTGAGGCTAAGGGATGACCACAGTGACCCTTTAAATGACCCTGCTCCCTTGGAGAAGTGGCCCAGAAAGTAGGCTTCCCACCCCCTCTGCCTTTCCTGTTCACTTCAGTTAAATAGATCAGAAGGGAAAAGTCTGTTTGATTTTAATCTCAATGCAGGACACTGGAGATTACATTTTCCACGGAAAATGTCAGCCGTTGCCTAAAATAGGACTTTAGAGAACATGCTAGAAAATGTATTTTTAGGTTACATGTTTTCCTCTTGGATTCCTGTGGTCCAGTGGGCTGCTTGATGCTGTCAGTGGTTCAGCTGCCACCTGCAGACCCCAGGCCTGCCAAACAGGTGGTCTGGGGAAGGCGTTCCCATGGGAACAATGTGTGTGTACCAAGAACAGGTGTGGGGCGAGGGCCTGCTCCCTGCTGTGGGGAGAAGGAAGAGGAGGGGGCTCCGTGGTGATGGTGGTGAGGCGGTCAGAGTGTGTGTCGCGAGCATACTCTGAGCGCCACTGATGTGCTGGCCTCTCAGTAGCAAAGAGCGAAAGGAGGCAGAATTCAGTTAAATGCAGGGGACCAGGTAGGGGCCCCAGCCCGGGAAGGGGACTTACAGTCTGTCCTCTGGGCCCACCGTTCGCCCCTGTGAAGCCCCACTTGGACAGCCGCTGTATGACCTTGCCCCAGCTGCTCGTCCCCTCACCCTCATTATAACCTGTGAGAAATCAGTCCTGAATCCCGCCCTGCCTTCCCTGTAGGCTCCTGGTAAGATGATAGATTTCAGGTAACTGAGGCACCTGACTCTGGCTGGTTAAAAAGGTGCGTCAGGAAATGGGAGAGATTAGAAAAGAGCTGGGTGAGGTGGTGCACGCTGTGGCCCATGGCCGGGAGGCTGGCGCAGGAGGATCGCTGTGAGTTTGGTGCCAGCCTGAGCTACGTAGAGAAACCCTGACTCAAAAAATAAAACAAAACAAAGACACAAAAGTATTAGCAGGTAAGGGGAGGCAGTGCTGGTGGTGTTTGGAAACTATATTCTTCAGATGTATGGGACTGAGCACACACAGGAGGGCAGAGGGTCTTCCCTGCGTGGGTCTGGAGGAGAGGATCTTGGAGAGGAGTGGGCTGTGGAAGGGGTCTCACTGTCTGGGATGCTGGCTGTGGGGGGGCTGTCCTGGGAGGCCTGGTAGGGTGGGACTCTTGGCTCAGTGCTGACCTTGTAAGTGGGCAAAGGAGATCCTAGCAAGATGTACTACGGTAAGAAGGGATCTTGCTGTGGGGGTACCTCTTCCACCTGAGGAAGGGCAGTGCAGGTGGCCATGAGGACTCTGCATGACCTTCAGTGTCCCCCACCCCACCTGTTTTCCTTCTCTGAAATAGAGGAAATGGGGCTGAAAGACCTGCCTCCAGCGCTGTCTCATCCTAGAGTGAAATGAGGCGCCCTAGGTCTCATTTAACCAGCATGGGGTGGGGTGGAGGGTGGAAGCATCTGGGCTCAAATCGTCCTTTCCATGACCTCAGCACTGGATCCGTCGTGTCATGGCGGGCTGGGTGGGCACTGTGGGAGAGGCTGCCAGACTCCTGCGAGACCCCACTGACACAGCCTGTGGTTTCTTGTCTCTTCATGCTCCTGTGCCAACTGGATCTTGCAGAGCTCCCAACTGAGGAAGGTGAGGCTGGCCAGGGAAGGCTGCTGGGCCGGGAACAACAACTATGGGCCTTTCATGGTCAGGGTGTGGTCCCCCTCCCCTTGCTGAGCCCCAAGGAGTCCCTGGAACTGCAAGGGGGGGGGGGGTTGGGAGGTCCCTGGAGCCAGCAACCTAGAGGGGAGGACTGGGACAGGGGCTTGAGCCTCACACACTGTCCTGCGCCTAGGCAAGTCCCTGTGGGAGCTGGTGCTGGAGCAGTTTGATAACCTCCTGGTGCGCATCCTGCTGCTGGCTGCCCTGGTCTCTTTTGTAAGTAGGGCCCGCATGCTGGGCAGCCTAGGAGGGAGGGCTGGGATCTGGGCAGTGCGTAGAGGCCAGACTGGGCCCCAGGGCTGCCATCCTCACCCATTCCCTGTCTCTTGCCTGCTTCGTCCTGCTCAGACTTCAGTTTCCCTTGCCTGATCTTGCTTCCATCAGCCCTGTGCTCTGGCTGTCAGAGGGAGCTTTCAGATCCCCAGATGTGACTCTGACTCCATCCACCCTAGAGCTTCTCAGCCTCAGCGCTGTGATGTCTGGGAGGTGGGTGGGAGGGGGCCTGACCCACGCATTGTGGGAAGTTTTGCAGCATGCCTGGTCTCTGCCCAACGGATGGCCATAGCTCTTCCCAGGTGTAGCAATCAAAGATGTCTTCAGACATTGCCAGGTACTGGGCGGGAGGCAAAACTGGCCCCAGCTGAGAGCCACTGCCTTGCCCACTTCTCGTGCTCCTCAGACTTCAGGGCTTTAACCTCCCGCAACCTCCCCTTGGCTGCTCTTCCCTAGTCCTACTGTCCAGATCCCTCCTGGGCCCTCAGGGCTGTGGCCCACAGTGCAGAGAGGTGAGCGAGATGGCTGTTTCTGATAGCTGAGCATCAGGGACCTTGGGTAACAGCTGGAAAGCCCCCAGGCTGTGCAAGACTCGTATCCTGGCCCCACCTCCAGCAGTGCATGGGGAGGAACAGCAGGGGTGCTGGCTGGGACCAGCTCTTCCCCTCAGTCCTGCCTGAGCCTCCTGGCCACTGTTCTTGAGGAAACCAGGCACTATTCCAAAAAAAAAAAAAAAAAAAAAAAAAAAAAAATCTATGCAGCTGCCTGAAATGGCAGAGCGGGAAGGGCGCTTGTACCCCTTACAGTGCAGATGGATGGTCATGGAGGAGAGCGACAAATACTCACCTGGGCCAAGCAGTGAACATGAGCCTTGACCCGGTCCACCCCCCAGACCTGGGCTGTGTGGCTTCAGTGACCTGGTCTGGATGGTGGACCAGGAGTATGAACAAACACCCTAACCACCTGGGCTTGTCAAACACAATACATGGGCCCACTTCAGGGGCTGGAACTCTGGAGGTCGGGACGGCCCCGGGGTTTGTGTTTCTCACAAGGTCCCAGGTTCTGCTGTGGCTGTTGGTCTGAAGAGCACACTTTGAGAATCACTGCTCTCGGCACGCAGTGAGGTCGCTGGTCCCACCCCCATGAGGGTTGGCCTGGGTGGTATGGGGCTGTGGTGATGACATGTGGGGGTTGAGTATCCTCTGCCAAGGTTTCCTCAGAAGAGTGACCCTCTCCAAGCCCAAGGCTCCCCTGGAGTGCCCCTTTCAAGCAGGGCAGCGGATCAGAGGTCAGTGTATAAAGGAAAAGGACCATAGCCTAACTGAACAGCTATGACCCTGCAGGTCCTGGCCTGGTTCGAGGAGGGTGAGGAGACCACAACAGCCTTTGTGGAGCCCTTGGTCATCATGCTGATCCTCGTGGCCAATGCAGTCGTGGGCGTGTGGCAGGTGGGAGGCTGTGGGGGTGGGCTGGGCTCTGGGGCCTTCCAGCACTCGCTATGACCTCCACCTGTAGACTGTTCTGCTTTGAGCTCCATTCTGAGTAGTGGCCTGCCGGGACAGCACTGACAGACCACCTGCCTGCCCCTGTTCTGCAGGAACGCAATGCTGAGAGTGCCATTGAAGCCTTGAAGGAGTATGAGCCTGAGATGGGCAAGGTGATCCGCTCAGACCGCAAGGGTGTGCAGAGGATCCGCGCCCGGGACATTGTTCCTGGGGACATTGTTGAAGTGGCAGGTATGCCGAGGCTCTTCCTCCTTTACCTGACACAGGGAGCCCACCCTGTTGTGCCTCCGTTCTGTAGGTGTCTGTGCAGGGGCTGGGGGGTGGAGGTAGCAGTCACATCCCTCCAGTGCCGTCCGTCTGAAATCTGGCTGGACAGATGTAGGGACTGTGGCCAGGGGGTAGGGGTCCACCTGAGGGATCAGAGCTGAGGCCCCTGCCTCCTACCCTTGGTTCCCGGGAGCCCTTCTGGCTTTCCTGGCGGGGCAGTGCGAGTGGCTCAGCCAAAGCCTTCTGCCTGTGCAGTAGGGGACAAGGTGCCTGCTGACCTCCGCCTCATCGAGATCAAGTCCACCACGTTACGAGTGGACCAATCCATCCTGACAGGTGAGTCCAGGGGCTGGGGCCAAGTGAGGAAGGGCTAGGGGATGGGGCGTGGCTTCGGTGGTCCTTATATCTGGTTTCCTACCAGGTGAATCTGTGTCTGTGACCAAGCACGAGGAGGCCATCCCAGACCCCAGAGCTGTGAACCAGGACAAGAAGAACATACTGTTTTCTGTAAGTGCTTGGGGTGCTCAAGGCCTCTGCCTGGACAGTGATAATAGAAATCACAACGTTCATATTAAACAAATTCCCCCAGGAAAGACCCTAGTCAGGTATCAGCAATACACACAAATTTGTAGTAATAGTAGCTTGTATTTAAGGAGGCCCTACGCCTGGCACTGTTCCAGGCCTTTTACAGTACAGGAATTTATCGCAACAAACCTCTGCAGTAAAGTTATCAGTGTCTTGTAATGTGTTTTTTCAGCAAGGAAACAGGCTCAGAGCGGTTAAGTAAATTCCCCAAGATCACATAGCCAGTGAGTGGCACAACTGGGAAGCGAACTCAGACTTCCAGGTTCCAGGGCTTTTCCTTCCTTGCTAGGATGTCCTGCCTTAACCTGGAGAGGGGCAGCGCTTGCTCTGGTCACCAACAGAAAGTGCTGTAGGGGGCACAGGATTAGAACATCAATGGAAGGACAGGGAGTGGGGCTCAGTGGTAGAGAACTCACCTGGCGATGAGGGGTGGGGGTGAGAGCAGAGTGGCTAGCAGGGGCAGGGGTGGGAATGGTCCATTTCTCAGAGAGAAAAACTGACTTCTAAGGTTGGGTCCCCTGGCTCTTCTCAGAGAGAGCAATGGGGTGCAGCTTGGATGGAGAGACCTGCCCATGTGGGCTCAGAGGAGCCGAGCAGGTTTTACAGATGCCCAGCAGCAGCCAGAAGCCAACGTGGAGCACTTGATGCCATAAGGAAGGGTAGGGCCAGTTGGCCCATGGCCCAGGGCACTTAGGTGTCAGGAAACTAGAAAGCCTCAAAGTGGGGAGAAATGAGAAGGAGATGCTTGTGAAGAGCTCATCCAGGAGAGACCTGCCGGGCACAGACGCACCCTGGCCAGGCTGCCTGGGCGTGGGGAAGGAGCGGTCACAGCTGTCAGCAGGATGCCAGGGGTGGTGTGACTGTTGCAGGCATCGCCTTGGCTGAGAGAGGCATACTGTCTAGGGCAGAGGAGAAGTGTCACCTCTTCTGTGCCTGGTCTGAATGGGTGCCAGGCCCAGGGCTATAGTGATGAGACGAATTTTTGCTCTCTTAGAGCTGACACTCTGTGGGATGATGGCTCTGACCCCGTAAGGGCAGAGTGATGCAGCCCTGGAAGTGCTAGTGACATGAAGGAACAGAAAGCCAAGAGAGGACAAGAGCCTTTCTCAGTCCTGCTAGAACTGGGGGTCTGGTCCTGAGCAGCCTTTCCCTTATCCTTCCTCTGCCCAGGGCACCAATATTGCATCAGGCAAAGCAGTGGGTGTGGTAGTGGCCACAGGTCTGCACACAGAGCTTGGCAAGATCCGCAGCCAGATGGCAGCCGTGGAGCCTGAACGGACGCCGCTGCAGCGCAAGCTGGATGAGTTTGGGTGCCAGCTGTCCCGTGCCATCTCTGTCATCTGTGTGGCCGTGTGGATCATCAACATTGGCCACTTTGCTGACCCAGCCCACGGGGGCTCCTGGCTCCGAGGTGCCATCTACTACTTTAAGATTGCTGTGGCCCTGGCCGTGGCTGCCATTCCCGAGGGCCTCCCAGCGGTCATTACCACATGCCTGGCTCTGGGTACACGGCGCATGGCCCGCAAGAACGCCATTGTGCGGAGCCTGCCGTCTGTGGAGACGCTGGGCTGCACCTCGGTCATCTGCTCTGACAAGACAGGCACGCTCACCACCAACCAGATGTCTGTCTGCAGGGTGAGTGGCTGCAACCCCTCGGGTCCTGCTGGAGTTGCTGAGTGACACCCGATAGCTTTCGGTGGGAGATGGAGGGGATCGCCTGGTCCCCCGCCAGGAAGCCGGTCCAGGGCTCCTGTGGCAGAGCAGACAACGCAGCTACACACACATCCCTGGGGCCGTGGGCAGGTGGCCGCCAGTCTGCGCACCTCATTCTCTTCTGCATCCTGAGCATAGAAGCTCTGCTGGTTACCTGAAAAGGACGCAGAAGGTCACATACAGCCCTGGTGTCTGAGCCAAGTGGGGCCAGGCCCCAGGTTCCATCCTTCTCCCCTGTGACTCTGTGTTGTCCATGCTTGTCACCAGATAGGCCAGCTCCAGTGACCTGGCAAGGGCCAGAGCAGGAATTATTCATTCCCTGGCACTCTATCGCACATCCCAGACCCGCTGTCCACATGTTCTAGGGATTCTGGGGCCGAGCGCTCCTCCTGGCCTTGCACAGGGCTGGGTGGGGAGAGGTGAAGGCTGGGGGTTTCCTGTCCTCTCCAGGTTCTGCATCACTCTGCTGCTATCCCCGTGCTGTACAGTTTGCCCACTGGGCCTTGAGAATCCAGACTCAGTATTCTGAGATCTCAAGACCCCACAGAAGCCTATCATGGCTATTCAAGGGACGCGACACTGGCAGACTTTATTACCTGCTGAGTCCCTGTAGGATTTGACTTAACAGTGTTCCATGGCTGAAATAAAGATCTGAACTGGGCTTGGTGGTGGCAGCCAGCTTGGGTAACTTTGTGAGAAAGCTGTCTTAAAATATAACTAAGGTTGGGGTTGTAGCTCAGTGGTAGAGTAACCCTCAGTTCAGTTTCCAGTACTGGGGGAATAATTTTGAAAAACAATGTGGAGGAGTTGTATGGGTGGACATGTGAATAGTGGACTGCATTTGTGGAAAGACTGTCCCTGGGAAATAGAGAGAATGGAAAGGGGGTGACATCACTGAGCACCCATGGGGCACTGGACTGGCCCCTGGCTTGAGAGTGTGCTGCATGGCTATTTCCAGAAGACAAGAACTCTCTCCCCAAACAGCTGGTTGCCAAGGAAATGGGCCGCTCAAGAGGGAGAGGTACTGTCCCGAAGTCTATAAATGCGGGCCAGGTGACCCAGCTGGACCTTTGAGCCAAGGGCTCACTCTGGAGTCTTCCTGGGTTGGAAGTATTGTCCCTCAGGGGAGAATGTGGGTTTTCTCCCTTAAGCCCAGGAAAGGAGAGCCAGCTGGACCATGAGCCAATTTCTACTCCTAATGGAGAAACTGAGGCTCAGTTATGTGGCCAGGGGTCACATAGTGAAGTGGCAGGAGCCCAGATTCCTGCTCAGCTCAGGGGCCCCTCAAGATAGCAGCTGCCCCCAGACACTGAAGAATTGGGCTGGGGATCACTCAGGAGAATGTAGCAAGTGCTAAGCCAGAGATGGACAGAGCATGGTGCCTGCTCAACCTGGACCTGGGACGCACTGCTTCCCTCTGATGGACCGGGGTTTATTCAGACTAGCAGCCCAAGAAGAAGGGCCTGGCCCACCTGAGCACAGCCCTGTACTCCCCAGATGTTCGTGGTTGCAGAAGCGGAAGCAGGCTCCTGTCGATTGCATGAGTTCACCATCTCGGGTACCACATACGCTCCAGAGGGCGAAGTGTAAGTGTTGGGTGAAGGTGGGCGCCGCCTGTGGGTGAACCTGGTCTTAAGGCTGGGCACCTCCTGAGGCAGGGCCAAGACCAGGGGCTGACAGCTCTGGCTGGCTTTGCAGGCGACAGGGAGAACAACCTGTGCGCTGTGGGCAGTTTGATGGACTGGTGGAGCTGGCGACCATCTGTGCCCTGTGCAATGACTCTGCTCTGGACTACAATGAGGTGGGCCCCGGTCCTATTCATGAGCTGCCCAGTTCTCAGGTGCTTAGGACACAGCCTATTTCCAGGCTCAGTGCTCCTAGTGCCATACCCCAAGAGCTCTGTCACCCCTGCATAACTCTGCTCCTCCCCTCCCCCTTTCCCAGCTGGCTTCAGACTCTTCCCTGGGGCTCTAAGGGGCTGATGGGCCAGAAATGCCTGGTTAAGAGACTTGGTGGTGCAAGAAGTTATAGAGGCAGGACAAGAGAGGGCCTGAAAGGAGAAGGCACAGCCCAGGAAAGGCCCAGTGTGTAAGAGCCAGATGTGATTTAGGTATTGGATACCATCTGCCTTAATTACTTTTTCATTGCTGAGACAAAATAGCTGACACCCACAAGTTAAAAGAGGAAAGATGTGTTTGGCTTACAGTTTATGGAAGTTTCAGTCCATAGTCGGCTGGCTCCGAGGTCTAGAGGCATTGTAGAAGGAAATGGCAGAAGAGAAACAGTTCCTAGCAGTACAGACAGGTGGCAGCAGCCTTTCTGTTTTCTCTTTTAATTCCATCTACTTTATAAGGCTATTGATCTCTGTCTTCAGTAAATCCATCCAACTACATCCAGAACTGTGCTAAAGCAACCAGTGGACCAATCCAGTGTCACACACCTGTGATCCAGTTCCTTTCAGAAGTCCCACCTATGAGTGCATGAGGCTTGGGCTGCATGTAGAAATACACCATAACACCACCCGTGTAGCTGAATAGGGAAGAGGGCATGCAAGATTTTCTGCTTGGGGCACCCTTAGCTAGACCACATCGATGCATGTGTCAGGCTGAGGGCAACAGAGAGTCACCGAAGGGTCTTGAGCAAGGGAGGGACAAAGGGAGCTGCTTGTGTTTATGAGGTCTCCCTAGGATGTGGTGTGGGCAGTAGCACAGAAAGGACAAGACAAGAGCTTGGGAGCCCTGTGTGGCCTTCAAGGCCGGAGAGATGCTTCTGAGTGCTGCCTGGACCTCAGGGAGAGGGGAGAGGGCATATGTCAGAGAGATTTAGGGGCTGAAGATTCTGAGACGTGGTTACCGGTTAGGTCAGAGAGAAGAGGTCAGGGCAGACCCTACTGCAGCTGTGCTGGCTGGACTCATCAGAACTGCAAACAGAGAGGAGGAGGTGTCCTGAGTGGTCCCCAGGAACAAGGGCCATAGGCAGCAATTGGTCATGTGGGCTGGCTGGGCACTGGCGGTCCTGAGCTATAGGATAGGGTGGAGGGATCTGGCAGGGAGAGAAGGTAGAGAGAAGGAGCAGGGCCTGGGCCACAGGTTAGAGGCCCACCAAAGGGAACCTGGCGATGGAGACTGAGGAGTGGACAGGAAGGGAGGGAGAGGGCAGGTGGAGCATGAGGCATTGACGTTGGGATTTGAGGGAGTGACAGGCAGGTCAGACACCACCCTTCCCCAGGCGGGCCAGGCTGGGGAGAGCTCTCAGGCCCGGACAAAGGAGGCTGCTCAAAATGTAGCTGAGGTCTCCAGGGGACGGGGGGGAGTGGGAGGTGGGAATAAACACGGCCTGCTCCCCACCACTCTGTCCTGCCAGGCCAAGGGCATCTACGAGAAGGTTGGGGAGGCCACAGAGACGGCACTGACTTGCCTGGTGGAGAAGATGAACGTGTTCGACATGGACCTGCAGGCCCTGTCCCGGGTGGAGCGAGCTGGTGCCTGCAATGCGGTGAGCTGGGTGGACCCCAGGTGGGTGACTGGGGCTCTTGGGCATTTGGAGAAGGGAGACAGAAAGCAGGACCTCAAACTCCTGGTGAGACTCCTGGTGCGTTGGGAAGTGGAGGAATGGTCAGGTGCTGGCAGCTTCTTGGAGAGGAAGCGGTTAGGGAGCTCGGGGGTCAGGGTTAGAGGAAATGCAGATACCAGTGCTCAGCAAGAGGCCTTTTATTTTTTTGTCTTTTTGAGACAGGGTCTCACCATGCAGCTCAGGCTGACCTTGGGCTCACTTTGTAGCCCAGGCTGGTCTCCAGAACTCAACATCCTCTTGCCTCAGCGTCCTGAGTGCTGGGTTTATAAGAGTGTGTCACCATGCCCGGCTTGAGAGGCTCCTCTTGAGGTCAGGTGGCTGACGAGAAGCAAGTGGGAGTCGCTGGATCTGTGTCTCCGCAGGTCATCAAGCAACTCATGAAGAAGGAGTTCACCCTCGAGTTCTCCCGGGACCGGAAGTCCATGTCAGTGTACTGCACACCCACTCGCCCTGACCCAAAGACCCAGGGCAGCAAGATGTTTGTGAAGGTGGAGACCTGTTACGTGGCCTGGGATTCCTGGGGTTACCCTGAGGTCTTGAGGGGACCTGGTCTCCAGGCCTCTGAAACATCAGAGGCTGAAGCCGTGGGGGGCTAAGGGAGGTGGGAAGCCCATTGTCAAAGCCCAGGTGCCAAGTGGGTGGTCAGTGACTCCTGGAGCCTGGCTGTGTGGTGGGGATGAACAGGGGACCAGGGACAGAGTCTGCCCCTGAGCGTGGTGCTAACTTGGCCTGGGGTCACCGCCTGGCTGTATCATCTGTGCTTCTTGGTGGACCTTAGTTTCCTCCACTTCAGGATCAAACAGAAAACTCTCAGAAGCACTTTTTGCCTCTGACTTGTGGTGTTGAAATGATTGGTGCCCACCCTTTGATACTCCAATGCTTTGGAAACTGAGTCCCAGAGAGAAAAGAGCAAGCTCCCATCCAGTCCTCTATCTGTTCATAGCACCTCTGGCTGCTTTCAACCTTGCAGTAGGGTCCACAGCCCTAACTTCTCCCACAGTGGAGGCTTTAACGCTGGTGAAGTGAATATTTTCCATACAGGGAGCTCAGCCACTTTGGAAAAGTTAGCATCTGGGTTGAGCTTTGAGGAGAGAGAAACTCCATGGATAAAGCATCTAAAATATTCCTAGGCTTGGGACAAGGTCCTAGGGGAGAGCCTGAGGCTGCCGGGGAGCCTGCCTACTCCCATGCCTTCCACCCTTCATGTGGCTGTGTTTGTGGCCCCACGGCAGGATTTGGCCTGCCTCCCTGTGATGGAGGCTCCTATAGAACTGGAGTCCCAGTGGCACCAGGTGGCAGGGCACAGGGGCTGCTGTTTTCAGCCCACCCTTAAGGGCCACAACAGGTAGGCTGGTGGAGGTACGGGACCACCCTGTGGGTGACTGTGACCTCACCTTGCCATTCCTTTTAGGTTTTCTCAGGGGAACCCAACCGGTTCCCACTCTGAGTTTTCCAAGAATGGTTCTGGTCTGTGCCTTGGCGGCCTTCCTGCATATCTGGGTCTGTTTCCTCAGCTGGGTAGGAGGGACGCCAGGTGCTGGCCAAGGGAGTCACCAGCCTGCTCCCCCACAGGGGGCTCCTGAGAGTGTGCTGGAGCGCTGCAGTTCAGTCCGAGTGGGGAGCCGGACAGCACCCCTGGACTCCACCTCCCGGGAACAAATCCTGGCAAAGATCCGAGATTGGGGCTCCGGCTCAGACACGCTGCGGTGCCTGGCGCTGGCCACCCGGGATGTGCCCCCGAGGAAGGAGGACATGCAGCTGGATGACTGTAGCAAGTTTGCACAGTACGAGGTGGGCTCCGGGAGCTGTGGGACTCTGCAGCGGCTGGTGAGGGCAGGGCGAGGGGCGCTCAGGCCCTGATCCCATCTGCCCTCCCCACAGACAGACCTGACCTTCGTGGGCTGTGTGGGGATGCTGGACCCACCCCGGCCTGAAGTGGCCGCCTGCATCGTGCGCTGCCACCGGGCAGGCATCCGTGTGGTCATGATCACAGGGGACAACAAGGGCACAGCTGTGGCTATCTGCCGCCGGCTTGGCATCTTCGAGGACTCTGAGGATGTGGCAGGCAAGGCCTACACGGGCCGAGAATTCGATGACCTCAGCCCCGAGCAGCAGCGCCACGCCTGCCTCACTGCCCGCTGCTTCGCCCGGGTGGAGCCCGCACACAAGTCCCGGATTGTGGAGTTCCTGCAGTCCTTTAACGAGATCACTGCCATGGTGAGGCCACAAGACAGGAGCCGGGAGGTGGCTGGCTTGATGAAGCTGTCACCTGGTTCTTGGCCTGCTCTGTGCTGACCTGGCCCGCCCTTGCCCTTGGCTTGATTTCTACCCCTGAGCTACATTTTAGCCCCTTGGCCTTCCCTTGAGTTGATTCCTCACGTTGAGCTCCACCCTGATATATATCAGGGTTCCAGTCCTTACCTGGACCTGGAGCTGGTCCCTGATGGTGACCTTGACCCCTGCCTACAGTACTTTTTGTTGGCCACTTTGCCCTTTTCTCCAGCTCCAACCTTGACTCCAGCTTGACTCTGATTTCCCTTCTGATGTAGACGGTAACCCCGACTGGATCCTGTGCTTTGGCTTGGCTTTCATCTTAGTCTGTGGTTTCAGTCTGGACCCTGACCTTCACCTTGACTCTCACACCTACCTGCCCCCCAACATGGGCTGTGGCTTTGACCCCGGCTTTCTCCCCAGCCTCTGTCTCATCTTGCGTTCCACATCTGCCTTGGGTTTCCTTCTCCCCTCATCACTGACCCCCACATCCCCTCCCCCTTGTCTTCTCTGGCCTTAGGCTTGCTCTTCTCCCCACGTTTGTCTGTCTGCACTCTTGGGGCTCGCCTTTAGCCCAGCCCAAGGTGCTGTCCACATCTCTGCTTCCTGGGGACTTTTCCTAACACCGGGTGGGCTGGGTGGAGGGTGCTGGCGGGTTGGTTTCGGGTTTAGGCGCGACCCTACCTGCCCTGGCCCACAGACTGGTGATGGAGTGAATGATGCACCAGCTCTGAAGAAAGCAGAGATTGGCATTGCCATGGGCTCGGGCACGGCTGTGGCCAAGTCAGCAGCAGAGATGGTGCTGTCTGACGACAACTTCGCCTCCATTGTCGCCGCGGTGGAAGAGGGCCGGGCTATCTACAACAACATGAAGCAGTTCATCCGCTACCTCATCTCCTCAAACGTCGGTGAAGTGGTCTGGTAAGGCCCTGCTCTCCCTCCCCCAGCCCTCTGCCGCAGCTCTGTGCCCCTGAGATGAGGTTGCAGGGACTGAGGGGCACATGGCTTGTGCTGACTGAGGCCTTCCAGGGTCCCATCTCAGCAAGGGCACAGGCGGGGACACCTCAGTATTCTCCAGAGACACTGACAGCCCATGGGTCCTAGACCACAGTGCACCCGGGTCCCTAAGGAGATGCCTCCTTGGGGCACCCTGCCAGCCGTGTCTGCTGCCCTCTTTCAGACACAGGATGAGAGGAGTCAGCCTCACCTTTGGGCAGTGGTGTGTGTGTGTGTGTGTGTGTGTGCACACGTGTGTGCGCATGCTACATGGACTTGATTGAGAGGTGTGTACATGTATGTTTATGTGTGATTGCAGACATCCCTGGGCATGGGCAGAGCCAGAGTCAGCTGTGTACACAACTGCCATCCCCGACAGAGATGCCCTGGGGAATGGCGAGCACGTGTATGCTAGACATGTGGGGACTGTGCACCTCCTCACACTGGGAAAGCGGGGAGGTGTTTGCTCATGTTTGTGGGGTTGTGTGGTGGGCCCTAGGTTTTCACATGCGTCTGATGCTTGGCTATTCACTGTTCGTGTGTCTCCTGCTCGGCCTAAAGGGCAGCTGTGTCTCGGTGCAGAGCTGGGGTGGGGGAAGCAGAGCTGTGTTCACACTCCCCACGCTCATGTGCCCATCATGCCTAGCAGAGGAGCAAGTGGCTCCCGTCCTGGGTTATCAGCATGAGCTGAACCCTCCGTTTGGTGGGGGCTGGCCTGCTGGGGGCTAGAGCCCGTGACTCTGGTTCTAGCATCTTCCTCACGGCAATTCTGGGCCTGCCCGAAGCCCTGATCCCCGTGCAGCTGCTCTGGGTGAACCTGGTGACAGATGGCTTACCTGCCACAGCCCTTGGCTTCAACCCCCCAGACCTGGATATCATGGAAAAGCTGCCCCGGAACCCTCGTGAGGCACTCATCAGTGGCTGGCTCCTCTTCCGATATCTGGCTATTGGAGGTGAGCAGGGTGCCAGCTCTCAATGGGGTCTCTGTGCTGTGGGCACCTGAGCTTCCTAAAAACCTGTACCAGTTAGGCTTGCAGTCAGCAGACAGTGCCACTCAGCTGGCTTATGCCAAAAGAAACTGAGGGTTTATGTAACCAGAGACTAGAAAAAATACCTCAGGTTTGGGCTAGACCTCACTATCACTGCCATGTTTTGGTTTTGCCTCAGCTCTGGTTTCTGATAGGCATCTCTTAGGTTGGCAAAACAGCTGCTGCAGCTCCAGCCCTTATGCTTACTCCATTACAACCCTAAATTCAATAGCAGAGATTCTTTTTTGGGCAAAAATCTCAATCTTGTTATCATTGACCCAAATTGGGTCACTTATCTCCCAGCCAGTCCCAGTGGCCAAGAGTGTAGCAGATGCTGAATGCCACTCTGGGTCGACACTGGCCCGGAGAGTAGGTATTTTTAAAATGCATGGCTTACAGAAGAAGAGGGTTGTTTCCAGATGGAAATCAGGGAACTATTAGGGAGGGGAAAGGGACGTCAGAAACCTCCACCACTCCTTCAGCCTTTCCTCCTCCCTCTTCAGTGTACGTGGGCCTGGCCACAGTGACTGCTGCCACCTGGTGGTTCCTGTATGATGCCGAGGGACCACGTGTCACCTTCTACCAGCTGGTGAGCCGTGGTGGCCTGCGGGTAGACCTGAGATGGAACTCACAGCTCAGGTTCTGGGGAGTTGTAGGGAAGAAGGGACCAGATTTCATGATTGGCCAGCACCCCCCCAACATCCCGCCCCACAAAGAGCCCAGCTTGGAAGACACTGGGGAGCCCATCAGGGTCAGAGACCAAGGAGCATAACCACCCTGAGATGCCCTCTTTATTGAGGGTCCCCAAGTCAGGCAGTACTTGGAGGAACAGTCCCCTAGATGGACTGGGAGGCCACCGAGAGCAGTGTAGCGAGTGTGGTATGAACAGCCTCATCCGAAGGGGCCCTGCTGGAAATCCGTGACGGACGCTGTGGCATCTCAGCATGTGCCCATGCACACGGGAGGACGTGTGCCGTGCCCAGGTGGAGTGCATGGTGTGTAGAGGTCTGGGAGGTGGCGCCTCCCCCAGTGGCATCTTAGTAGGTGGACTCAGTCCTTCTGGTGACTGGCAGGGTGGAGCCAGCTAGAGAAAGGAAGCAAGCATGGTGGGGCACTTCTGTAATCCCAGCACTTGGGAGGCTGAGGCAGGAGGATCGCTGTGAATTCCAGGGCAATGTAGGCTACACAGTGAGTTCAAGCCCAGCCTGAATGGCTCAGTGAGATCCTGCCTCAAAAAGCAGCACATAGATGAACAAGATGCCCTTGCTTTGTTAAAGTGAGAGCGCTGGCCCAGCCACAGTCCTTCATAACTTCCCTTCTGCCTGAGACAGAAGAGGAAGAGCCTCTTATCTGACCCCCACATCTGGCAGGGAACAATGTTGCACTTAGTGTCCTGTAGGGCGCTCAGCTGGCCGGTTTACAGGTTTCTCTCAGGGGATTATTTTCATAGCAAAGCCCTTCTTCCTAAACCCATAGTTTAGAAGATCTCTGTATCGACCTGTCTCCTGGGAACGGGTTTGCTCTTAGGGAGCTGAACGTCCTCACCCACGCCCACGATGCGAAAAGCACAGGGCAGAGGGGCTAGAGGTCCTCTTCGCATCTTATCAAGTACAGTGAGCAATAGGGGCAAGGCCCACTTCCTTCACGGAGTCACAGCGGTTTCTAGCTCATTACAGAGAAGCCTCCTGCTAAGGCTGTGCTCTGGTGCTTCCTCAGCACATGTCAGGAGCAAAATGCAGATCTGACAGCACTGGACTTCAGTGACGGAAAAGGAATTCATGTGAAAGGAATATGAATTATTTAAATAGCAGCAAAGAGCCAGGTGGGGTGGGCTCTGCTTATGCTACTTGGGAGACTTGAGGCCAGTCTGGGCAAGATGGATAGATAGATAGATGATGGATAGACAGACAGACAGACAGATAGATGGATAGATAGATAGATAGATAGATAGATGATGGGTAGATAGATAGATAGATAGATAGACAGATAGACAGATAGACAGACCAGTGAGCAGGGCACAGGTAATCTCCATCTTCTGCAGCACAGAAGTGAAGTCCATTCAAGCGTGATCTCTGCTTGACTTTCACACGCATTTACTTCTGTACTTACTGGTCTCAGTCAGTTAACAGCCCTACTTCCACACCTTGAGATCTGGGGGCTGCCCCTGTACCCACAGGTCTGGATGCTCCTCCAAATCCCAGGACCCCCTGCTAAGGTCAGCTGTCCTCCTCCTGAGCCGCTAGCCCCTTGCTCCTGGTCCAGGGCTCTAGGAAAGTTGGCCCTTTCTCCATGTGATCTTAAGCAGTGTGCGGTGCAGCCCACCAGCACTGTCCTGAGCAGCTCACTGCTCCCGGGCACCCTGGGCCCCCTGACAGGGCTGTCCCCACTGTTGTCCTCAGGTGTGGCAAGGGTGAGGGGTGCTTCCTTCTGCCAGCCCCTCTCTGACAGCTGCTCTCCCCACTCACCTGGCCCCCAGAGGAACTTCCTGAAATGCGCTGAAGACAACCCGCTCTTCACTGGAGTCGACTGTGAGGTCTTTGAATCCCGCTTCCCCACAACCATGGCCTTGTCTGTGCTCGTGACCATTGAAATGTGCAATGCCCTCAACAGGTGAGCTGGCAGTGGGCCCAGCCTGGGGTTGGAGGTGAGAACGGTCTGGGATTGGAGTCAGAGGCGCTTGGCATTGGGGGATCTGAAGGTCAGAGAGGTCTTAGGTTGGCTTAGATTTGGAGTCTGAGGGTCAGAAATCCAGAAAGTTTTCTCAGAATTGGTGGGGCAAGAATTGGAATCTAGGAGTTAACAGAAGCTGAGATTGGAGCTGGAGAAATGGAGGGACCAGGATTGGATATGAGGGACAGGAAAAGGGAGTCCAAGTCCCACCCCAGACCCTGGCGCACAGAGCGTGCAGGCAGGACGCCCCCAGCCCCACGGCCCTGAGAGCTGCCCAGCCTGGGGTGAGCACCTTGTGCCCTCACAGCGTCTCAGAGAACCAGTCGCTGCTGCGGATGCCGCCCTGGCTGAACCCCTGGCTGCTGGCAGCTGTGGCCATGTCCATGGCCCTGCACTTCCTCATCCTGCTCGTGCCGCCCCTGCCGGTGAGTTCACCCCTCCGCCCTCCCCTCTTCCAGGACCTGGGTGACAAGGACCAAACAGTCCCTGGATATTAGAGGCCTAGGGATGGCTGCTGGGCATTCTCAGGCCCTTCTGCAGTGGAGGCTGCCTGGAGGACAGGGAGATGAGCAGCCTGACTGGCCACCATCCTCCAGATGTATCCATACCTCCAGGAGCCCCTGGCTTGGGGGACAGAAGCCCTTGCTAAGGGAACTATTGCTGGGTACCCAGTGGGTAGGAGGCAGGACCAGAACTTTCCAAAGTGGAATCCTTCTACTTCCCAGCAGGGGAAGTGGGGCTGCATCCTGTGGGGTGGGGTGGGGTGGGGGAGCAGGTTTCTGGTGGAGGAATTCCAGCAGACAAAGATCTTCAAGGAGCATCTTAAAAGTGCTCACAGAGAACCGAGGATGTAACGGGTAGACTGCTGGAGGGTGGCCTGGCAGTCCCTTCTCTGACCACACCTCCCGTCCTGCTCTACCAGCTCATTTTCCAGGTGACCCCACTGAGTGGGCGCCAGTGGGTGGTGGTGCTGCAGATATCCCTGCCTGTCATCCTGCTTGACGAGGCCCTCAAGTACCTGTCTCGGAATCACGTGGACGGTGAGTAGAGGCCAGCACCTAGGTCCTGCCCTGCCGGCCTGCGCCCGCCTCCCTGCCTGCCTCTGCTCTCCGTGGGGTCACCACGCTGCTTGGAGCTTCCCTGTGTGCACAGTGGGAGAGGTTTCCTGGGACCACAGAGTGGAAGGCATGAAGGGACTCAGCTGGTTGTCACCTGAGGTGTCTAGGGCTATTTTGCTGCAAGGATCAGGGACTCACTGGGCAATGGGAACACTGCTTAATGCCATGCTGTCACCCTCCTCACCATCCCCAGACAGCCAGGAGGCCATACCCTGCCCGGCCCTGGCCTCTGACCCCTCTGCTGGCCTATATTTATCCAGGCATTCTCTGGAGAGCGCTGCAGGCCTGGAGGAGGCAACCGCCGACCACATCTCGGACCCCGGACCACACTGGATTGGCCTCTTTGGTGTCATCTTCTGGGTGGGTGTAAGGGTAGGGTCTGCTTCAGCCCAGGGGTGGAGGACAGAGTGATGAGGCCACAGGAGAACAGGCTGGACTCCCCAGAGAGGCCTAGGTTGGGTCAGGCAGCGGCTGAGGACGCTGTGGGAAGTTGGGTCTTTGGGGGCCACTTCTGCCAGGAATGTGACCCTGCCCCAGGGAAGTGGGGAGCCTATAAATAAATCACATGTCTGTCATTCCACAGGGGCCAAGGCAATCAATTGACCCCCATCCCCCATGCTAGCCAGTCCTGCTGGGCCCTGCAAAAATGTATCTTTTGAAAAGAACCAAAATGGATGGGCCTCCTCTTATTGGAGAGCTAGTCTCCCACGGTTCTGTCATGAGCTCACCCTGGTACTTAGCCAAAGCAGGGCCTGTTGGAGCCCAGGGGTGGGTCAGGGCAGCTCAACTAGGCTGTTCTGCTGCCCTCAGTGTCCACTCGTGATTCTTTGTATCTCCCTGTCTGTGGATACCCTGGGTAGATGCAGCCTGAACAAGTTAGAAGGGCTGCCTGGCTGGGACTGTAGTGTGGTCTGGAAGCTTTAAGGTGAAAGCAGAGGTTTGAAAGGACAGAAAGGATAGGTAGGGAGGAGGTGGGGGTGCCTGATGGGGCTGAGCTTGGAGTACTGGCAGAGGGTAGCCGGGTTCCTGATGCCTTTATTTTCTGGACAGCCGGGAGCCATAAAAGATGTGGGAGGGCCTGTGGCAACCACGGGAGATAAACTGGGGGAGAGGACACTGGAGACAGGCTGGAAAGGGGTGTGGAGCTGGCCTGCAGAGGAGACCAAGTCCTGGTCCAGGGTGAACTGGGCCCAGACAACGCTTCTGCCTCCAGCATTGGGGACTCTGTCCCCATAAAGTTTGACCTGGCTGTCGGGAATGGCTGTGGGGCTCCAGGAGGGACCTGCTGGTCACCTGAAGCTGTGTCGGAGAGGTGAGGTAGAGGGGCAAGCTTGCTGGAAGTCCAGATGGCTGTGCTCTGGTCAGTGGACAGCTCCCCTCCTCTGGGCCTCCTAAAGCTGGGCAGGGAGGGTGTGAAAGAGGAGACCCTTTACATTCCCAAGCCAGCTGATTGGCCTTTTAGGGAGGTCTAAGTGAGGTTCCATGTTTGTGGCCTCCCCATCGAAGTGTTCTCTGGCCCTACCCCTGTCTCTGCCCAGAGGTGGCTAAACAAATGTCGAGGGCCAGGCTGGGGGAGGGAAAGGCTGGAGCGGTGGAGCAGGGCCGATCTGGAAGGCTCTGGGGTATGAACTTCATTCTGAAGGCAGTGGTAGCCATAGGAGCGGGCAGTGGGGCTGGCATGATGCTGGCCACGGAAAGGTGGTGGTGAGGCCACAGGGCTGGGGGCTAAGGCAGGACCTCAGGGCTTGAGGCCTCCGGGTAGAGGGCCTGAGCAGGACAGAGGGTAACCTTGGGAGCTGAGATCAAGCCGGGGTGTACGGAATGGGAAGGAGGCAAAGAGGGTCTCTTCTGGACCTCCTGAGGGCTGGTTCTCCAACAGGAAGCCAAAAAGAGAATTCCTACCAGGGGGGGCGGGAGCTGTGGATGGAAATGGGTATGTAGGAGGCTTAGCAGCACACAGGGAGGACGTCCTGGCAGCAGCCCCGGAGGGCTGGGGTCTGGAAAGAGCAAGGCTGAGGAGCCAGGGCTGTTCCCGAGAGACGGGAAAGGACTGCAGATAGAGCCCACCTGAGTGTGTGCTCTCGCTCAGGCCTCTAAGATGCTCTTGGGTTTATCTTCCAGAAAGAAAGGACCAGAAGTGAGTGCCGGGAGCAGAGTGGAGTCTCCAGGGACAGCCTCACACTGATGGTGCCCAGGCTTTGCCCCTACTTCCCTGCCCTGCAGCTGCACCTGCGCCCTGCCACCGGGCCCTGCTTGAGCCCAGGACCGCCACCCCAGGCCCAGGCATGGGCTAGGGTGGGAGGTGTCCCTGTCCCACTCCCGTCTCAGCAGGAGGCTCTGTAGTCTGTGTCTCTTGGACCCCTCCTGAGAAGCTCTGGCTGGGGCGACTAAGAAGCCAGCGTGGGCACAGATACGGAGCCCCTCCCCCTGCACCCCGACACATCCTGGAGATGCACCCCTTGCTAAAGGCCGGGCATTTACTTGGTGATGGGACCTCCACACTGATGGAGGACTCCTGGGCCCTCGGGACTGACTCTGCCCTCTTGTCTAATGCCCGGTCTGGGGCCTGTTGGTGCCAGAGATGGGGACCCAAGGGACCATCTGGGCCCAGCCATGCACAGAAAGGCAGGTGGCCCCTCCACGCAGCTCTCTGCCCCTGCGGGCTGGAGCCTGTTTCTGTTTCTGTTTCTGTTTCTGTGTGCAGGCACCAGGGTGGAAGGACCAGGGAGGACACAAGGCGCCGAGAGCGGGGCTGGCAAGGACCCCTTTCCCAGGAGACACTGGGCTGCCTGCCTCAGCTTGGCTTACTTCCCCAACTCAGGTTTTCCTACCCTAAGCAAGCAGCCTAGTGTCGCCCAGTCTGCCAAGAGGAGGGACCTGTGCATGTCCGTGGTCCCCTAGATGGGGCACCCACATGTGCCTGCCCACTGTGCCCTCCTGAGTGTGACTGTCCCTGCACGTCTGGGTGCTTTGAGCCTCCCACTTTGTCCACCCCTCCTACTCACATACGCGTGCCCCAGCAGGATGTCAGGAAGGCTGTTACCCAGGGTACTTCCTGTTCCTCCCTGGGGCGGAGGGATTCAGAGCACTTCTGCATGCACGTGTCAGATGGTAGAAGATAACATTTGATGGACAGGGTTTTTGCTCCTTTGGCAAAAACTAGCTTCGTGCAGCAAAGAGCAGTGGCTGTGTGCCTCTGCCTTTCCCTGAGAGCATACAAAGTGATCATTTTATGTGTGAATTGAAACTCACATCCTTGTGCTGGTCCCCAGAATCAGAAGCCCCTTCAGCAGGCCTTGAAGACAAATGGGCTCCCCCTTGCAGAGTCCTCTCCCCCAGGCCTACCCCCCTTTGGGTTCTGGAAGGGCCATGAAAGAAACCGAGTCAGGAGAGTCGTACCTGTGTCAAGGCCCTGCACCCACCTGCTGCCATGCTGTCTTGTAGAGAAATAAAGGCTGTGTGTATGGGGCAGTGTTGTGCCACCTGCGTCTGTGTCCTGAGGTACGGGTCCTCTGCTGTCTGAGTGTCTACCTGGGCCTTGCCCACCCTACCCCCGTACTCCAGGAAGGCAAAGATCTGGGCTCTTCACATTGATTGCTGGGCTCTGTCTCTTCCTCTGAGACAAGGCTTTGACTGACTTTGGGGAGACCACATCCCAGTGGAAGGTACAGGACAGCTGACTCTCAGGGTCACTGGTGGCTGGAGTGCTCTGTTCCAAAGCCCATTAGGCCCTTAGTGGCTTGCACATCAGCTCTAAGGAAAGCAGGGCGGGGGTTCTTGGGGGAAGAGGTCTAGCATTTAACCTGGGACAAGGATGGCTGGACCAGGATCTTGAATCTCAAGAGAACCTGCACTGCAAAGAGGGCCCCCATCGCTGGCCCTGGCAATCTGTGGAGCCCAGGACTCCTCCAAGCTTTCTCTCTTGCTGTTTCCCTTCCCTTCATCCACCAGGATCCTGCCTACCACAGACCAAAGCCCAGCTCAGATGTGTGGCACCAGCCAACCTGGGGCTTCTCTTGGTCCACCGTAGTCCAGGAGCCTCTGCAAGGCCACTCACAATAAACTGACCTGCTCAGGTGGCCCTGCCTTCCTGGAAGCAGCTGTGGAAGAGATGAGCCGTGACCCTGATTTCTTCAGTCTGGCGAGAAGACACGTGAAGCCTTATATCTAGTCCTTTCCCAGCTGTCCTGAGAGGCAGACTCAGGTCTTGCCTACATGACCAGATGCAGGCCCAAACGGGATGCATAATTTTCAAGGCCCATTGTGAAATGAAGAATTACTGGTCTGAGTGCCAGACCTACTATTCATGGAGGTGTAGCTCACTGGTAGTGTTTGCCCTGTCTTTGATCTCTAACACAGCACACACACAAAATCACTAAGGATGACAGACAGTTGAGGTGGAACACTACTATAATCCCAGTACACAGGGAGGCTGAGGCAGGAGGATCGATTGCAAACTTGGACCTTGGCTTGTGCAATTTTGTACCTTAATGAGCGTCAAAGGTTAAGAAAAAGGCTGGGGATGTAAGCTCAGTATGGAGGCCCTGGGTTCAATCCCAAATACCATGAAAAAAATTAACAGTGACAGCAGAGCCTTAGGTCAAGCTCAGGGCCTCTCTGAGGGCTGGCGTGGTGTCTCTGCATAGGTGGCAATTCCACACAGCCAGCTGTGACACACACACAGACCCACCCTTAGGGCACAGGTTGTTTACAGAGGGGGACAGCAAGAGCCAGGTAGTCAGAAGGGTTCTCCTTAGCCATTGTGTACCATTTGCAGTGGTCACTTTTCACTCATCTCCCGGGGTCTCCATCCAGCCCTGTGTGATGGACCAGACAGTGGGAAGGATTCCCAGTGACATCTGAAGCACCCACGGCTCTCTCAGGGTCTGGCCCCCTGGCTTATCACAGCAGCCAGCAGGGCAGGGAGCTAGGATGGGTCAAGGAGACTTGTGTCAGAGGTGTGCCAGCACCACCCTCCCCTGTGGCCTCTTGGGTTCCCTGTCCAGGCCTGCTTCTCCTCCACCCCCCACCAGGCCTGCCCATGTCCAGCTCCGTCCAGCCCACATCATGGAATCCCCAGATCAGGCCAGAACAGGGCAGCCAAGGTAAACAGAGAAGTTTCCTCACCTCACAGGGCTCACCCAGGAGAGAATTCTGAGGCGGGCGCTGGCACACTCCTGTCTGGCTTGGGTGGCAGCTGCCAAAATGCCCCTACCCACTCCTCCTCACCCCAGCAGAGGCATGGTATCTGAGTTCCCAGCATGCTAGGAGAATGGAAGAGCAAAACTAGGCGCAGGAGGGGTGGAGAGGGGAATGCGCACCCAGCAACCTGAGTATCTGTAGTGGCTTTGCCGATACAGGCCCCCCAGGGGCCATCAGCAGATGGAGGCTGAACCATCTGTGGTATGTCCACCCACAGATTCTCCTCTATAATAAAGAGGAGCGAACTACTGACATGCAGGACAACACAGAGGAGGCTGGAAATCATTGTGCTGATTTTCTGGAAGAGACTAGACACGAAAACGGAGCTCACACTGTGTGATTCCACTTTTATGAAGTTCTAGAATAGGCGGCACAGTTTTTATCTTTCCCTCCCTTTTTAACGTAGGTTCCCACTGTGTAGTTCAGGCTGGCCTCAAATTTGCAGTCCTCCTGCCTTAGGGTCCCCCCAGTGCTGGCCACCACACCTGGCCAAAGCAAGGCAGTTCTGTCGTGAGAAGGCAGCTCAGTGATGGCCTGGGCTTGGAGCTGAGAAAGATGGAGGACAGCAAGTGGGCCAGGAGAGAACCCTCCAGGGTGACCGGACAGGTGGAGGGCGGCTGCATGCACTGTCAGAATTCATCAGCACTGCTTAAAATGGGAAGTCTTTTCTTTTCCCTCTTCTAACTTGTATTTTTGTTTTGAGACAGAGTCTTGCTATCATAGATGATTAAGTGGGACAGAGGTTAATGGGCAGGCAGAATGGGACAGGACCCTCGAGGGCTCAGTGCAGGTGAGACGCCTCACAATTGCGGCAGGAATGAACTGAAAGAGCCCTAAGCTTGCAGGCCTGCCTGGAGACCGGGCCAGTTTGAGGCTGTAATGAGTACCACCCGGCCCAGTGAGCCTAGATAAGGCTTGGGACAGACACCCTGACCCCCGTCTCCTCCACTTCCTTGAACCGGCTTTCATCGTTCTACCTGGAAGTTATAGACAGGCAGTTGACGTTGGTGTCACATGCTTGTTCCCTCACTGTGTGCTTTGCTGCTCTACTGAATCACTGTCAGCTGAGATACTATGCCTGGAACACTATATCCAGCTGAGACACCATATCCTGCAGGTTGATGATAACCTGTCCCACGGTCACCCAAATTGGTTCTGTGGATAAATCACCCCTGGGCACAGAGGCTTGGTGGCAACCCACTTTGAAGGCTCCTGTCTCTCAGGGCCTTTCTCTCCATAACCTCTTCCTACCTTAACCCCCTTGTCTTGGTAGCCATTCTTCGGTTCCTGAGAGACACTAGCAGGTTGGCTGTGACACTGTGGTACACTCAGGCTGGCCTTGTCAGCTTTGAGCCTGCAGCCAGCTGCTTTGGCCTTCCAAATGCTGGGATTGTGCCCCAGCATCTGTGTGTGTGTGTGTGTGTGTGTGTGTGTGTGTGTGTGGTAGATAGTGGGGGCCAAACCCAGAGATGCCCTACCATTGAGCTGTGTGCCACCCCTTTTTATCTCTTAAGACAGGGTTTTGCTTAGTTGCTCAGGCTGGCCTCTAGCTCGTCATCCTTGTTTCAGCCTCCAGAGGAGCTAAAACAGGCACATTTTACGGTATATGAGTTACCCTGCAAGTCAGTTTGGATTTAAAAGGAAGAAAAATGGCCGAGTGTAATGGTGCCGCACTCAGGAGGCTGAGGCACGAGGACCGCTTTGAGTTAGGCCAGTCTGGGCTGCATAGCGAGTTCAAGGCCAGCCTGAACTACAGAGAGAAACCCTGCCTTTTTCCTTGGTGGTAGCATGTTTTGGCTATACACAATGCTAACATTCACCATAGGAAATTTGTACCTGTACGGGACATAGCTTGCTGCTTCTTTTTTTTCCCCATTTCCCTCCCCTGACTCTTCTTCCGCTGCTTATTTATAAAAGCCTTGTTTCCATGCTTTTCCTCCTATTATCCTTTCTTCATGTCCCTTCTTTTCTTCCCCTCTCCCCTCCTTGTTCCCCTTCTCCTCTGAACGTTTGCGCCCCATTTCCCAGTATCTATCATACATTTTGGTCCTTATTTACACTTTCGGTTTCTCACCAGAGACACAATGCTGTATTTAAACATGTATTTGATTTATTTCTCTTAAGAGTATGGGAAAGACCCTGCCTTAAAAGAAAAAAATAATAATAAAATAGGAAACGTAGAGGAGGTGGGCAGGAGTGTGGTTCAATGTGGGGGTGAAGGCGTGTGTACCCCCAGAGCTGTGGAGGAGATGGAACCCCAAGTGAGTGCTCTGTGCTGGAGCAGCAGGGGCTCGGAGCAGCCCGAAGGGCAGGAAGGGTCTGGGCCTGAGAGGGGACAGTGGGAAGGAGGAAGAGAGCAGCAAGCACCCTGCCTTGGACACTAGGACGTCGTGGCCTGGGAGAGGGAGGAATAGATGTCTGAGAAGCCTCGAAACAAGGTCCAGGCTGTGGGAGAAGCCCACCCTGTGGGCCATGCTGTGTCCTCCAGCCCCTGGCACAGACCTCCCTTCACTCGGTCAGGGCGGCCGGGGCTTGGTTCCAGTGGTGTCTGAGGGCTTGGCACTGTGGGAGCCCCTGGGACGCCAAGGCGGGCCCGGCTGGTGCAGAGCTGAGGTGTTGGCCTTGTATCCTTGGAACTCTGAGTGGTTAAGGAGGCTGACTGGAGCTGTGTCTACATCCTGGAGGGCTTGGGCTGGCCTCCAGGCCTGGGCAGTAGCCCCAGGATGGGCACTGGCCCCCTCCACACACCACAAAGCCGCTAAATTTAGCCAGGCAGGGGAGGCCATCCTGGGGCCGAGAGCTTGGCAGCAGGGCCTTGTATCCCTACAAGGCCTGGCCCAGAACCCAAGCTGGCCACCCGGCCTTTGGGCTTATAAGGCAGGTCTAGTTGATCTCAAATGCTGGAGTCTTGGAGTGGGCCGAGCCAAGTCCTCAGACTTCAGGGAGCCTCCTTCCCAGCCTTCACCAGACATGAAAGCTACTTGTTTAATGATTTTGGACCAGGTGCCCATCTTCTAGAGCCTTAGTTTCTGCATCTGTAGATGGGGATTCTATTACCTATCTCATAGTGCCTACCCTTTAGAACTCACCTCACAAAGAAAAGCCTGCCAAATTCCAGCACGTAAAACTGGAACTTCTGTGCTATCCACCTGTGCCCTCAGTGAGGCCTAGAACAAACATACTGTCCCTGAGGATGCTGGAGTTGGGGACAGACACATTTTAGAACTAGTGAGTCACTGGACCCATCCGTGGCTGGTTCACTCTTGCTGTATTATTAGGAAGCAAAGAAATGTGTCTGTGATCACTCTTGGATCTGCTGATGTCTCCAAATGAGAAGTTTCTCTGTCTGTGCCTCTACCGTAGCAGAGGCGCATGTGTGTGCTCCAAGCTACTCTGTCACCAGTCTTTCTTGGGGTGGGCGGAGGAGAAGGAAGAAGAACAGAGGAGGAGTCAAAGAAGAGGGAAGAAAAGGAAGAGGGGGCTGGGGATTTAGCTCAGTGGCATAAGCGCCTGCCTTGCAAGTGTGTGGTCATGAGTTCGAGCCCCAGTATCGATAAAAAAGAAAAAGACAAAAAAAAAAAAAAAAAAAAAAAGAGGAAAAGGTGAGGAAGAGGAGAAAGATGAGGAAGAAGAGAAAGGGATGAGAGAGGTACAGAGAAGGAAGAGGAGGAGGAAAAGGAAGAGGGGGAAGAGGAGAAGGAGGAGAAAGGGATGAGAGAGGTACAGAGAAGGAAGAGGAGGAGGAAGGGGAGGAGGAAGAGCAGGAGGAGGAGGAAGAGAAAGGGATGAGAGAGGTACAGACCAGAAGGGCGATGACTGCTTTCCTTTCTTCCTTGTCCCGTCCTTCCCTCCTTCCTACTCCTTCCTTCCCTTCCTCTCTCCTCATCTTCCTCACTTTCTCTCCTCTGTAACCCAGGGCCAGGATATAATGTGAGTGTCTGGCAGAAGTGGGGGCGGGTGGGGTGCAGAGCTGGGCAGCCCTGGCTGAGAGGCTCAGTGCACACCCACTCCCATCACAAGCTGCTTGCATCCTGGGCCTGCTATGTCCCCAGCCGTGGGATCTGCTGGGAGAGGACACACTCTTTGGTTTGGGGTCAAGATCAGGCCAAGGGAATGTGCTGCTTGCCACAGCTCTGGCTCTCAGCATCTCTGGATTTTTCCTTAGAAGAATGCAGGACGGGCAGGGCAATCTAGAGCTGTCTGCAATCCTACACTTGGCGTACTGTGCCAAGTTCAAGGCCAGCCTGAGCAACACAGTGAGACCCTGGGGCTGGGGATCTAGCTCAGCGACATAAGCACCTGCCTTGCAAGCAGGTGGTTGTGAGTTCGATCCCCGGTACCAATAGAAAGATAAAAAACAAAACAACAACACCAACAACAAAAAACCCTGTTGTTTACAAAATAAGAAATCAGACCTACAGAACTTGTTTCTGTCCCAGCACTCCTTGAAGGTGGCGTCAGATGGCTGAGCTGGAGAGGTCCCTGCTGGATTGGCCAGCAAGGCTGTGGGATGCGCTGATCCGGTGTAAAGGGGTTGGGAGTGGCTGGGCACCTGTTCCCTTTGGGTGGCTTCTGGACTTTCCAGATAGCAGCTCTGCTCAGAGAAAGGTGGGAGTGGCTGGGATTCCCAGCCCTGGGCCTGGCTTTCTGCCCAGAGTGATTCCCCAGCTAATGGCCTGCCAGGAAAAACTGTCCTTATCAGCTAGCATGGTGGGGCAGCTTGAATGGGGCTCGAGGAGGTGGAAGCCAGCAGGGAGGCCCTGCATCAAGCCTGAGCCTTCTGTACCACCCGAGGAGGGCTTGGGCCCCTCCTTTCCCTTCTCTGAACTTCATCTGCACAGGGAGGGCTGAGGATTTAGGTGGGCAGAGGCTGCAGAGGAAGCAGGCGCCCAACCCAGCAGTGGGCTCCAGTCTTCTGTCACTGACGGTGTTCCCCAGGGAACTTGATCTATGGGGCAAGTGCCATTAAGGTCCCCCCTTCCATGGGGAAGTGGGCTCAGAGAGGTAAGGCGATGTTCCCAACCCCCACAGACAAGTGGGAAAGATGGGGACAGCTGATGTCAGGCTTCTCTGGCTTGGCCTTTGGGGGCTCATGGCACCGTGTGACCTGTGGCCCTTGCCTTCCTTCCCACTCTGGAGCCTGGGAGTGGGGGTGGGGTGTGGCCAGGGTAGGATAGAGGGAAGGAGGGGACCCTGGGGGATGGAGGGGCCAGCTAACAGTGTAGTTGATGGCAGAGGCCAGGCCTGAGTCTGAGGCATGGTGGCCAAGGGTGATCTTTACAAGGGTGAGGCGGGCAAGTTCAGGAAGTAGAGGGCAGCAGGACCTGAAGCTGCTGTTCTGGTCTTCCTTCTGGTCCCCTGCAGTCCCCAGGGCCTGAGCTGCTCCTCCAGGAAGGGGAGGGGCTGCTATGTGGGGATGGAGAGGGTGTCTGGCTTTGGGGGAGCTCTAGCCCAGGCTCCTCCCAGGCCCTGTCCTGTCAGGTTCATGGGGAGTCGGGGATGGCTGACAGCTTTATCACTGTCCTTGTGAAGGGTGGTTGGTGGTTTCCGGCCAACAGCCCCATTTCCGGAGGCCCAGCAGAGCCCAGGCGGGGCCAGGAGGGACAGTGGGGCTGGGCCTGGGTGGCCCCATCAGCCCCGCCTCTGTCTATCTTTGGGATTTATTTGTCACAGGCACGGCTGGTCCACAGTTTATTGCCTGCCAGGGGCGCAGAGCTGGTCTGACCACCCCAGTGTTCTCCCTCCCAAACCAAGAAACTCCAGTTGACCCTGGCTCCTGACCTCTGGCCCTGTTTGCTCTGCCCGTTTTTCTTGGGCTGAGAAGCCCCAGAAACGCCACTGCTGTAGATGTGACTATTGATGCCCTGCTGCCCCAACAGCAAAGGCCCTGAGGGGACTCTGTCCTGAGCCCGTCTGGCCCACCATGGCACGGCGACTGCAGGACGAGCTGGCTGCCTTCTTCTTCGAGTACGACACCCCTCGAATGGTGCTCGTTCGCAACAAGAAGGTGGGCGTCATCTTCAGGCTAATCCAGCTCGTGGTTCTGGTCTATGTTGTCGGGTGAGTCCGGGCCCCCTCCCCGCTGCCTTGTGCGTCCCCCACCAGGGCCTGTCCTCCCAGCTCTGGGACACCCTCGGATACCTCACAGTCCCTCCTTCTTCCCATCCACCCAGAGGCCTTCCTGACCGGTCACTGCGCTTTAGGGAAGGAATGCGGAACCCAGCTGTCAAGATGGGGCTCCTGAGGCTGGGTGGGACCCCGGTCTAGGGCATGTGGTGAACAAGAGGCAGCTCTGAGTTTCGAGGAGCTGATCCAGGTCAAGGGTTCCTTCCAGTGGTGAGTGGTTTTGCCACCAGGGTGCTTTAGGTCTAACTTCCCACCAAACCAGCCACAGATATGCTGGCCACTGCCCACTTTACAGGCCAGAGATAGATGGGCTCTGCCACTCCTTCCCCCAGGTCAAGGATCTGGGAGCAGAGAAGTCCTCAGCCTGTTTCTGAACACCTGGTACTTGAATGGTGCATTCATAAAAATGGAAGTCAGACCTGCTGAGCATCTTTGCTTTTTGTTTCTGTTTTAGGGCTTTTCTTCCTTCCTTCCTTCCTTCCTTTCTTTCTTTCCTTCTTTCCTTTTTTCTTTTTTCTCTGATCCTCTTTTTTTGTGACAGGGTCCTGCTATGTAGTTCAGGCTGGTGTTGAACTTACTGTATATCCCAAGCTGGCCTTGATCTCCTAGTAATCCTCCTGCCTCAGCCTCCCAAATTATGGGATTATAGGCATATACTACCATGCCTGGTTTTTCTGAGACCTGTCCCATTGTGCCAGGAGTGCAGGATCAAAGCATCTGACTGGACCCAGAACATGCAAAAGCCGTTTTTGTGAAATCATTCTGGCTCTTCAGAAGCCCAAACAGGCTTGCAGGGGCTTGTGCATATGTGATTACATGGACACGTATGTGCATGTGATGTGGGTGCACACATCCGGGGGTCTGGGCATGTACCAGAGATAGATAGGCTCTGCCATCCTTCCCTCAGGTCAAAGATCACCTGGGAGCAGCATCAACCTATCTCATGGCTGCTGGTGGGTCCTTGGGGCTGGCTGCCCACATGTGTCTATCCTTGTGTGTGCTCTGTGCTGGTGCATTCCCTGGGGGCCTGGTGTGTGTCCCTGTGTGGTACATCATGGGTACCACAATGACTGCTGAAGGCTCCTAGAGGCTTTGGGGAGAAGATCTGATCCTATGGGGGCCTGGTGACCCTGGTAACCCTGGCCTGGTTTTGCTGTGATTCTGAAGATTCTGCCCCTCTTGCCTCCAAGACTCTGTTTTTGATGTGTTTTAAATTAGGATTTCTGACTGAGCCCACACTACGCCTATGCTGGCCTCAGACTCCTGGTCCCCCAGAACTTCTGCCATCCAGAACAGCCATTCCTCTGCCCAGTCCCTCTCCCTATGTGTCAGAGCTGGACAGATGGACCCTGGGCCAGGACCCTCTCTACTGCCTTTGCCCTCTGCCTCCCTGCTGTTCACAAGCCAGTGTGACATCTGTGACAGTGGTTGAGGGAAACTGAGACTCAGAGAAGAGCAGTGGAATTTCTGGCCCCATGGCAGGTTAGGATTGAAGCCAGACTTAGGACGAGGCCTCCTAACCTCGGCTCTCTGTTCTGCCCTCTTCTTTCCACCATCATAGGGCTCTGGAGAACTTTTTTGTAGGTACAGGACGGATCTAAGAGTCTGCCATTAGCTTCACTCCTGACCTCCAGGGAAGAGAGGTCATCCCCACAGGCCCAGCCTGTTCCTCACTGGAAGAGACGGGGAGGACTCTGAACCCCAGGATTCCCTGTTCTGTTTTCAGGTCAGTGCTGTGCCCAGCACCAGAGCCCTCTCTGGGTTGGTCACAGACAGAGTGGAAAGGACAGTGCCCCCTACTCTATCCCTTGCTGTAGGATGCACCCCAGGCCTGAACGCATACCTCAAGTGTTAGGGAGCCCACCATCCCCCTTTTTCTCCCCGTTTCCTCCCAAGCCAGTCTATGAGTTTCCAAACAGATATGGCCATTCTCAGAATTAGCGTGGCCCCGAGGCACAGGGGTTTTGCAGGATCTCAAAGCAGTTGTTAAGAAGCCAGTCCAGGGGGCTGGGGATTTAGCTCAGTGGCATAAGCACCTTACCTTGCAAGCATGCAGTCATGAGTTTGATCCCTGGTAACAATTTAAAAAAAAGAAGAAGAAGAAGCCAGGGCAGAGGCAGCTCCACAGCTGGCTTCAATATCCTGGAAAGGCAGCATCTTCCGATCTGCCCAAGTTGCATAGCGGAGCCTAAAGGTAGTCTTTGGCTCACAACTCTTTCTCAGCTGCAAGCCACCCCCCAAGCACAGCCCCACTGGCTGAGGCTCCTGCTGTCTCTGTTGCCCTCCTCTGGCCATTTTCAAAAGCTCCACTGATCCCCACAGTGAGGCGCCCCCAACCGGACTGCAATCCTCAACTAGCCTGAGCAGCCCAGACTCGGTCTCCCAACTGTTTCACAAGGCAGAGGGTAGAGGGCACAAGTTGCTCTTTACTGGAGAGGGATGGGCTTTACTTAAGGATCTTCCTCCTTCTTAGATATCTGTCTGCTCTCTGGTCCTGTAAGCATTGCAGAGATAGTGGCGCTGGGGGCACTGGAGAAGAGCCAGGGACAATAAAGCCTTATAGAGGATGGATAGGCACAGAGACACAGCTGAGGAACAAACATGGAGCAAGACTTGGAAGAAAGAGGCTGTGAGACTTACAGAGACAGACAGACAGACAGACACATCTTGAGGTAGAGGCTGAGATGGCAAAAATGAACAAGTTCCAAGGAGGGAGACCGAGGCTGTAGTCTCTATAGGTCACGCTCGTCCGGGGAGTCTAAGGCAAGTGTACATGAGCAAGTGGCTGTAGAGGAATGAACCTCTTTTAGCTGAAAATGAGGTGATCTCAGTGACTCTGGGAGGTAGGCAGGCAGCGGGCTGCGTCTGAGACCTAACAGGACTATACCAGGAGCATGACGGGACATGTCCCTGCCTGGGGAGCTCTGGGAGGAGGGAGAAGGTTGGTCTTGTTGCAGCACACAGGGGCATCCCCAAGGGGATGTGTGACTGTTGCTTGTAGAGACGGGCTTCGGGAGACTTCCTGGAAGAAGTGGCACAGTGATAGACACAACCATGGGCTGGGGTCTGGAGGTGACAGGCTGGACAGGTATTCTCTCATCCTTTTCTCTGGCCACTCTGGACCTCTCCTCAGCTCTGTCCTCATTTGTCTCCTGTGCCCCCGCAAAGAGCTCTTGAAGTCACCTGTTCTGAGCTCACCAGGTGGGTCCCAGAGTGTACCAGTCAGTGAGAAGGCACATCTGCATCCTTGCTGGGAGAGAACATGCAGGTTTCTACAGCGTCTTCACACTGTGCCAGGGGGTGGAGGTGGGACACATGGTGGGCAGAGGAGGAGGGCGGAGCTGAGGAGAAGCCATTTAAAACTCCTTGGATTCCACAACAGAAGCCCAATTACACTGGACTCAAAAGGAAGGGTGGGGTCCTGGTTGCTTTATGTATCTGAAAACCCACTGTAGGCCTCAAGCCTGCTAGATCCTCCATGACTGGGGCACACACAGTGTAATGGTTCACTTGGCACTGTCCTCCAAGACTCACCTATTAAGAAGTGCCTGGATCATGCGGTCATAACCTCGTGAATGGATGGACCCATTGATGAGTTCATAGCTGAAAGAGCTTTAAGGGAGGAACTAGGTCCCTCGGAGCATGCCTTTGAGGGTGTCCCTTGGCCCTTGTCGCTCCCTCCCCTCTGGATCTTACCTCTCCTCCTTCATTGTGGGCCTAAGGCGAGCGGCTTTCTTCTGCCACACCCTTCTGCCATGGGTTTCTGCCTCCCTCAGCTGACAGTGGACTGAGCCTCTGAAACTGTGAGCCCACATTAAGGCCTCCTATTGTTGTGTGTGCTGTGCCTTTTGTCCCAGCAACGGACAAGTGACTAACACCTGGAGGAAGGGCAAGGGCTATAAGGCAGGCTGTCTGGGAGTGGCAAACTGGCTGCCAGCAGACTGGCATCCCTCGAGTTAGCTAGACCCTCTCCTCCAGGCACAAGAGCATCTCCTTCCTCCAGAATTCCAGCAGAAGCCCATGTCCAATTCTTATTGGCTAAAACTGGATCACATGGCTACCCCAGAGCAATCATTGCAGCCAAAGGAATGGGATGCCTTAGGGGCTGGGGGTTTAGCTCAGCGGCATAAGCACCTTCCTTCAAGCAGGCAGTCCTGAGTTCAATCCCTGGTACCGATAAAAAGGAAAAAGACCAAAAAAAAAAAAAAAAAAAAAAAAAGGAATGGGATGCCTTGATTGGAGGAGACTTTGTGCCCAATTGCTCCAGGCTGTTCTATAGGAAGCAGAGTGAATAGGAGGAGAAAGATCCCTGGGGAGATGTGGTCAGGCAGGGGAATTTGCATTTGTGTTTGTCCAGTGGTTAGTACTTTGTGTTGTGATTAATTTCATACACCGTAATATTCACTTTTTTTTTTTTTTGATACTAGGGATTGAACTCACACCCTTACACTTGCCAGGCAGGCCCTTGTGCCACTGAGCTAATCCCCAGCCTAATATTCACCTTTTAATTTTATTTGTTATCATTATCACAATGTTTTGTGATGCTGGGGATGGAATCCAAGGTGTTTTGCATACTGCTTAGCTACTTCAGCCTTCATTATAAAAGCCCTGTAATCATGTGGTTTCTAATAGTCATGAAATTGTGCAACCGTCACCACTATCTGGTTCCAGAGAATTTTCACACTCCACAAAGAAGCTCTTACCTCTTCCCTTCCTCTTCTCACAGCCTACGTGGCCCATTTGGGGCACTTCATGTAAGTAGAATAAGACAGTAACCACCTTTTCATGGCTGACAAGGTTTCCCCAGGCTAATTGCACCTTGTGTCAATATTTCCTTCTGTTTTCTGGCTACATTGAATTTGGTTTATCTATTGCTCTGTAGATGGACATTTGGGCTGTTCTACCCAATTTTTATGAACAATACCTAAATATGTGTGGACTGATGCTTGTATAGACATGCATTTTTATTTCTCTTGGTTGCATACCTAGTAGTGGGAATATGGGGTTGTGTGGAATTCCACAGTTAAGTTTTGGAGGAAAGGTGGGTTGTTTTCCAAAGGGTGCAGGTGTCTGTGAGGTACCTATGAAATGTTTTGGGGGAGAGGAGAGTCACCAGGCAGCTGGATATGTAGACATTTACATGGAGTCCCTGAGGCAGGATTTGTGTTTGTTTTGTTTTCTATATTTTTAGCATATAGAAGAGTTCTTGGCACATAGTAGGGACTTGATATGTAAATGTTTGTTGAATGACTACATGAATATGTGGGATTGAGTCACAGGAGGAGAGGGCAGATCTCTAGATAGAAATCTGGGGAATCGAGGGCTGGGGATTTAGCTCAGTGGCATAAGCACCTGCCTTGCAAGCAGGCGGTTGTGAGTTTGATCCCCAGTACCGATAAAAAAAAAAAAAAAAGAAAAAGAAATCTGGGGAATGCAGCATGTCTGTGACAGTTTAAACAGTGCTCAGAAGCCAGGAGTGTGGGGGTAGACAGACATGGAGAGGGGAATCAATGAAGGTGACCAGAAACAGTGGAAGTGAGGTTTTTTGTTTTCATGTGCTATTGTACTTGATAACCTACTAATCTCCTTAAAGAGAACTCATGCAAGCCACGTGCGGTGGTGCACACTGTAATCCCAGCTGCTAGGAGGCTGAGGCAGAAAGACTGCAAGGTCAAGGTCAGTCTGGGCAATCTATCAAGACAGTGTTTTCAAAATAAAAAGTAAAACATGGTGGAGATGAGTGGTAGAGGTCTTATCTATGTCTGAGGCTCAGCACCACCACCAGAGAGACAGAGAAAGAGAGAAAGAGAGAGAGAGAGAGAGAGAGAAACTTATAGAAAATTTCCCCAAACAATTACTAGATATTGTTTTGCTTTTTGGGGGCCCAGTGCTGAGCCAAGTACATGGCCTTGCTAGGTGTTTGTGGAATGGTTAGCACCCCTTTGGGGTGCCATGACTTCTGCTCTCCTGAGAAAATCAGGGCTCAGAGGTTAGCCTGCAGCCTGAAGCCACACAGCTGCTGAACCTGGATCTGGGTCTCCTCCACCATGTACCCCCTTCCATGAGCAGCCATTGGAGAAGAGATCCCAGGAGAACTGGAAGATTGGGAAAGATTATTTCTGGGAGGGGAGGGGCTTTGGAGGACGCCAGAGTCTTTGACCTCAGACTCGCTGAGTGGCCCTCCCACGGTGCTGACCACAAGGCCCAGCCAAAGCGTGACTCTGGAGGGGAGGCCCGGCGCCATGGCCGTTCTATTATTACCAGAACTGAAGTGGGAAGGTGACCTCTTCCCTCCGAGTCCCAGACACAGCCTGAAACACTGCATTGGTCCCAGCGCGTAGCCTTGGGGCTGGGACTCCTGGCTCCTGGGAGATGCGTTGGAGCCAGTGCTGCTTGGTGGAGGCAGGCACGGTCCTGGGCGGAGTCTGCTCCGGGCTTGATTTTTTGGGAGGGGCACTCTGTCCGGCCTCAGTTTCCCCACTGATGACATGAGGAGTTGGTGTTAGGTGTAAAGAGAAGTACGTCTGGGATGTGGGGATTGCAGTGCCTTGAGCGGGGCAGCGGCTTCTCTTGCAGGGGCTCAGGATATGGAGCAGCTCCCCTCTCTTCTTTGAGTGTGGGGCAAGAGGCCTTGGGCGGGGGTGGGGTGGTGGGGTGGTGGGACCTGAGGAGAGGGCGGTTAGGGCCGCGACCGCGGCAGGCTCAGGACCCGGAGCTGGGTCCTTTGTCATCACCACATCTTGCTGCTGAGACCGGCAGGGGGCAGCAGTGACCACGCTTACACTGGGCACATGGTGGGGCTGGTTCCAAGGCCAGCCTGAGCGGGGAGGTGGACGATGGGAGGAGAAAAGAGGAGGGGGGCGGTGGTGGCTGCTTCCTTCAGAGAGATGGCAGCAACTGGAACTAAGAGGCCTGGGGTATTCTGTCACCAGGCCTGGGCTCAGGGGCACTGGAAGGGGAAGCAAATGGCTTTAAGTTCTGCTTGGCCAGGTGAGGTTGGGGTAGAGAAATCCATGGGAGAGGCTGTGGTGCAGCTTCCTAAAGGTGGACTTAGGAGTGCCCTGGAGGACACAGCTGCATGCTCCCATGGGCGACACACACACACACACACACACACACACACACACACACACAGAGTCACACGCACGGGCTCTTACCCTTAATCTCTGTGGAGAGTTTTTTCTAAGGGAAGAGACCTACTCCTCAAAGGAAGTGTTATCCAACACTCTTTCAGTTATAAGCAACAGAAACTCAACCCAGACTGGGTTACATGAAGGAAGGGAATGCACTGGCCATGTAACTGAAATACTCAGAAGTAGATTTTTAGAGCATGCTTCAGATCTGGCTGGATCCAGGTGCTCAAACAAGTGTTATGGTAGGGGTCTGGCCCTCTCGTCTCTGGGCCTGGCCTTCATCAAGACTGGCTTCATTTTCTAGCTCCATCTCTTTTTCTCCCCTGTACCAGGAATCAAACTCACAACCTCATGCTTGCCAAGTTGGTGCTGGGCGGCTGTCTCTTTGCTCCCTGTCTCTCTGATGAGGACTAGCTGCAGTTTTGATCTCACAGCCACACTTCCTAGCCCTCAGGAGATGGAATGTTTCTCCCCAGCAATTCCCAGAAAAACCCTCTCTTCACTGCAATCCTCCCCTGGTCCTGGCCCTTCCCTGGATGCATCACTGCTCCCAAGGGCTGGATATTGATTGGCCAGCCCTGGTCATGTGCCTGGGCAGGAGGCAGATCAGCTTGGCTGAATCCCCTAGACTAAAAATTGGGGATCCAAAGTGACAAGGATTCTCAGTGTTGGGAATTGGGGGGATCTAGCCTGAGCTACTCTCATGAGCCTAGGTCAGGGCACAAGAGGTTACGAGGGTTGTTTCCTCTCTTCCCCTTCCTTGTCCCCTCCCCAAGGGGCCCGGCACGGCTGCAGTACTTCGGGCTAATGGCTCTGCTGCCCTGACTTTCAGGCAAGATCCTGCCACAAGGCTTTGCACACCTTGCCTGACTCAAAGAAGCAGCCCTGCCGTTATTCTGGCTTATAGATGAGGCAGGTGAGGACAGAGGGATGGAATGGCTTAGCCCAAATCATACAGTGGCTCAGGAGTGGCTCTTTCTCTAGGGAGGAGCTCAGGGAAGAAGAGACACTCTGGGAAGGAGGATGGGGGTCTCAGAGGCTGTCAGCCTAGAAGCGGGCCTGCAGCCTGCAAACCCTGCTCTTGGGAGAGGCTCTGAAGGAGATGCTTAGGGGTCTGCACTTTGGGAATTCACATTCTCCCTGTGGAAAGATGGCAGGACTTCAGGCAGAAGTTAGCAGGGGAGGCGGGGAGGGCGTCCAGCTTCCAGCGCAGGATTCAGGAGCTTAAAGAGCAGAGAGTGGCTCAGAGACACACTCAGGAAGGGCAAGGGGAAAGCTGGACCATCTCCAGCAGGTGCCAGAAAGGGCAGACAGAGAAGAACATAGCCACCTGCCATCCTTGAATGGCTGGCCTGGCCCAGCCAGAACCGTAACTCCCCTGTGTTCCGCACTCCTGCAGGTGGGTGTTTGTCTACGAGAAGGGCTACCAGACCTCGAGTGGCCTCATCAGCAGTGTGTCAGTGAAGCTCAAAGGCCTGGCCGTGACCCACCTCCAGGGCTTTGGTCCCCAGGTCTGGGATGTGGCCGACTACGTCTTCCCAGCGCAGGTCAGCTAGGTTGGGTGCACTTCCACCCTCCTCCCCGGGGTCCTGTTGAGCTCCTTGTCTCTCTGTACCTCAGTTTCCCTGTGGGCCTGTCACTAACATCTCACCGTGGCATGGTGGGGTGTGGAGGCCTCTGGGGGTCAAGTGGGCTCCAGGAGTCAGCAGGAGGTCTCAGGGCTGTTTTTCCTCTTCCTCACTTCCAGGGGGACAGCTCCTTTGTGGTCATGACCAATTTCATCGTGACCCCCCAGCAGGCTCAAGAGTACTGTGCAGAGGTGAGGAGCTGTCTTTCCCAGACCCACAAAGGAGGATTACCTGGAAGCAGTGTCCCCTTGTGTCCTGCAAGTGATGCCTGTGGGGTTCCATGGTGGAATACCAAGCATAGATTTACACAAAATGACTGTCCCCAATGACAGTGTCCATCTTCCTCCCAGCTGTGTGCCAGGCTGAATGCTCAGTCTTAGGATCTCCCCTCTTCCCTAGCCTCCCTGCCTCTGCCTACCCACCAGGGTGATGGGCAACTGGGTGTGAACCCAGGGGTGGATCCTAGGTGGAGGTCACCCAAAGAGTTTGAGACTGTCCCACTCCTTCCCTAGGGCCCTGGGGGTGGGAGGGGCTCTTTTTAGGATGGCACTCGAGGGGCCAGGGCCAGCTCCTCTCCCCTCCCTCAGCACCCAGAGGGGGGTACGTGCAAGGACAGCAGCAGCTGCACCCCAGGGAAAGCAGAAAGGAAGGCCCAAGGTAAGGCCAGCCTCCTGCCCCTCTGGCTCCAGGCCCTGTGCCCCTCAGGCCCTCCGGGGCAGGCATGTACCTGCCTGCTCCACAATGGTGCCACCAGCCTCCACCAGCAGTCTGCCCAGCTCTCTCCCTCCTGTCGCAGCCTCTCCAATATTCTTATCCACAGTTTCCTTCTCCTTGGTGCCCCTTCACTAGGGGTCCTGGGGGAGGGACCTGAACCCCCTTTGCACCCTCAGCCTGGGTGGGCACCCAGGGGCTCCTCCCTCGCTCCAGGCATTCGCACAGGCAAGTGTGTGGCCTTCAACGACACTGTGCAGACGTGTGAGATCTTTGGCTGGTGCCCTGTGGAGGTGGATGACAACATCCCGAGGTAACTCTCTGCCGGGCACCTCGGGGAGGGGACAGGGAAGGATGCGCTGTCCTTCCAGGGAGGACAGGGTCCCTATCCCAGACATGCATGCTGGAAAGAATCCACTTCTGCTTCCTCTGACCCCACCCTCACCCAATCCGTGTGGCCCAGGCCAAAGAGGCCCCTGGCTCTTGGTTAATGGGCCCTGAGTCCACCATTGTGGGCCACATGCCGCAACATGCGGCTGCAGGAGGAACCTGTGAACCCCTGCTCCCCCATGTCAAGTTCTATGGAACACACAAGGGCCTCTAGGGGGCAGTGAGTGAGTGCGGTCTTCCCCAGCCCTGCTCTTCTCCGAGAGGCTGAGAACTTCACTCTCTTCATCAAGAACAGCATCAGCTTTCCACGCTTCAAGGTCAACAGGTTCGTGGGAAACGTGGGCAGGAGCACAGGCAGCTCCAGAGGCTGCTCTGGCCGCTCCCAGCACCCTCTGTCTCCTTCCACCCCAGCTTCTGCCTCCGTGCTGGGCCCTGGGTTGTGGGGGGGGGGGTGTGCTGAAGGGATGTGCTGGAAGCCATGAGCGTATAGATTTGAGGGACATGCTGATCACCCTCCTGGCTGGCACACGTGGTAGAAGCGCTCTCTCCCACCACAGGCGCAACCTGGTGGAGGAGGTGAACGCCTCCTACATGAAGACCTGCCTGTATCACAAGACCCTACACCCTCTGTGCCCCGTCTTCAACCTTGGCTATGTGGTCCAACAGTCAGGCCAGGACTTCCGGAGGCTGGCTGAGAAGGTACAGCGTGGTGCCAGGCACTGAGGGCCCAGTTTAGCCTTCCTAGTGTAGAGCCACTATATGTCCAGGCCCGTCTCCTTGTACCGGGCCTCCTGAGGGTTAGGCCTGTGTCCCCAGCAGGGGCTGGCCTGGACCCAGCAACAGGAGGATCCCAGAATGAATGGACGAGCAGCACTGTTGATTGTATGCTTGATGATGGCCTGCTACCTTTTATTTTATTTTTGTTTTGTGGGACTCAGGGCCTCTTGCATTGCCAGGTAGGCACTCTATCACTAGACTACACCATCAGCCCTTTTTATGTTGAGATAGGCTCTTGCTAAGTTGCCAAAGCTGGGCTCAAACTTTTGATCTTCCTGCTTCAGCCTCTCAGATAGCTGGGATGCAGGTGTATGCCACTACACCTGTCCCAGACCTACTGTTTAATTCAGCGACTATTTGTGTGCTTCCTGAGCTGTAACTTAGATTAAGAGGAAGTCAGTGACAAATCCCCAGACAGCTGCATCCTCCTATATTTTACAGTCTTGGAGATGGATTGATAAAAAGTCACCCCAAGTAAGCAAATAATTACAAAGTGACACATGTCACAAAAGCATATACTGAATACAACAGGACGGAATAGCAAAGGACTGTTTTGGTCTGAAATGCAGTCGAGGAAGCTCTCTTGATGAGAAGGATAGAATGAGCCACACCAGGAAACACTGCAGGAATAGCACCGCCAAGGCCTTGAGGAAGGAAAAACCTGATGTGGTCTGACACGGTCAGAAACCTGGAATGTGGGGCGCAGTGAGGCCAGAGAAGAGACAGGGTGCTACTCCAAAGCAATCACTCAGTGTCTTTGCTCAAACTAAAAAATGTCCCTCTTTGACAGAATGCAGGTATGAGCTCCACGGCAGGTATTTTCCAGTCCCCAAATCCCAGCTTTTGAACACCTGTGTCCCTTGCAGGGTGGGGTGGTTGGCATCACCATCGACTGGAATTGCGACCTGGACTGGAACGTGAGGCACTGCAAACCCATCTATGAGTTCCATGGGCTGTACGGGGAGAAAAACCTGTCTCCAGGCTTCAACTTCAGGTGCCTTCCAGGGCCCCACTGCATCCTTCCCTGTGGTCCTGCTGGGGCTGAGCATCCTGTGTCCCCTGATGGGAACAGAGGATTCTGGGAATCTTCTGTCTGGGTGGATGGCCCAGAGGGAGCAAGACCTCGGAGCCTGAGTCCCCTCAGGGCCCTGCTGGCCAGGATGGCTGGGGGAGAGCTGACAGCAGGTGTCAGGGCAAGGGTAGAGGGTGGCATCCTCAGACTGAGTTTTGCAAGGCTTCTCATAGGGCTGATATGGACTTTGAAGGTTTCGCGGGTACCGGATGGTCACACCTGGGACACAGGTCCCTATCACCCTCTTCTGTTACCTCACCCCTTCCCCAAGGTTTGCCAGGCACTTTGTAGAAAATGGAACCAACTACCGTCACCTCTTCAAGGTGTTTGGGATTCGCTTTGACATCCTGGTGGACGGCAAGGTGAGTTTCCAGGCTGTGTGTGACAGGTGAGTCCCTACCTTGCATCTTGGTGTCTACAGTTATGATGACGGAAGTTGGATGGGGTAGGATCTGTTGGGCAAGCCTCCATCTGATGACAGACGGGACATGGGCAATGTCCAGTGTGAGGCTTTGCAGTCAGCCATGATGATTCCTTTACAAATTCCCTGGGTCTAGGGAGACAAAACCATGGTAAAAACCAAGGTCCCTAACCAGGAGCCGGCTCCCCATGGGAGAATCAGACCTGAGCAGCAGGCAGTGAGCCAAGTTCATAGTCCTGGAGCAAGGGGTGGGGAACTCCCTCATCCTAGGCCTGCCCTTTCCGAGCTGGGCCCCTTCTGACTGTCTACCTTTGTCTTCCCTGAACCCTGCACCAGGCTGGGAAATTTGATATCATTCCCACGATGACCACCATTGGCTCTGGGATTGGCATCTTCGGGGTGGTAAGTGCTGGGGACCACAGATCACTGCTGGGGTGGCCCCTCCTTTCCCACATCTTAGTGGCAGCAAGCCCCTCTTCCCAACTTGTGACCATAATTATCCAACATTCCTGAGCTGGCAGCTGCCCACCCACTACCCTATGTCAGGGTATCTGAGGAAACTGAGGCTGAGAGCTAGGGCAAGACAGAGATGGAATAGAACTGTCTTGGTCTCCTGAGGGTCTCGCAGTGTCTCACCATCTCATCTAGGAAACAGAGGTCCAGAATCACAGGATTCAGGCAGGGCCACACAGTAGGGCCTGCCTTGGGGTTTGGAACGTTCTATGCCCTTCCAAATTCCCATGCTCCATCTGTGTCCCTCCTTGGCCCAGGCCACTGTTCTCTGTGATCTGTTGCTGCTCCACATCCTGCCAAAGAGGCACTATTACAAACAGAAGAAGTTCAAGTATGCAGAGGACATGGGGCCTGGGGCGGTAAGAGAACTTCTTACTTCAAAGCCCTGAGGCTCACGTGTATGTGTCAGGGGTGGTTGGGTCAGTGGCTCTCCAGGGCTCACTCGTGTATCCCCATGCACACACAGGGGGAGCATGATCCCGTGACCACCAGCTCTACCCTGGGCCTACAAGAGAACATGAGGACATCCTGATTTCAGCCCCTGACTTCTGACTGGATTCAGCACAAGGCTTCAGACTGGGGCCCTAGCGGACTCCCACCAAGGGCAGGGGTCTCTCCAGGGAATCTCCTGCCAGCTTAGCCAGGCAGATTTATTTGCCCACACTCAGGGTGGGTACTGGGAGGGATCAGTGCAATCTGGGGCTCTGTCTCCAACTCTGCATCCCCCTAGACAGCCCAACACCCAGTCGCAGCCACTCTGCTCCCAAAGGCCCAGACAGTGCACACTTACACACTTATACCCTAGTTTTGTGATAATTACCAGGGATCTTCAGTATCCATCACACTGCCTCAATTTCTCTAGATCTGTGCTCTCCAATGTGGCAGCCACTAGTCACATGGGCTACTTAAATATATAAAGACAGGATAAAATAAAAACTCCTGAGTTGAACTAGCCACATTTTACTGCTCGGTTGACACACATGGCCAGTGGCTGTTGTATTGGACACCACAGGATGTTTCATCATCACTGAAGGTGCCTTTGGGTGGATCCATTTGTACCCTGTTTCTGCCTAGCCTCAGATATTCAGGGTCCCTGAACCTGAAGCTGCCAGGCCAGTCACATAGATAGCAAATGCCCAGGCCACTCTGAGACCTCAATTTAAGAACTGCTGTCGGGGCTGGGGATTTAGCTCAGCGGCATAAGCACCTGCCTTGCAAGCAGGCAGTTGTGAGTTCAATCCCTGGTACCGATAAAAAGGAAAAAGACAAAAAAAAAAAAAGAAAAAAGAAAAGAACTGCTGTCTTGAGCTGGGCGTGGTGGCTCATGCCTGTAATCCCAGCACTCGGGAGGCTGAGGCAGGAGGATCGTTGTGAGTTCGAGACCAGCCTGGGCTACAAAGTGAGCTCAAGGCCAGCCTGAACTGCATACCGAGACCCTGTCTCAAAAAGACCTGGGTATGTGTGAGTGTGTGTGTGTGTGAGAGAGAGAGAGAGAGAGTGAGAGAGAGAGAAGCAACTGCTGTCCTAGAACTGGCTGACTCAGAGCTCTTGATAGTGTCTGACTTACCCCTGGGCTGGCAGATGTGAGCATCAAGCAGGAGCTCAAACACCCTCAGCTTGTGTGTAGTGTGTTCACATGCCACACAATGATTCATGCACACACACCCCCCCCCACCTACAAGCACACCACCACCCACATGCACACAGCCCTCCATCCGTGCTGTGTTTGAACAGCTTGGGCCTGCAAACACAGCCATCTGAGCACACCTACACCCCAAGCAGAGACACATGGTCCATGCCGTGTCTCCTCTGTGGGGAAATGCTTCTTTCCTGGTGTGTCAGGCTGGGACAGTCCTAGCCATGAATCCTTTCTCAGGTACCTCGGGCTGGGATGCAAGCTCTGTGTCTGTGGCCCAGCCCCACTCAGCTTCCAGGCCTGCCCAACTCTGTTGGAATAGAAAGACAGGAAAATGCAGGTGGAGTACAATAAATGGGATTAGGATGGGCTTCTGCTTTCCTCACTTTCTTTCTGGACCTCGAAGAAGCTCAGTGGGCCCATCTATGAAATGCAGGGTGTAGCTAAGCAATCGCTGAGGTCCTTCTCAATCTGTGGTGGATCGTGGTGAGCTGATGTGTACACTCTGGACCCAGCAGGGTCTGCACATGGGCCCAGCCCCTAACAGTGGTACTCTTCCCTTGCCTCTGAAAGCCTCTCTTCTGGCCCCAGGAGGTTTGATCCTGGACATGTAGACAGCCTCAGAAGTGGCCTCATGAAATGGATGAGGGAGAGGCTGGCTGTCCTAAGAATGAGATCCAAGGGGTCCCAAAAAGGAAGGAGGATGTGTTAGTTTTTTTTATCACTGTGACAAAATATCTGAGAAAAACAACTTAAAGGCAGAGGGGTTTAATTTTGTGCACAGGTTTAGAGGTTTCGCTTCATAGTCAGAAACATCACGGGGGCAGGTTGGGACAAAGGAAAGTGTCTCACCTGGTGGCAACTGGGAAACGGGGAAGGCGAGAGAGCCAGAAAGGAGGGGGCTGGGAAACGGATATAGTCCCTAACTTCAAGCTCCCGTGACCACTTCTATTAACTGGGCCCTACCTCCTGATAGGCCATTGAGCTCTGGACTCAGCAGTGGATTAAGTCATTTAAGAAGTTAGTACCACTATAATCCAACCACTTCTCTAGGCCCTGCTTCTGAGCACTGCTACACTGGGGATCAAGCCTTCAGTATATGAGTCTTTGGGGGATACTTCCTGTTTCAACCATAACAGAGGGACTGACTGGTGCAGTAGGGAAGGCTCTTCAGGGGCCCTGCCATGACCATGCTCCAGGTCTGCACTGACAGCCACATAGGATTTCTTTCCACCATGAATTTCGAAGATCAACAAAGCTTCCCCAAACAATGAAAATGTGCTCTGTCTCTGCTGACTGGCCAGGTTACCGCTAGCCACAGAGCACTGGAAACGCAGTCAGCACAACTGTGGAGCAGTTTTTACTTTATTTACTTTAATTCATTTAAATAGCCATATATGGCTAGTAGCTATCAGATCGGACAGCACAGGCTAGTACCTCCTGCTCCCTTGGGCCCTTGGCCCTTCGCCGTCTTCCTTGACCAAGCACAATGGCTCAGATTTTGCAAGACATGAGTTCCTTCTTCTGCTCTCCCTTCCTCCCCTCCACGCCTACCTGCTGTGTACCTTGTTTCCTTCCCTCCCCAAGGGAAGAAAAGGGCTTCCTTCTCCTTACATCCAACCCTTTTGCCCAGGCCTAGACGCTCTTGGCCACAGCTGCCTCCTCTCCCTCTCCTACTCCAATATGATCCCCTTCTCTGCCTCTGGCTTGGCATCCCATCCTGCCTACTCTCTCTCTGCCACCCTCCCAGAAAAAGCAGTTTATACTTCTCACTACTTGGCCTCCATCCCTACTGTTTCTAGATGTCCCCGCAGGTCACAAGCAGTGCTCCTGTTGCTAGGTCTGAGTGGGCATTTCTTTCTTTCTTTCTTTCTTTTTTTTTTTTTTTTTTGTCTTTTTCCTTTTTTATTGGTACCAGGGATCGAACTCATGACTGCCTGCTTGCAAGGCAGGTGCTTATGCTGCTGAGCTAAATCCCCAGCCCCTGAGTGGGCATTTCTGCTTGTATCCTGCTTGTTCTGTCAGTGTCCGACATTGTGGTCCAAGCCCTCCTCGTTTAGATTCCTTCCACCGGCTCCAAGGCCCTATCCTCTCTCTCCTGGTTTCCCAGGCAGCCTGGTGTTCGGGTAAGAGGCCCCACTGTAGCTCTGCCTCTGTGCCCAGTGTGGCCTTGGGTGAGTTGCTTTATGCTGCAAGTCTTAGTGAGTCAGCAGTAATGACAGCTTCTGCCAGGGGTGGGAGAGGATAGCAGTAGTGCTTGGCCCATCAGTTTACCCACCCATTCAATGGTGGGCTCACCCAGCATCCCTGGGTATGCATTCTCCCTGTAGTGATAAAATCCTTGCTTCTTGGTTGGGCAAGTGGCTGTCTAAATGAAAGCTGCATTTCCTGTTCTACTTTTGCAACTGGGCCTGGTCATGTGGCTAAGTTCAAACCAATGGGCTGTCCAGAGATAGCATCCACAGATACTTCCTGCCTTTTCCTGCAACCTTTTTGACTTCCCACTACCTGGAATGCATATGTAACAGCTGGAGCTCTAGTCTCTATTCTGAACCATGAGCACAAGAGCCACACCTATTGGTTGTGGAAACACAGCAGAAGGAAGCCCTTTGTGGAAGCCTTGTGAATGTCAGATGAGGACTTTAATGCTGATACGTGCAACTTCCATTACCTAGGTCTGGTACCAAATTCTTCCCCCATTTAAATGTTTTGTCCTTAGCACATGTATCTTATTTGCTCTGAGCAATCATGTCTCCTGCCTCTATTTACAACTGTGGTCCTTTCTGAGAACGTGTTCTCTTTGGGACTAGGAACATAGCTCAGTGGTAGAGCTCTTGCCTAGCATATGCAAGGCCTTGGGTTTGATTCGCAACACTGCAAAAAACCAAAAACCAAAAACTGTCTGTGTACCTAGCTCCTTTTCCCAGCACCTAGAATATATGCCAGGTGCAACCTCTACCCTCAAAGAGCTTTTAGTCTAGATGGGGAACAGGCAGGTAAAGAGGGCCTGGGTACAAGGAAGCCCCTAAAAAGGATGGTTAACCATTCAGAGCAGCGAGGAGGTCCGGGGGAAGAGTTCCTGGCAAAAGAGCACTGAACTGTGTCTAGAGAGACAGCAGGCATTCGGCAGGCAGATGGTAAGGGCAAGGCTCAGGGGCTTGGTTGGATGCATTCTTGGTGTAATGGTGAGCCACAGATTCCCAAGCAGGAGCTGACTATGAATCCTGTTTCAGAAAGCTGGTGGGAAGGGAGACTGCAGGGGAGAGAGGCAGTGAAGAGGCTGCTGCAATAATGGGGCGGATGGGGTGCTCTAAGTTAAAGGCCAGTGGAAGGGTGCAAAGGAGTAGACAGATTCTAGATTTATTTTATTTTTTTCTTTTTGAGACAGGGTTTTGCTAATTAGTTCAGGCTGACCTTGAACTCATTATGTAGCCCAGGCTGGCCTCGAATTCAGTGATCCTCCTGCCTCAGCCTCCCAAGTGCTGAGAGACAGGCATGTACCACCAAACCTGGCTAGATTCCAGAGATATTTAAGAGGCTTGTGCTAGCTTGGTTAAAGCAGGAAACAGGTGGGCTGCCGGTGACTCCCAGGTTTCTGTCTCTAGTTTGAGATGGGAAACCATATTTAGGACGGTGCTATGAGACTCCGTTAGGAGCAAGTAGTGGTATGGGCATTCCCAGCAAAGTTGGCAGAACTACACTCACAGCTGGTGAGCTCCCAGGCAAGAGGCAAGGGCAGGTTCCTCAGGTGCAGCTGTTGCAAACCCACCCTCCTGGTGGGTTCCTTATATTCCCTGTGCCCTAGTCTGGGATTTTCTGCCACCTGCTCAGAGCCCTTCCCCAAACTCGTATAGAACTCTGACTCCTGAACTCTGCTAAATCATCCTCCTGGCTGCCCGGCTCACACCAAGCCTGTTATTCAAGTTCTGTCAACCACCCTGGGTCTTGGCCTTGGCCTGGTCTCTGCAGAATCTTTCTCGCCTCACCCCCACTTCCAGCAAGCATCAAGGCTCTCCCCGGGGGAGAGGGGGCATTCGTTCCTCTGCAGGTCTGGAAGATGGACCAAGGGTTTTAGGTGAAGCACTCACACACCTTCAGCCTCCACTAAGGATCTACGACTAAGCTTAAGGGATTCTTGGGACTCGCGCTGCTACCGTGGGGACGCCAGGGGGCGTGGTTAGGCCCCCCCCCGGCTCCTCCCCAGACACCATCCGCCGCGGCCCCGCCCCTTCACAAGTGGGCGGGAGTCCCGGGCTCCGATTGGATGGCTCTGGGGGGCCGCACAAGCAGACCAATGAGAGCAGGCCGGGCGTGACGGCGGGCGGGGGAGCGAAGGCTTGCCCGCGGCCGCGGCGCCGGCGATCTAAGCTTGCCTTTCCGGGCCTGGGCAAGGCGGGCGGGGCCGGTGCGAGTCTAGAAGCGAGCCCTGCCTTTCGGCGGGGCCGCGGTGACAGTCGCCGGGCGCCCAGGTAGGGATCTGCGAGCAAGGGACCAAGGCGGGGAACGGCAATCCAAATGCCCGAGCGATAGTCTGCTCCAAGCCCTTTGGGAGAGGGGTGGTCTGCATGACCGTATTTAGGAGGACAGCGGAACGTTTCAGCGGGGGTCCTCCCCTCCGTCTGCGGGCCCGCGTCTACGCGGTGCTTCTGGAGCCTACACTGGTTATGCCCGCGTCTCGCCATTGCGTCTCTTCCCAGCTGTGGTCTGCGGGGCCGCGTCCAAACCCAGTGCATCATCTGTCCCGCCCTGGCCCTTCGTGGAGGCCGGGTCTATGCGGTGTGGGCCCAGCGGGTGCACCCACGTGTGGCTCTCTGCGGAGCGCCCTCGCGTGAGTCTGGCTTGCAGAGCTGGGGGCGGGGTGGTGAATGAGACGGATGCGGCGTGTGGCTTTAGCTGCGCAGTCTTCCCACGGCTGGGGCAGGGGAGGGCGGTGCAGTCGGGGGCTGCATCAGGGGCTTGGCGCGACTCGGGACCGGTGGCTTGGAGGGTGCACACGTGCGCAGGGAGCCGTGTGTGGTGTTGGGAGATGGGTGTGCGTGTGTCACGTGGACAGGGGAGTGTGCCTGTATGTGTGAGGGAGTGCATTTCAGGATGGAATGGTGTGTGGGGACAGGTCACGTGGACATGGGCGTGCGCCTGTCTGGGGAGGAGTGTGAGCACCTTGAGGTGTTGCTGGAGCCCTCGGGAAGGTGTGTCACAGCCCACAGGTTCCTGGACTGTGCCCTGATGGGTGCCTAAAAGACTGCATCTTCAAGAAGGATTCAGGAGTGTTGGAGAAGCACACTATTTGTGTCCTTGAGAATCCTAGGGCGCAGGTTCTGGTGGCCCCCACAGCCCTGTAGGTACAGATTGAGCATCTTTTATGTGTCAGACTTGTCGGAGACCCACTACACATTTTGGTAATGCTTCCTTGGTCTCCAATCCCTAGTCTCTACAGAAGCCAGAGTTATTTTAAACCTCATCCAAATGAGTCATCACCCCTCAAAATCCTCTGGCTTTGGAGGCCTCCCTGTCTTTGTCCACAAAGCCCTGCCTCATCTCCGAGCCAGGGGTTCCGGCTCTGGCAAGCTTAGTGTGAACTCCCAGCCTCTGCTCTCTCCTGACATTCTATGCAGTGGATGAAAAAAGAGCTCCAGTGTCACTTTCTCTGGGAAGCCTTCCCTAGCTGGGCTCGGTGGCACACACCTGGTATCTCAGAGCACTCAGGAGGATAACAAGTTTGAAACCAGCCTGTGCAACTAAGGGAGACCCCCCCATCTCAAAAAATTAAAATTAAAATTGAAAAGAAAAAAGTAAAAAGGGCTGGGGCTGTAGCTCAGCGCAAAAGACCTGAACTCAGTTCCAGTATTTAAAAATAAAAACAAAAACAAAACCGAAGCTGCCCCTGAGGCCAGCATGTGGACTGAACCTTCTCTTGAGATGCAGCCTGTCTCACCATTGGGTGCCTCTCTCCACTCTAGTTATTTCAGCCTCCATGCTGCTCCTCCTCCTCCGAGCCCCGTCCCACTCATGTGCTGCCTGAAATGGCCTTCCCTGACTGTCCACACTGCTTGCTGTCTTCTTACCTTTGGATATCAGCTCTGACCGTGCACCTGAAAGTCCTGCCACACTGACTCAGTCACATCCCCCAGCCCATTATTCTTTTTCCCATTTTTCTGTCATAGCTTTCTTCGTAGCACATACTACCAGGTCACATGCTGTTTACTGGCTTTCTCTGTCGCTTGCTGTCCATGTTAGAAAAATATACTGTATGAGAGCGGGCCCTTTTCTTTTTGGTTTACTCCTTTGTTTCCTGGCACTTAGCACTGTGCCTGGCATACAGCAGATGCTCAGTGAGTAGGTGTTATGTGATGAATGACCCGATTTGTGTTCCAGGAGTCTGTGTCCCTGACCGGTCCCCAGCCTGTGGGGCCTCAGTCTGAGGTGAGGGTCTCCTTTTCTTTTAGATTGCAAGTTCTGGAATTTCAGGTCTGTGAGAGCTATCACCATATTTGCATGTTAGAAATTCTTTCCACTGGTATGGAGGATGAGGTGGGGTGTGAGTATGAGCAGGGAGACCCAAGTACTGGAAGCAGTGAAAGGACACTGGAAGTCACAACCTGCACTTTTTAGCGGATTTGGCTTGGTGAGCTCACTCACCCCCCAGTGGGGAGATCAGAGAAGGCTGTTAGAGGAGGCAGTGCCTGAGCTGTCCTCCAGGCAGCAAAGGAGAAGGAGGTGTGTTCCTGGCAGAAAGCACAGCTTGTACAAAGGCCTGGCAGCAGAACAGAGTCTGCAGTTTGGGAAGCTTCAAGTGGTGCAGCAGAGTGAGGAGTAGGTGTGGAGTGGAGGAGCAAGGGTGGGAGAGGGGGAGAGGATCCCTCGGGATTTCTGGCTTAGATCCAGTAAGAACAGGGAGAATGCTGGTCCCACCTCTGCAGTGGAGACAGAGGAGGAAGAACAGGTTTAGGGGAAGATGCTGAGTTGAATTGGACCCCTGACAGAGTTGAGCTGCCCAGGAATATTGAGAGGGAGGAGGAGGCTGTGAGCTAGAAAGAGTGACAGGAGGCACAAACCTGGTGTGGAGGAGAGGAGGGGCAGAGGTACTGGATGAGGCCTGGAGACTGTCAGCTTCTGTGGGTGGCCCAAGGGCTGCACTGACAGTAGCTGTGGTAAGGCAGGCACAGAGCCTACCTACCTCAGTGCTTGGGAGCTCCCCAGAGTGGGTTGGAGAGGGTGTGCTCACAGCAAGCATCTGCAAGCATGACTTAGCAGCAGACTCCTCGGCCTCCTGTGAGGGGACTGAGTCATCCAGCATTGGGGGGAGCTTCAGGGACACCACTGCTGGGCCCTTGTATGTACTTGTCAGGAGTCTAAGCAGGAGTACAGAGACAGGCGACCCAGGAAGTCAGGGCCATCTTCGCAGCCCGATGGCCATCCCCTCTCTCTACCTCTCAGATTTCCCGTCTGGCCATCTTCCACCTGGACAGTAACTGGTACCCTGCCTCGGCCTGCCACTGGGGTTCCCAGCATCTTTCCATAATTTAGAGTGAGGCATGACGGATGCTCGAAGTCATCTGAGGCACAGCTGCTCAAACCAGTGCGGATGACATCAGGGTCTGCCTGTTGTCTTGCTGTGAGTCTCTGCTCCCGAGAGATGATTAGAGCGTGCCTGTCCTGAGGAGGAGGCTTGACCAGGCAGCCTCTGAGGCAGGAGCTGGCACATTTTGAGGGGGGACATTTGGAAGGGGAAGACACAGCCTGGGGGGAGGATACTGGGAGGGAGGGTGGATGTCTGGCTGGCCCTTCCCCAGCAGATGTGTGATTGTACTTTGCATATCAGGGCTCTCTTAGTGGCTTCTAGATGTAAATGCATCCCACCCCCACATCATTCAGGCATTAACTGCATTATGTCCATGATCTCATCCACTTCCTTCCATGGCCTCTATTACAGGCAGGATGGTGGCCATCTGTCCTATACACAGCTGAGGACACTGAGGCTCCAGAAAGCTGGGTGCCTTGTCCTTCACAGGACAACCCAGTCTGGGAGGACGGGACTTGAGCTTTGCACAGGGCCGGAGTCTGTTCATTCCTGGTCTCCGCATGGGGGACCTCCCCCATGTTTCACTCCTGAGCTCCAGCCTGTCGTTCATCTTTCTCTTTGCCCTGTGACTCCTGGTTACCGGCTGGGTCCCAGTACTGGGTTCCTGTGAAGCCATCTTCCGAGGCTGTAGCTTGGGAAGGGAATTGAGGGTAGGGACCCATGGGGTGAGCCCTTGGGAGGATGGGGCTCTACCTAGGACACATGGACCAGCCTAGTGGGCAGCTCCAGGCTGGTGGAGCAGGTGAGGGTGGGAAGTCAGTACCCCACCCTATCCAGGGCACACACCTCCTAGGAGTATACTTGCACTTGGCCACACTGAGAGCTGTGGCTCTTGGTGTGGACCCACCACCCATGCAGACAGTGTACCCAGTCCTCAGTCCTGCTCCAACACATGCTCTCACACTCAGACATGGCCCCCACACCCTCTAGCACTAGGCAAGACCTCTAGCACTAGGCCCTGTCGCCTGGACACGCGGCAGGCCACCTCCCTCTCAGGGTGCTTAGTCACCTGAATTTGATCCAGGCGGGAGGGAGAGAGGGAGGGAGGGAGTGAGGGATGGAGGGTCTGACGTCAGCCTTCACAGCCGCCTCAGCCTCCTGCTGCCTCCCGCCCTCATACCCATCTGGGCCCCAGCTTGGCCCAGGCAATCACAACAACTCACTTTCTATGGAGCTTCTTTCCTGGCCAGCCCTGTGCTGAGTCCCTCCTTACCCTTCTGCCCAGGGAGACCCACTGTTAGCCCCATTTTGCAGACGAGGAAATCCAAGATGCAGCTTCCTGCCCATTGGCTTACAGTCAGGGTGGTGTGCAGCCTGGCAGCCTGGCTTCAAAGCCTGGGTACAAAGCCAGATAACAGGGCCCAGCTGGAAGTGAAAGACTTCTGTACCCACTTGCTGAGTGATACCCAGCCCATCTCTGTCCCTCACTGAGCCTCCCTTTGCCCACCCCAGAAAGGAAGGAAAGAGAGCTTCAAGAAGAGGGTGGCTTACTGTGGGGATAGCACCTGCAGGAAAATTCTATGCAAATTTTATGGGCCATGGCAGAGTGTGCCTCTGCCCATGGTGGCTCTCAGTCCTCTGCCCCTTCCTGGGACTGTAGGGCAGGTGCTCCTGACTGTGCTCCCTCCCTGAGGCCTGTGGCCTCAGGCTTGTTGAGATTTCCTCGCTGAGGTTGCTTTCCTGTCTGTGTAACGGGGATAGGCCTGTAGTGATCACTATGGCAATCACTCATTTATTTCACAAATATTTATCAAGTACTGATTATATCCCTGGCAGTGGTGAGGACAGCAGGGACTTTCTGGAGACGAGGCAGACAGGAACCCTAATCTCATGGAGCTTGCATTCTCGTGCAGAAGCCAGTCCTGAGCAGTGAACGGGTGGTTCAGGCCGCAGGAGGAGCCTGGTCTCCAGGTTCTTCTTGGGCTTGGCCTCCGCTTCCCAGCAATAATCTAGTTTCTGCGGCCAACCTCCAGCTCCAGCTCCACTTGCTACTCCCCTCACCTCCTCCAGGGAGGCCCCTTTGGTCCTCTAGCCATACTCAGCCTCCTCCCTCCAGCGCTCCAGCCTCATCCCTGTCTCTCCTCCAGGTGCAGCCTTCATGTCTTTTCCCACTGCCAGTCTGCATCTTCTTCCCTCGTCCCTTCTGTACGGCATCTGTTTTGCTACCTGCAAGTTGCCACGTCCTCACCCGAACCTGCCTGCAAGCCCTGCTGTGGTTCTAGGAACTCTGGAAGGTACAGTATCCACAGCACAGATGGGGAGACTGAGGATCAGAATGGGGAAAAGCTGTTCTGGGCCCTGCAGTAGGTTGGCAGGCAGGACTGTCACCCAGTCCCATATGATCCTCTGTGCTGATCCTCCATATCAGTGGACTCTGGCCTCGACTCCTCAACATCTGTCACACAAGGGGGTGGTCTCTAAGTCCCTGTGTGGATGGAGGAAGCTACCAGTGGTTCAGAAGGGCAGAAGCGCAGTCCACTTGCTTCCTTTTCCTGAGAAGACGCTGGGTCCAGCCCAGGAAGGAGGGGGGCATTGGACTGGGGCAGGATCAGCCTGTATCTTGGGGCAGAGTTGAGTCCTGGCTGAGAGTCTGGACTCAGACTGGATGAGGCTGTGACCCTGGGTCACCGCCAGAAGGGTGGAGTGGGGCTCAAGCGGGAGCTACTGCTTGGCCTGAGACCTGGTTTAGGCTCGGATAAGAGATTTTATCCCTTGTGGGGAGCACCCAGAGAGCCCCAGCTCTCCCAGGTTCTTCTAGATGGCCGAGGATGGTAGTGGGGAGGTAGGTCAGGGGAGCGTCTCAGCCTGAGTAGATGTGGCAGATATTTTGGCCTTGTCAGCACACTGGAAGGAAAACCCAGGAGAAATAAGGAATGACCTTTTAGTGACAGCTACCAAAGAGATAGTGTCCTCCCTTAATGGACCCTGTCCTGGACTGGGGGCTCTGCTGGAGCAGGGAAAGAGGTAACCAGTCCTGCCTGGTGATCCTGGAGATGGTGAGAGAAGGGGAGAGAGGCTGGAGCTCTGGGGATATTCTCCCAGATGTTGTGAGAAGGATGGAGGTGGATGAGGTAGCTGGCCTGCAGCTCAGTGGCCTCTGGGTCACCAATGGCTAGTAGTCCAGCTTCTTGCAGGCAGTGCTGGATGTTCTGCTGTCAGGTCTGGGACTGGGAGTCCCTGGGCCTGTGTCCCTTGGGCGGGCTGAGCTGAGCTTGGACTTGGTCTGTCTCCATGCTGTTGGGCCTCCAGTCTTCTGCAGTGTCTGTGTGTCTGTCCTGATTTTAAGACACTAGAATCACTGCTCCTCTGGGAAGTCAGCATGGCAGAAGGGGCTGTGCCTGTTTTGGAGGTGGGGACCCTGAGAGCTGGAGAGCAGCAGGGACAGAGGAAGTCCTCGAATTCCTTCAGTGGGGATAGACTGGAGTCCGGGGACTGGCAGCCAGGAAGAGGGAATAGCAGGCACAGGAATGGAGGGGGGACCACGGGGCTGTAGCCAGCCACAGTGGGTGAAGGGCCGGGTCCCACTCCCTTGCTCTTAGCCGGTGTGATGTCCAGGAGTGAAGCCTTCTCTGTCCCCTCTCAGGTACCTGGCACGGCTGCACAGAGGACCCCCTTGACTGGGGCGATGGAGGGGGGCCCTGCCATCTGCTGCCCGGACCCACGAGCCGAGCTGGTGGAACGAGTGGCAGCCATCGACATGGCCCATTTAGAGGAGGCAGATGCAGGCTTCGAGCCTGCCAGGAACGGTGTGGACCCTCCAGCTCGGGCCAGGGCTGCCTCTGTGACCCCTAGCAGTACGTCAAGACCCCCGACGGTGCGGCCCAGCCTCTCGGCTAGGAAGTTCTCCCTGCAGGAGCGGCCAGCAGGAAGCTGCCTGGAGGCCCGAGCTGGGCCTTATGCCACGGGGCCTGCCAGCCACATCTCTCCCCGAGCCTGGCGGAGGCCCACCATAGAGTCTCGCCATGTGGCCATTTCCGATGCAGAGGTGGGTAGGACACAGTGGGGGTTGCTCCTGAGCCCTCTGTAGGCTTGCCCTCATTTGTGCCATGTAGTTAGCTATCCTTGGTTTACATACCTCAGATCTGGGGAGCTCACTACCCAACACTGTCACCTCTGTCTATCCAGGGAATTTCCAGGTGAGCCAAAGGTGGCCTCCTATGAGTCCTACCACTGCCCCCTTCCCGCAGCCCAGGCCTAGGAAATATATCTCTTACTTGTCCCCTAAAAGGTCTTTTTAGAGATCGGAAAATAAATGATGTGTACCGTACCCCTCAAGTATTCCCCAGCTCCCCTTCATCCTGTCTCTCAGGTCTGTTCTGATTCAGAAACTGCCCGGGAGCCTGTAGCCTCCGAGATCCTGCTGCACCTGACCTGGCCACTCGATCTGATCTTGAATTTGGGGCTGAAAGGTCCACAGGTGTCAAAGGCTGAGCTCTTTGTGCCTGAGCCGGAGCCAGGCTTCTCTCCTCAACCCTTCCTTAGGTTTTTTGCTTCAACAATCGAGCCCCTCCCCTTGCTCTGCTTCTGGCAATGCTCGCTCTGGGGTTTTTCACACCCTGGGGTCTCTTGACTCCACAGTCCTAACAGGCACAGAGCATAGCCACGACTTCACCAGTCGTTTTCACATAAGCTTCTTGGCAGTGAGGGTGGGGATAGCACCGCCAAACTTTCCCATCTAAACCTGAAGAGACCTCTGAGTCTGGGAGGCAGTCAGGGGCCAGCTCTGAATAAGCTCCTGCAGTGGGAGTAGTGTCACCTGTGGATTAAGCTGTATCTGACGCTTCCTCTTCCCCCAGGACTGTGTGCAGCTGAACCAGTATAAGCTGCAAAATGAGATTGGCAAGGTAGGACTGCGGCAGGACAATAGCATCGGGGCTCGGGGTTCTTGTCTTGAGGTTCATCTTTCTCTCTGGGGGTGAGAATGGGAAGCAGAGCCAGGAACACCCCAGCCTAAACGTGAGGCAAGTTTTGTCCTCTGTAGGAAGTACCCAGGGTGAGGTTGGGTGCTGTTGATACCTGACTCCCTGAGATTCTCATTCCTCCTCCTCTTTGTTTTATTTGTTTGTTTGTGACAGTCTTCCACTTTATAGTGCAGACTGGCCTTGAACTCCCTATGTAGCCCAGGCTGGCCTCAAACTTGCAGCAATCCTCTTGCCTCAGCCTCTTGAGTCTGGCATGTGTGCCACCATGCCCAGCTCCCTTAGGATGGATGAATGGCCAGCAGAGACAGAGGACAGCATAGGCTGTGCTGATCCTGGCAGGGGCAGTTTCCAGGGCACAGGAGACTCTTTCCTGTCTGCAGGAAATGTGTGCCCATGAGGCAGCTGAGGGTGGACCTGGGGATGGGATGCAAGGGCAAGGTCAGAGCTGTTTTGAGGAGGTCCTGGGGGAGGATGTCCATGCAGTGGAGCTGATGAGAGTTTGTCTGCAGGGCGCCTACGGTGTGGTGAGACTGGCCTACAATGAAAGTGAAGATAGACACTATGTGAGTCTGGGAGCAGAGGGAGGTATTGGCATGCTGGGCCTTAGACACTTGAGGAGCAGGGCACAGCTGGTGGCCAGGGCAACCCTTAAGGGAGAAAGTGCCTTGTCTCTATGCAAAGGGAATGAGCTGCCTGACCCTTGGAGATGCAAACAGAGGTCAGTCTCCTCTGTGCGGAGAGATCCAGAAAGGCTGAATCTTCCCCTGAGCAGCTACCCTGAGACACACCTGGGCCACACTTTCAGTGGCAATGGCAGGTGCCATTTCTCAAGTGACATTTCTCTCCCTGTCTCCTTAGGCAATGAAAGTTCTTTCCAAAAAGAAGTTACTGAAGCAGTATGGCTTTCCACGTATGTACTTTTCTGTCCTGTCCCTGGGAGCTCCTAGTCTGGAGACAGAGGAAGAGGAGATCACAGTTCCTGGCTACTTCTAGTTAGCAGTGGGGTAGAGGGGCAACAGTATGAGCCAAGGGTTGGAATGGAATGTGCATGGTGGCGTGGGACAGGACCATGGTCTTGCAAGAGTTGTGCTTGAGGCTGGCTGCACCCAGCTGTGGAGATTTTTTTTTTTTTTTTTTTTTTTTTTCTTTTTGAGACAGGGTCTTTCACTGTATAGTGCAGGCTTCCCTTGAACTCAGCTGTGGAACAGGGCTTTGAATCTTTTTCCTGGCCACAGGTCGCCCTCCGCCAAGAGGATCCCAGGCTGCCCAAGGAGGGCCAGCCAAGCAGCTGCTGCCCCTGGAGAGGGTATACCAGGAGATTGCCATCCTGAAGAAGCTAGACCATGTGAATGTGGTCAAACTGATTGAGGTAGGAGGAGGTGGTGAGCAGGGGACACCCAGCATACTCTGCATCTGCACGGACCCAGGGTCCTGGCGAGGGAATAGGTGTGACTGAGGCCCCAGAAGGCAGGCCAGACTTGGAGTGGGCTGCAGGGAGGAAGGGGGTTTGGTTCTGACTGGACAGAGGAGAGAAAGGCTGGATGGGGCAGGAACTGGTCGGCGATTACTGAGGCCCCATCTGTCCAGTCCCTGCTCCATGTCAGGGTGGCTGTGAGCATGCTGGGAGTCCTGGGGCTGGCAAGGACAAGGAGGCCTGAGCCCCTACTCCATGGCTTCTCAAGCCTCACCTCACGTCCGCTCACTTTCGCCAGGTCCTGGATGACCCTGCTGAGGACAATCTCTATTTGGGTGAGTGACCCAGGTCATTTCCACAGCAGCTCCTGTAGGGCTGGTCCAAGGGCTCCCTGGGGATGTGCATGAACTTCAAGTGGGTCTGGGGATGCACTGACTTCTTGGGGGCAGATGGGAGACACGTTTTCAAGCCCCGGGTTCCCTTGTGCAGCCTTGTCTAACTAGGCCCAGAAGAATCAGTAACAGTCAAATATTCCCAAGTCCCCACTTTCTGCTCCCCATTGATTGGCAAGACAGTAGGCCAGTGTATGCACTGTGCTTGGGTAGATGCAAGAGACAGGCTCTGTGGGTTCCTGACCCAGTCTGGCAGCTTTGCCCCTTAGTTTCCTCATCTATTAAATGAGATGGCAGTATTGGGACTCTAGCTCAGTGGTAGAGCACTTGCTTAGCTTGTGCTGGGTTCCAGCTGCTGTACCACAAGATAAACAGATAGATAGATAGATAGATAGATAGATAGATAGATAGATAGACAGATAGATAATACAGTGGGGTAACAATGGTATTTACCTTGCAGGGTTGATACCAGAAGGAAATGATTATATGCAGAACATACCAGTTTTTGTCTTTGTTAATGTTATTTAAGTTCCCCATGCCTGGGTTAGTACTGGCACAGAGCATGTGAAAGGGTCAGAAGGAGAACCAGCTTAGGAATTGGAGGCCAGGGCTCTGTACCCTGCCTGCCTGTCTGTGATGAGCCGCCCCCTCGACCCTCAGGACAGGGAGCTAGCATTGTCTGTTTTGGCAGCCTTGGCTACACCTTACCTTCTTCTTTTTGCTTTTGTTTCTTTCAGTGTTTGACCTCCTGAGAAAGGGGTGAGTTCCCCATCTTGATCAGGCAGGTCGATTTAATCCAGGTCTTCCTTTCCCTCCCTCCTTGTTCCCGGAAGATCATGGGGCCTTAGGAGGAACCAGAGATCTAGACCCTCTCCCAAGAGCTGCAGTCTTGGGGGTGGAGATCTAGAAACCCGTCCTTCGAAGGTTCCTGGTGGTTACTGAGGCTTGAGTAATGCCAGAGGCCTCTGGAAGCAGGGTGGTGGGGGTGTAGGGGTGCTTTGAGACAGGTCTTGAAAAATGGGACAATCTGGATGGAAGAGAGGGGGAAGGAAGGAATGTTTTTCAAGCAAACGTGTAAGACAGGACTTCATTTTGAGGGGTGCAGTTGAGACAGGATTTCACTAGGTAGTTGAAGCTGACCTTGAACTCATTATGTAAGGCAGGCTGGACTTGAACTTGAAGTGATCCTCCTGCCTCAGCCTCCTTCCTGAGTGGCAGGCCAGGCATGATTATAGACATGTGCCACCACGCAGGACTTCAGTCTTACCTGTATTCAAATCAGAAAGAGTTCTTTCAGCTTTACAGAAAACTTGTGAACCAAGTGGGAGGGACTCCATGGGTGCCCCTTTGGGAGACAGAAAGCCAAGGAGAGTCATTGATGGAGTCTACAGTTGTAGCCACTGGAGAAGTGGAGGTTGTATTTCTGAGTTTTCCATATATTTCAGTGCAGCTGAAAGGGAGTAGTGGGCATGGCACTGGGTGGACAGGGACCCTAATAGCCAAAGCCTTGAATGCAGGCTGTGGTGTGGCTCTCTGTGTGAGAGCAGCTTCCTAAACACACATTTGGGGGAGAAAGTGGCCTCTTTAAGACTCAAGGGCTTTCAGATATATATATATATATATATATATATATATATATATATATATATATTTTTTTTTTTTAACCTCCATTCGAAACAAGAAATATTTCTTAATGCTATCTATATCTGTAACTGAAACCGAAGTTTTAAGAAACAGTATTTACATGTAATACATTGTACTTCACTAGGAAAAAAGAAAAATAAAAAAGCAGTTGCCACCCACTAAATTGATTTTAGGACTCTCTGTTGGATTCGTTTGAAAAGTACTGCTATAAGTAGTATCTTTGAAATTATCTGATTATAGACAACACAGTACGTAGAAGAAATACAAGCCATTGCAGCTAAGATAAAGCTGATTTGGAATTGTGATTGAAAATGTGTATCGGTGTCAACCTGTGAGAAGTGAGAAGCAGTCAAGGCCCAGGGTTCTCAGGACCAGGCTCCCCCCAGGTCCCAGGCTTGCGTGGCCCACCTCCCCACCTCCTGCAGTGTGGTTTTCCTCGGATTCTGGCTGAGCACCCCTCCCCCGCCTTCCCATAGGCCTGTCATGGAAGTGCCCTGCGACAAGCCCTTGTCTGAGGAGCAAGCTCGCCTCTACCTGCGGGACGTCATCCTGGGCCTCGAGTACTGTGAGTGAGCGGCTGCCTGCCCCCGGGACTGAGGTTAGGCGATCGAAGCCTGCACCGCCAGTCCGCACTGCTCTGCCAAACAGCTTTAGCGAAGGCGGGGCCATTGGCCTGTGGGCGGGGCCTAGGCGGAGCTCACCGGGCATGCGTCAAGCTCTGCACCGTGCTCTGTGGGTGTTTTGTTGCTGTCTTTGCTGTTTTCCACAAGGCCTCAAGAGATGGGGAGGAGCTGGGGCCCGTGGGTGTGGCAGGGTGAGTTCAGACGTAAGGGCTGCTGCGGTGCTGAGTTCAAGAGAGATGTTAGCTCAGCCTCTGTCTGGAAGTCATTTACTTATTGGATCATTCATTTCATTTATTCTTGGTACCTACTAAGTGCTGAGTGGAGATCCAGAGATAGCAAAGCCCCAGGCCTGACTCCAAGAATCTCACTGGCCTGGAGGGAGGGGCAGGAACTCAAGCAGGTAGATGACATGCTGTAGGGCAGTGCCTGCCAAGGCTGAGAAAGCACAGGGTCCTGGAAGACCAGGGTTCTAAGGATGAGTAGGAGTTCATTGGCCAGGTTTTGAGGAGTGGGGAGAGAAGAGTGCTCCAGGCAGCGGCAGAAAGAAGAGGGTCTGTATTCTTGAGGGTTTCAGTCTGTATGAAGCAGCAGGGTGGAAGGCAGAGGAGGTGGTTAATGGACAGTGAAGCTGAAATGTGGGAGAGTGGACTTTCAGGGCCTCCCCTCAGGGTTGCATGGCCCTGAGGGCACTGAGTGGGCAGGGTAGGATGGAGTTTGTGTCTTATAAAGGTCTGTCTGGCAGCTATGTGGTGATTAGATCCAAGGCTGAGAGATTGCCGGTGGGTGGTGGGGAGCTGTTTTTACAGCCAAAGTGACAGATGGTATGGCTGAGATTAGGGCAGTGGCAGTGGGGAGGAGTGTGGAGAGTGTGGCCAGCACAAGGTGTCTGACCAGTCTGGGGAGCAAGGGGCCCCAGACGCCTAGGACTCTGGCCTGGGCTAGGGACCAGGGTGCTGCCTGTCTCTCTGAAATCTTAGGCTGGCTTGTTAGGGATATATTCTCCTTGGGGGAGGAGAGGGAACCTAGCTGATGTGTGACCTGAAGTGGCTGGAACAGGGCTGCCTTTATCCTTCTTGAGCCTCTCCAGTGCTCTCAGATTAATGTTCTCTTTGAACATGTGGGAAAACAGATTCATAGAGGGGAAGGCTTTGCAGAGGATCCTTAGCAAGGAAGCAGAGGGTATTTCCCCCAAGTGGTCAGTGGCAGGCCAGTCCTAAACAAGCTTGGCTCCACCCCCTTCCTGTACTAGGCTCTTCGATGCACAGGGTCTGTTGCCTGCCATCTGCTATCTCTCCCTAAAGCACACTGATTCATCTGGTTCTTGATGTAGCTTCCTCAGGACCCAGCTGATCACAGTGAAGCCAGCTGGAGGGGGTGGTTGATGCCAGGAGCTGGACAGGTGGGTGACCAGTGGTACCAGTGCCCTCAAGACGGGTCTTGTGGTTCTGACCCAGGGAATACAGAGTTGGGGCTGCCCAAGCATGCTCTGTGGTCAGAGAGGGGCAGGCCAGTTCTCAGTAGATGGGGCAGGTGCAGCAATGTAGATGATGGGCAATAGTGGGTTTGGAAATCTGCTTTGAACTTGGGGTCAGCTGATGTGAGGTCTGAGTGGAGGAGTGGAGGAATGGTCCCAAGGTTTGGCAACTTTAACAATATTACTCTGTATATGAAAGACTAGAAGAGAAATAGGGAGTTTCTCTTTGGTTTGTTTACTTGGTTGTAGGGGTTGCAGGTGGAGAAATAAGAAATGTTTTGTGATGCACTGAATATATATATATATATATATATATATATATATATATATATTGATTTATGTGTGCATCCATCTTGATGTCTGTGGGATCGCCAAAAGGTAAAGAGCCTGGGTCAAGCTAGAGTTTGATATAAGCATCTGAGGGGCTGATTGGCAGTTTAGTTATTGAGTCCTTGCCTGTTATACATCAGGCACCGGGTTTGATCCCCAGGACTGCAAAGAATTTGAGACTACTTTCCACAGCCAAACATGCAGCTCCCTGAGCTTCTGGGCTCAGTAGGACTGTGTCAGATTCCTTGTGTGTACCTGGAACTTGGTAGGCAGTTAGTAAAGGGCACTGCTATTGTGATTATTAGTGTGTGGTGCTCACTTCCTCTGACTGGCCTTCCCCTCCTCTATTTCCTACTTTTCCCTCCTTTTCTATCTTCCCTTATCCAGTATCATGGGGTCTGTGACTCCAGGAGAAGGAATTTGCTGAGAAGGGATCCCACAGCTGGATAGTTGTGGGGTGGGGTCAGTCACTTTTCTCAACTGGGACATCTCTCGTCATCTCAATTTGAGCCACCCATCCTGTGCTGGCAGTGCTGGGCCCAGGAGGCAGAGCAGGCTCTTAGCCTAGTAGGCTCTTAGTCTAGTAGAACTTCATTCTACTAGAGATGGCTCTTTGCTCCAGCCAGCCTGGTGCTTTCTCTGATGCCCTCCGTCCTTGAACCCCATCACCCTGCATCCCTTGGGCTGAGACCATGCATCTATAGGATACCACCATCCCCAGCATCAAACCCTTAGTGTTAGAGGTAGGGATATTTTTGACCAGGCTGGGTAGGAAATGGAACTAGGAAATCTGGGAGCTTTGAGCTCCAGATGGCAGTGATGTGGGAGGGGAAGAGATGGCCTAGGGAGGGGCCCTCTACCCATTTCCTCTCGCTTCTGCCCCCAGTATCAGGTACCTTATTTGTCATGGAGAGAGCACTGGACTTGGAGTCGCCAGGCACCTAAAATTCTCTCCTGGCTTGGCTGCTGACAGCCAGAGCTGAGCGGCAGTGTCTTCATCATGTTGAGCACATGGTCCTGCTGTCCTGTTTTAAGGTCCTAATGCGACAAGAGTGTGCGTGGACTGGGATGTGCCAGCAGGCTTCCCTGACCTGACCGCCTCTCTCTGCAGTGCACTGTCAGAAGATCATCCACAGGGACATCAAGCCATCCAACCTGCTCCTGGGGGATGACGGGCACGTGAAGATTGCCGACTTCGGTGTCAGCAACCAGTTTGAGGGGAACGATGCTCAGCTGTCCAGCACGGCGGGCACCCCTGCATTCATGGCCCCTGAGGCCATTTCTGACTCTGGCCAGAGCTTCAGTGGAAAGGTGACTTCCAGTGCTTGGGCAGGTGGGAGCAGAATGTCTTGCAGCAGGGACCGTTTTCAAGCTGAGGGTGTCAGGCCCTTGCATCTAGGGAGTAATATCCAGCAGCTTGACATGTTCCCTAAATGTGTTGTCCTCTCAAGTTCCAGTGCCATGGTCACAGAGCTCCTCTGCAGATATTTACTGGCACTTGTCTTGTGTCTGGTCCTGGGCTGGGCTATGGAATAAGCAGAGCCATGAGGGTCCTTCCTCCCGCCCCTCTGCCTGGTAGACAGGACAGGAGAGCTCAAGGTCAGGGGAGCTGAAGGCTCCTGATCTTGAACGAGGAACGGTCTGTACACAGGCTGGAAGACTGGGGAGGATCTGAGCCAGAGGTAGACCCAGAGGATGCACAAGAGGACAGAGAGGCATGGGGCTCAGAGGGCTGGAAGTTTGAACTTTCTCTGCAGTGACAGAGGCAGGAGGGGAAGCTTTCTGAGAACAGGTTACTATGCCATTGCGTCCCCTGGGCACAAGCCTGGTCTCACTGGTACAGGGGGAGGGCCCAGAGGCTTTGGATGTAGGCAGGGCCTAGGGCTCAAACAGGTCAGGGATGTCAATTTTAAAAAATTTTTTATTTGCGTCAGAGATACAGCTCAGTCGTGTGGCATTGTCTAGCATATGTGGGAATGTTTGATCCCTAGAACTACAAAACAGCAAAAAACTAAGAATAACTTTTCTTTATTTTAAAGAGAAAAAAAAAAGCGACACAGAAGTTCAAAACAAGACAATAGATTAATAATGGTTAATATGTTGCTCGGATTACAAGATATAGGCGTGAAAAACTGATCGAATAACATAAGCACAAACCATTCTTTTCAATGAATAACATTTTATTTTTTTAAATTTTATTTTATTTTTTTGGTACTAGGGGTTGAACTCACAACCTTCTGCTTACCAGTCAAGCACTTAAGCCGCTGAGCTAAATCCCCAGCCCAATAACTTTTTATTTGGATGAAATCCTAAGTGTACAGAAAAGTCGTAAAAACAGTACAAAGAAGTACTATATAACTTTTTAACCACTTTCACCAGTTACATACATTGCATGTCATTTGATTATATATATATAATTTAATATTTTATGTGCATTTTATCGTATATATATATATATTTCCTGATACCTGTAGATATGTGTGTGTTCATGTCAAATTTTTCTAAGCCATTCAGAGTGAAGTTTACCACTCCTTGAGTGGAGATGTCCTAAGAACAAGGACTTTCTCTTACATAACAGTGCAGTAATCAAAACTGGGAGGCTTGCCTTTGGTAAGATTGTTGTATAATTTATAATGTGTTTAAATTCTTATTATTTGGGCCAAGGATATAGCTCAGTGGCACAAGAGCCTGTCTGGCAAATGCAAGGTTCTGAGTTTGATTCCTAGTACAAAAAAAAATTGTTATACTTTATGTTTAAACTTTGTCAGTTTTCTCAACTTTGTCAGTTTTATTGTCCTGTGTAACTTTTTCTACCCCTGGCTGCAATCTAGAGCCATTTGTCACATTCACTGTTGTGTCTCTTTCGTGTCCTCTGATTTGGAAGAAGTCTCTAGCCTTTCTTTGTCATTTCTGACCTTGACATTTTTGAAGAGAACAAGGCTGTTATTTGTAGAACATGTCGGTTGGTGTTTGTGTTCCCTGATTGGATTTTAGTGATGCATCTGTCGCCCGAGTGTGCAGTGGAGATCTGAGGAGGGCCCACATTAGAGGAGAAGTAGAAGCTGGAAGAAGGGGCAGAGGTCTGCAGGGGCTACAGGGGGAGCACAGTGACAGTCCAGGAAGGGGGAGCCTGAGGAGCGCGTGGAAGGAGTGGCCACTCCCTCTTGTCCTGTAGCACTGCGGGGTGAGTAGGGTGGAGGGGCCTTACTGGCAGAGGGAGGCAGGTGTCAGGAAGAAGGTGGTTGCTGCGTCTTGGGATGAGCAGTAGAAGGCGCAGCCCCTCGAGGCCAGAGCCGGTTTCGTGAGCGTGAGTTCAGTACCTGCTGTCACTTCTGGTGTGCATTTGAGGGTGCGCCTGTGACTCTGTGAATGAAGATGACTTCCCACCTGTTGAGCTGGACACATCTGGTTTCAGCTTGTCCCAAGGAGGATTGAGGCCCCCGGAGAGCAGTGGCTCTGGAGTGGTCACCAGCTTATCCCACTGCTCAGCAAAGGGCCCAGCAGAGTGGAGCAGGCACTGTGGAGCCTTTGTGGAATGGATATGGGACCGGGGAGGGTGGACCTCTACAGGCCCCTTCTTGCTGCCCCCTTGAGCTGGGTATGCGGTGAGCGGTGCTAACAACTGGGGGCTGATGGGAACGTGTTACTTCCTAGGCCTTGGATGTGTGGGCCACTGGAGTCACGCTGTACTGTTTTGTCTATGGGAAGGTGAGTGCGGTGGGGAGGTGGGGTGAGCCCAGATGTCTGGCACCACAGGCTGGGCACAGTGGTGTTATTGCCTCTTCTCTAGCCAGACTGCTCCCTGTCCCTCTGGCCCTGGAGGCCACTCAATCTCTCACCCACACATTCACTCAGTCATGCCCATATGGACTGCTTTTGTGGGTCAGACCGGGCCTTGTGGGGATCTGAGATGCTGTCTCCGGGGGTTTCCATGTTAGCGACCACACCGAGGAGCTCAGTGAACACATTCTCACACACCGGGCCCTGGGCTAGAGGCCTTTCTGTCGTGGCTCTGATACCAGGGGGGACAGCAGTCTCACAGTTCCCTCAGACACCCTATGGGGGCCACTGTGCCCCCTGCTTTCAATCAGGGCCCCGTGCCTGCATCCCCTGTCTGCCTCTCCCAACAGTGTCCATTCATCGATGACTACATCCTGGCCTTGCACAGGAAGATCAAGAATGAGGCTGTGGTGTTTCCCGAGGAGTGAGTTGTCCACCCAGGGACCCCAGGGAGGGTGTGAGAGCTTGGCAGAGCTTCCACTCCTTGAAGACCTTACTCTAGCCTGCAGATCCTTGGGAGGGACACCAAGCAGAGGGAGGGAAGGGCCTGTGGAGCGGAGAGTCTCCAGGATGTGAAGGTTGGGTCTTGTATAGATGGGGCTACTGAGGCAGAGAGGATCCACTGACACCATCCCTTCACTGCATGGGGTTGGCAGCACCAGTCCCACAGTGCCCCTGGGCCCAAGGGGGACTTTTGCTTTCTCTGTGTTTCAAGGGGGCCTTTGAGATGCCAGTGTGGCTGGCATTTCACAGATGGCAAACAGAGGCTCTGAAGGACAGTTGCTAGCGGGGCTGGGTTTGGAGCCACTGTCTTCTTCCTCCCATTGTAACTTCTTCCTTCTTTCTGTTCCTCCCACTGTGACTGAGGTGTTTGGGCTCAGGGGGCTCTCACGAGCCCCCTTGACCATCTCTGGTTCTTCCACAATGGCCTTGGCTGTTGTGGCTCTTCATTTTTCAGGGCTCCCCTACCATCTACTCAAATGGCTGGGACAAGACAGAAACTGGAAGAGGGTTTGTCTTCCATGACTCCTGCTATTCTGTGATTTTAGTTTTTCTGGTACTGGGAATGAACAGGAAATCTTTGCACTAAACTACATTTCTAACTCTTTCCATTTTGAGACAGGGTCTTGTTAAGTCATGAAGTTGCCCAGGTTGGGCTTGAACTTGGGATCCTTCTGCCTCAGCCTCGCAGAGTTCTGGGAGTCTAGGCAGGTGCCACAACTCCCATGACTGCTGCTGATTTGTACCTGCTTCCTGTCTGGTCCCCAAGCCCTGTGGGGTCCGTCTCTTGCCTTTCTTACACCTATGCCTCCTCCTCAGTCAGGCCTAGGGCCCCCCTCGCAGGACTTCTTCATCCCTTCCCTCTCTGGCCTTCCCCTGCCCAGCCAGTACACTCAGGCCAGGCTGACTGTGATAGAGTGCATCAGGCCTGACCCTATTTCCTGCTTAACGTTTGTCCTAGGCTTTCTAAAGCTTACAGGACAGAGGTTCTGGCCTTGGCATTCAAGGCCCTCTGGAGTCTACAACTTACCACAGCACCCTCTTCCCCCTGAGCACTTTAGTGCCTATGGGATTTGGTTCATTTCCTATTTTTCCTTTAACTTTTTGGCTCCTTATCTTCTTCCTGCTGCCCCTTGCTCTAGGACCCCCTCCTTTCTAGCGTGTAAGACAGCAGAAGGGAGTGGGTGGGTTCCTTCTCCCCCCCTCTGGACAGACAAGTGCCCTAAGGATGTTGGTAGCCAAGAAGCCTGGAGTTTAAGCAAAGACGGGCCCAGTTGCTGTGGATCTGAGAGCACTGTTGTGCCCCTGAGGTTCCTATCTCTGCCCAGTTCTCTTCTGAGTGGCAAGGTACCAACCCTGCAGCCTCCCGGGGCCTCAGTTTCCTCCTCTGTCAAATGAGAGGCCACCTGCCAGGTGGAGGCAAGGATGAGAGAGTCAGCAAGAATGCAGGCTGGAAAGTGGCTCTTCTCAGGTTATGTCACTGTCCTCCGGCTCAGAGTGTTCCAGCTCCTGGGGGACTCTTTTGTGTGGCCTCTGCCCCTCTACTTCCTCCTCAGGAAAGGAGATCCATGCGCTTTGCTGAAACTCTCCTCTGGCTGTTCCCCTGGGGTCCTCTTGCTTTTTCCATCCGAGGAATGAGGGCTGGGTGTGTCTCAGATCCAGGGCATGGTGGGGCAGAGGAGGGCTGAAAGGGCACTCATCATCCGTTTCACCCCAGCTCCCCCTTCTCATCTTTAGGCCAGAGGTCAGCGAAGAGCTCAAGGACCTAATCCTGAAGATGCTAGACAAGGATCCCGAAACACGAATTGGGGTGTCGGACATCAAGGTGAGGGAATAAGAGGTCTTGGGGCTGAGCAGGGCTGGGACATAGAAAACAGGCCTCAGTTTCCCTTCCTGGAGAGACCTACGCTAGGACTTCTCTGGGTTGGGTTTGGGTGTCAGGTGTGAGGGCTTTTGGATTTGTTCGAGGTCTTGTTGATGAGAGGCCTGGAGTCTTTGCTGGTTGGGCTTTGAGCCCTCCCTGCCTTTCGATCTTCACAGTTGCACCCTTGGGTGACCAGGAATGGGGAGGAGCCGCTCCCCTCGGAGGAGGAGCACTGCAGTGTGGTGGAGGTGACTGAGGAGGAGGTGAAGAACTCGGTCAAGCTCATCCCCAGCTGGACCACGGTGGTAAGAGGGTGAGGGGCAGAGGCTCCCTTGTCCTGGGAGACCCGGAGGAGAGCGTGTGCACTGCTTGAACCTTGCCTTGTGTGTGTCCCTGTGGCTCTGTCAGCTGGCGTGGTGGGAGCCACAGAGCCCGCTGCCACTTTTCGGGAATCCTGTGGAGAAAGGGGTTATGTTACTCAGCCTTGCTGGAGGCAGACCAGCTTGGAGAGGAGAGAGAATGGCTTTAAATGGACTGAGTGGTGCATGAGGTGTATGCCTATAATCTCAGCGCTCTGGGGCATTGAGAGGCTGGAGGGCTGCAAGTCTGAGCTCAGCCTGGACAAGTTAGCAATGTAAAGAGACCCTTTTAAGTAGGCTGGGGATGTAGCTCAGTGTGAAAGTTTAATCCCCAGGATCACAAAGGAGAAGAAAAAGGAAAAGAAGAAAAACGCTCCCCAAACCTCTGCAGGGCTTGTCCCCAGCTTTGCTACCATCCTGGCAGTATTCCCTGGGGCGGAGAGGACATTTCTTTCCTTCCGAATGTTTCCCAGGCACTGCCCTGAGGCCATGACAGGGAAAATCTTGGAAGCCTGGGAATTGCAGCAGTGGCTCCAGACTCCCCTGTGTGTCACACACCCCAGCAGCCACCCTCTTTGGGAACCCGGGTGGGCCTGTGTTCCTCATGCTGATGTCTGTTCCCCAGATCCTGGTCAAGTCCATGCTGAGGAAGCGCTCCTTTGGGAACCCATTTGAGCCCCAAGCACGCAGGGAAGAGAGATCCATGTCTGCCCCAGGAAGCTTACTGACGTAAGTGCTAGCATCCTGTAGAGTGCTCCCTAGGCTGGGAGTGGGACACCGAGGCACAGCACCCTGGCTTGCACCATAGTGGGGCTATGCAGGCTGAGCCAGAGGTTGGGACGCATCAACCGTGTCTCACAGAGGGCCCCATTTGTAACCTCTGTTCCTGAGGCTAGTTGGGCTAGAAGGGACCTTCCTGGGCTAGGCCTGTTCCAGGGTGGGCCTGGACTCCCTCCCACACTGCCAGGGATGAGGAGCTCATTTGGTCCCTCATGGGACAGGATGTCCCTTCTGTCTCTTGATGGCCTGATGTTTTCACACATCCCCGCTGGCCCCAGCTCAGCCTTCTTTCCAGGTAGCCTGGAAGAGGTCTTCAGGCAGGCTCAGTGTGCTTCTTGTATAAGGCTGGCTGGTTGCTGGAGGGACAGGCACGTCTGTCCCCTTTTCACGGCTCTGTAGTGGGTGTCAGCTGCTTTTCTGAGTGGCCCATGCCACATGCAACTTGTTCTTTGTGAATACCTACCTGTCCAGTGAGTCAGCTGGGCAGGCGGTGAATTGGCCCGGTGGAGAGGAAACTCAGTTTTCTATGTGAACCATTTTCCTACTGTGAACCACTTGGGTGAGTTTGCTGTCGTATAAAAGAGGCCAGAAGAGCAGTTCCTCAAACCTCTCAAACCTCTGTGGGCCTTGTCCTCAGCTTTGGCACCATAGTCAAAATCAGTGTGAAGGGCCAGCATGGCCTGCTGGAGTTTGCACCTAGACCTGGACCAGAACGTGATGTTGGGTGACAGTCACTTCTTTTGGCCTGCGAAGTGAGCTACAGAGAGGAGGGGTGGTAAGAGCTGTCTCTTCCCACCTGCCTGGTGGTTAAGGCATGCTCCCCGGGGATTCAACTTCATCTGTGTCCTTCCAAGTCACATCTGCATGGTGTAGGGTGCAGCTTGGGAAAAGCCCCACTCAGGGTAGCCATTTTCCCGTCTTTGGTGAAGGGGGTTCTCTGAGCTCATTAGGTCTTAGGCCCTGATGCTAGAATTGTGCTGAGTGTAGGGGAGAGGCCACTTCTGAGCGTGAAAGGGGAAGATGTTTATAATTGGGCCAGGAGGAGCAAAATCTGGACTGTCCCCAAACCAGACATCATGGCCCAGCGCCCCCTGCTGGTTAAAGACACATCTAATCTGTGTCCCGCAAATCGCTAATAGTTTGGGTTCAATACTTTTTCAGGCCTAAAATTCTATAATTTGAGTCCCAAGTTTAATTTTGAAAACAGATTTGACCTCATAGCCAAGCCCCAGTGCTTGATTTTGGTAGACCCTGTTGTTCACACTTAGGGATAATCATGACACTGTGGTAGAGTTATGTAGGGGGGTTAAGAGAGGTCTTGGATGGGGAGATCAGGAATCCACTGAATTCATAACAGAACCCCAAGACTGATAGGTGCTCTCCCTATGAATAAGGGAAAGAAAATGCAAAAGAAAAGCATTTTACCTACATCTGCTGGAGGCCGATCAAGGTCAGGGTGCAAGGTCTTTGGCTTGGCTGCTATGACAAGGACATGGGGAAGTCAGCTGGGTCAGATGAGAGGCCCTGGAAGCCAGGCTGGGGAGTTTGTGTTTCATCTCAGCGCAAGGGCAAGCCACAGCAGGGTGGTGGGCTGAGGCTGGGGCAGGCAGAAGACCAGGGAGTGATGTTATGTTCTGGGGGTGGTGGGAGAGGAAGAAGGCCATACTTGGAGCAGTGGGTACGGAGGTATTTGAGAGATTGTGGGATAGATACCTCTATGTCTGTGTGTGTGTATGTGAGAGAGAGAGAGAGAGAGAGAGGGGCTGAATACACATTCTGAACTCTGAGGTCCTTCTATCCCTGGTGTCACCTGAATAGGAAAGAAGGGTGTGGCGAAGGAGGTAAAAGCCCGGAGCTCCCTGGAGTCCAAGAAGACGAGGCTGCATCCTGATCCTCTGCATGTGCCCAGAGCCACCAGGCAGCACGTTCATCCCACGCCTCCAGAGGCCACCGCCCTCATGCGACAGCTGCCCCTGCAGGCAGGGGGCCGGGGGCTCGAGCCCCTCTCCCCGCCCCTCCCTTTCTGTACCGCATGATGTCTGCGCAGGCACGTCCCGGGACAGATTGGAATGTGTGTCAGCTGGGGCTGGAGGCAGGCTCCTACGGCACCTTCCTCTCAGTCCTAGCTCTGTGTGGCCCGACTCAGCCCGTGGGGAAGCCAGGGGCCCGTGGAACCTGGCTGGTTAACATGGCTCAGGGCAGGGGTCCAGGGACCAAGGTGGCAGATAGAGGCCTAGCTTAGCTACCGCTCTAGAAGGTGACAGAGCTATTGTGTGCTCAGAATGCTGGTATGGAGGCTCTGACCTCTCCATGTATGCCTAGGCCTCAGTGGGAGGTGGCAGTGTTGGAGAATTCACACTCCTTTTATGTTGTCTTTTACTTTTGATTCTAACCTAAGAAATGGGAAAACCTTACTAGGGAACATCTAATGAGCCTCCCTATAGCTTTGGGGGGTTCCTAGCATATCCACCATTATTCAGTGACCAGTGGATTGGGCTGACCTTCCTGGATTGGCACCATCTGGAAAATGGGCTGAACTAAATCATACTTGGAGCATGGGCCCGAGCCTAGAGCAGCAGCCTTCTCTACCCACTTCCCTCCTCCTTCATAGCTCCAAAGGCCTCACCAGGGATGATATAGGCCAAGGGCTGAGGACTCAGGGCTATGGCCTTGCGCATGCTGAAACAACTGGAGTCCAATCACTGACCCTCACTGGCTTTCCCGTCACATACCTATGGTGAAGGAGAAACTGCTGAGCTCAGAGGCCAGGCTGGATGAGGCACCCTGCAGGGCCATCTACAAAGACTGGCACACAGCCTCCTCGCCAACTGTTGTGCCACCCGGACGGTCACCAGCCAGGCTGCTCAGAGCTGGAGCACGGGCACCTGTGTGTGGGCAGCGCCTTCTGGAGCAGGCTTCTTACCTCTGGGATCAACGAGTGGCTGGCTGGCTTGATGTTCACCGACCAAACCTCAGAGGTGGGCCCTCACCCCCCAAAGGGAAGTATATGGGGCTCAGAGCTGCCCCTGAACACAGGAGGACTGGTCCGTCGGAGAGGGAGTTCAGTGGAGGAGGGCCACGTCCTGCATCTCTGTGCCTGTGGGTGTACGTTGCGCCTCCACACGCACGCACACACGTGCGTGCCCATCTGCTGCACACAGCACACTCGCATTTCTTGCACCAGTCCATGCATCTGTAACATAGTTTCTATGTCTGTTTAAGGCTAGGAGCAGAATGCGGCCTGCTGTCAACAGCTCCTCTGCATTAAGGCAGTCTGTGACCCAGGGCTTAGACAGCATAGTTCAGAACCATCCGTAAGAGCACGTTTATAGAGCTGAAGTGATTGAGAAGTTAAAACTCAGTCCCTGGCCAGTGAGTTTTCCTGAGCATTTCAGTGAGGTGCCTATAAAGGCCAGGGCTTGCGGAGCTTTATGGATGGGACCCAGCCTTGGAGAAAGCTCAGAGGTGGCTGGCTGGCCCTGTGACATGGCCTGTGACAGCTTGGATGGAATGTCCACCTCATTACTGAGGCTTTATTGGCATCGTCATTTTTGGATGTAGCATAAATGATGAACAAACTCCATAAAAGTGTTTTAAAAATTAACTTCCCAGGAAGTGAGTTAAAAACAGTAAAAGCCCTTTCTTGAATTTAAAAAAAAAAAAAAGAAGAAGAAGAAGAAGGCTTTGTGTGTCCATTTTCTGCATCTGATTATGTGTTCTCTCATCAGGTAGATCAGCTGGTTTGGCTTGCTTTTCTAGAAAGGTTTGAGGCAACGCAAGTCCCTGAGTAGCGTGCAGAGGGAGGTGCTTGGGGAGGTGAAAAGGAAGGAGGGAGGGAGCGAAGTGGGTTCCTGGGGCTCCTGGGCAGGTCTGAGGCCCCTCCTTGGGAAGGACTGTGCGCTTGGGAGCAGGCGGGCTGCACACACAGGGTCAGGAAGGCTGAGGTCTTCTCTGGTCTAGGGGTAGCCTGGGCTCAGTGCCTGCCCTGTGCCTCCTTGTGTGGCACTGGTATTCCCTCCATAGAAGGGACCTCCAGGGTAGTGGTGGAAAGAGTCACCACCGACATCACACAGCTTTGTACTGGAATCCAAGCTTTGCTAGGTCAGGACTATGTCACTGGAGGTAAGTCACCGGAGGAAACTTGGTTTCCTTGTTAGTATACCTTGAATGAATATCAGCACTGCCTTCATGGGGTTCTGTTTCAGTAGATGAAGTCATTGTGAGTGCCCAGCATAGTGCTTGACATCTAGTAAGCAGCAGCCAGCAAGTGAGACCTCCAAAAGAAGCCATGGAGGCCCTGGGTTCAGCATGTCCTGCATGGAGGGTTGCAGAGTTGGGAGTTTCCAGCTCGCACTGAAGACCAGGAAGGAGACAAGGCTAGAGGATGCCCAGGTTTTCACCCAAGGAAGAGGCCAGGTTGCCCCTGCTAGCTTCCTAGTTGTCTTGTGAGGGCTGCACCAAGTCCTTCCAAAGGGGGTGCAGGCCACCAGGCAGAAGTCCCCCAAAGACCAGATCAATCAGTGGGTCTTGGCCTCACTTCTTTCTGGCCCCTGCAGCTTCTGACCTCGCCTCCTCACTGGCCCCCAGCCCTTCCCCTCATCAGCCACCAGTGTGGTCTGTCTGAGCACCCACCTGGCCAGGCTACAGTCACTCCAAATGCCTTCTGCCAGTCATCTGTGTCCCCTTCTCCCTCAGGCCTTCCCGTGTCTCCAGGGCACCGTCGTTCCTCACCCTCTGCCTCTGCTCCTCAAAGGTGGCCCTACCTTTCAAGGCCTGTTGGGCAGTGAGAGCTCTGAAAAGGATCCCAGAGGCCTGGTATCATTTCTCTATGCAGACCACCCCTCTAGGAGCCACACTGTGGTAGAGAACCCCCAGGGTAACACAGAGCATCAGAGATGAGCCAGGTGACAGCTCACATATGCCCACCTGCCCCCTCCAAGGCCTCCCTACACCAGCTACTGGGAAAACTAGGAACCCCACACATGCAAATCACTGGAAGACCAGAGTTGGTGTCCACCCCTTCAGATGTCACCGTGCAGGGCAGGTGAGCCTGGGCACAAGGGTCTATCTGAAAGCCTGGGAGGCAAGCTGGGGTGTGCCACAGGAGGACTTGGTGTCTCAGAGGACATGTTTTGCACTCTAGATACCACAGGTTCTTTACTTTGGCTGTGCTCCTCCAACCTGTCAGCCCACATGATGGTCACAGCTGAGAGTGGAAGGAGGGGCGGTCAGGGCCACTGGGGGTTCCACCTCTTCCAGGGATCACACACAGGACTCTGGTTCCAGGGTCACCTTGCCATAGGTCACCTACTTGTACAGCCTTCCCTCAGGCAAACAAGCAGACTTATCACCAGATCTCTGAGGAGCCGGGTGGTGGGAGCCAGGGGGTCTGGAGAGGGGCTTATCCTCTCCCTTACTGCCTGAGAGGACTCCTTGCCCCAATCCAGTCTCCTGCCGGACTAGGCCCTGAAGGCATCCAAATCACTCAGTTCCAGGTTTATTTTATTTTTTGTCTTGCTATGTAGGTCAGGCTGGCCATGTGCTCACTGTGTACCCAGGCTGGTCTGGAACTTGCAGTGATCGTCCTGCAGCCTTCTGAGTGTGAGGATTACAGGCGTGCCTGCCATGCTTGGCTCAGCCCCATCAGCCCTCTCCCCATATGCGCATACTCAGCTCTGGCTGAGGCCTCAGCTGTATCCATTTCCCCAGACCTAGGATGACCAGAAAATGATGGAACCTGGGTCCCCTCACTCTTCAGCCACCTGTCCCCCCAAAGCTGTGCTGATTTGTCGTCATCTTGGCCCAGCTTTGTGGTCAGCCTCCTCACCCTCCTCACTACTAAGCTCCCCCATCCTGAATGGCTCCTCCAGGAAAGCTTCACTGGCCCACAACCGCAGAGGCACCTGGGGCCTGACATCATGGCTGCCTCCCACAAGCCTGGGGCCAGAGCCTTGGCCCCACAGTTTTGCCCACTAGCTGAGCCATTTCGATGATTTATAATTGCCCACTTTCTGTGCCACCAAATTGAAGGCTCACTACTGTTTAGCCGGGAGGCAAGCTGGTTGCTTGGTTTCCCAGTGCCCTAAGTTCCAACATAGCTCGGATCTCAGGAGTTGCTGGTGGTTCTCCCTCTGGGGCGGCTGCAGCCTGTCTCTGGCCTATTTACCCCTAGCCTTTTTTTGTCCTTTGTGTCATATTCTTCAGCCTACACAGCTGTGCATCCCTTTCTGGTAGTGCCCCTGGCTTTTTGAGGGTAGCTGACCCACACATTCAAAGGACCTGTGCATGGGCTCATTGCATTCTATCCACAGCAGGACTGTCTAGTTGTCCTAGCCATGATTCATGCAGTTCTGATGAGCTCTGTACTTTGACTTCCCTTCATTGTTTGGTTTCCCCCAAGATACACCGCTTCACCCCCACACGCACACACCCACATACGTAACCTGTTTACACGTCTACCCTGAAGGGAAGGAACCAAATCAAGACAACAGGGCACTGGGTCAATGTCTCCTCCCTTGGTTTCACCCAAACACCGGGGTGGAGGGGGACTGGGGTAGGGTGGTGGGCTGATGCCTGAGGTTCCTGAGGTACCTGAGCCTTACGAAGAGGATCCCCCTTACGCTGCTCTCAGCTCTCCCCTTTTCTTTAAAGCACTTGGTGCCAACAACCACCTGCTTCCTTGGGAACCACTTAGAAAGGGCTCCATGTTGGTCTGTCTGTCCTTCCCCATTCCCCATTCAGTCAGAGGCAGATCCCTGCCTGGCAACCTGCTGGAATCTCCTCCCAAGCTTTAAAAATATCTTGAGGCCAGCCTTCTTCCACACCTGACTGATCCAAATGGTCTTTGACGTAGTCTGTGTGTCAGAATTTTTTTAATCAATAGGCTTTATTATTTCTTAAAGAAGATTTTAGATTTACAGAAAAATTAAGCAAATATATAGATATTTCCTGTATACCTCCCCAACCTCTGTCTCCTGCCCCCAGGTTCCCCGATTACCACTTTGCATGGTGTGCTGCACTTGTTATAGTTGCTGAACCAAACTTGATGTTATTATTAACTAAAACCCACAGCTTACTTTACGGCTCACTCTATGTGCTTATTGTATGCATTTAGATAATGTATAAGGACATGTATCCACCACTATAGCATCAAACAGCATAGTTTGGTGCCCTAAAAACCTCATTCTCCACCTGTGCATCTCTTCCTGCTCCTCCCAACAACCACCAATCCTTTTATTAGATTTGCCTTTTCCACAGTGTCACAGAGTTGGAGTCATACAGTATGTATGCTTTCCACTCTCAAATAATTTCAATGAACAGTAAGAATGGACATGATTAGCTTTGGTCTAAGATTTGGTAAAGAGGGGTGGTAGATCTGGTGCTCTGTTTTTCTAAATCTAGTGTGAGCATAGGTCTCATCTCCTTTTGCTATATCCATCCATCCATCCATCCATCCATGCATCTAGGGATCTATGGATCTATGGATCTATCCATCCATCCATCCATCTTTTGTTTGTCCAGTGCCTTCTATAATCAGGTGCTGGGTTAGACACTGAACTGAATCAAAACAGTTCCTGTTCTCAAGGGTCTCACAGTCCATCGCAAGAGATTGGCTTTCATCTAGTTACCAGGCACATACTTAGATGATTTCAAACTTACATGGATGCTTTATAGCAAAAGCTCAGGGCCAGCAGCTGAGAGTAGCTGGCAAGGCTACAGAGCAAGGAAGTTAAGGAAGAGCTAACATGATCACCAGAGATGCGGGGGAAGAAAGCTCCAGATAAACCAGCTTGTACAAAGGCCCTGTAGCAGGAGGGATCATAAAGCTTCCCAAGAACTGAAGTGATGATGTTAGGAATGAGAAGAGAATAGTGCAAGAAGCAGCTGGAGGGGAGATTGGAGCTGGATAATGTTTGCTAAGAAAGTCACTGTGGTTACAAAGCAGAAGGGAGGGAGAACCAGAGTAGAAGAACCAGAAAAACAGAGAGACCCTATTAGCAGGTCACTGCAGTGTCCAAACAAGAGAGCATATGATGGAGGCCAGGTGGAAGGAAACCAAGGGGTAGGTGAGGAGATGGAAAGAAACTGACATGAAGCCCTCGCAGGAGGCCAGATGGACACAGTGACACAGGCCCTGGCTGTGGGGCAGGAGGGGGAGGGTCAAGGGTGGCTCCTGGCTCCTGCCTGCCTACTAGATGGACTATCAAGAAGGCAGGAAATGGGACGAACCCAGGAGGCTAAGATGCCTTGAAACCTTCAAGGGGAGCTGACCTCAGGCAGCAGGATAGGCAGGTCTGGAGCTCAGAGGACAGCAAACAGAAGCCTGAGGCTCCTCCGGTTGTTGATGGCAGTGGAGCTGGAAGACATGGGTGTGCTGAGATAGTTTAGGGAGTGGGTATGGGGTGAGAGAGCCCTGAGGGCTGTCACTGCTGGGAGGATGACAGAACCCCAAGCATCCAAGCAGGAGTGGGTGGTCAGGAGGTCAAAGGAGAATCAAGTGTACCATTATTACAGCAGGGTGTGCATGGCTTCCAGAACTGAGTGACCACCAGTGTCCAGGCTGCCTAGCAATCAGGGTGTTGGTGGAGGGTGGACAGAGGAAGTGAATGCAGAAGGCTTCTGAAAACTTAGCTTCAGGGGCTGAGGATTTAGCTCAGCAGCATAAGCACCTGCCTTGCAAGCAGGCAGTTGTGAGTTCGATCCCCGGTACCGATAAAAAACAAAAAACTTAGCTTCCATGTGTAGGGGCTGGGGGCATGGACACAGCTCTCTGGGGCCACCGGCCTTGTAACCTTCCCCTGAGGAACTCTTCTTTAACTACTGACCTGTTTATGTTCTAAGGGCAGAAGTGAACTGTGGGGTGTGAGCAGAGGGGGCTTACATGCCTGATTTTAAACTGTATTTAAAAACATCTCTTTTATGGGGAGGGGTTAATATGTGTTGTATAAATGTACCAATTCTTCATGATGAATTTACATAATCATTACATACTATAAACATGTACTGGTAAAAATAAACATTTTTAAATTTTATTTTATTTATTTATTTATTTATTTAGGCTAGTCAAGTGAAGCAGTGGGAGTGGAGAAGGAACAATGAAATCTGTAACTGGTTGTGATCAATTAGTTGTGAATACTGCTGCACTCGGACCAACCTAAATTTTAAAAAAGAATATTTTATTTTAATCAGCAGGGTGTCACCCCAGGCCAGTGGACCATGCTTTCCCTCAGACAGCATCCGATTTCACCTTAGAGGCTTATATAACTAACCTGCAGATGGCTTTGACCTTTGTTACCCCAGGAGACAAGGGCTTCTAGTATTTTTATTTGCCTGAATAGGAGAGGGAGAAGGAAAGGGTGCCTAGATTACAGTTAAAGAAAAAAAAAAAAGGAAACTTTTCAAAGACTGTTCATACTGTTTCCTACCCCTAACCTCTCATTCATAAACTTCTGGAAGAGTTCATTTCTATAGATGCAGAAAAAGCCTTTGATAAGGTCCAACATTCATTTATGATAAGAACTTTACAGAAAATTGGAATAGATGGTCTTTACCTCAATATAACAAAGACCATCTATGACAAATCAACAGCCAGTATCTTTTTTTTTTTTTTTTTTTTTTTTTTTTTTGTCTTTTTCCTTTTTATCGGTACCAGGGATCGAATTCACGACTGCCTGCTTGCAAGGCAAGTGCTTATGCTGCTGAGCTAAATCCCCAGCCCCAACAGCCAGGGTCTTACTAAATGGCCAAAAAGTGAAGGCCTTTACTTTAAAATCAGGCACAAGACAAGGATGTCCCTTATCACTGCTCCTATTTAATATAGTACTGGAAATACTAGCCAGAGCAATTAGGCAAGAGAGAGAAATAAAAGGGGTAACAATAGGAAAAGAAGAAGTTAAATTATCATTGTTTGCAGATGACATGATACTCTACATAGAAGACCCCCTAAACTCCATTGAAAGATTCTTAGATATAATAAATAAATTCAGTAATATAGCTGGATACAAAATCAATACTCAAAAATCGATAGCATTCCTATACATTAACAACAAATCACTGACAGAGAAATAAGAGAAGCCACACTCTTCACACTAGCAACCAAAAAAAAAAAAAATGAAATATTTAGGAATTACTCTCACGAAAGAAGTAAAAGATGTATACAGGGAAAATTATAATACATTGAAAAAAGAAATTGAAGACAATCTCAGAAAATGGAAAGACATCCATTTTGTTCATGGATAGGAAGAATAAATATTGTGAAAATGGCCATTCTCCCAAAACTCTTATATAGATTCAATGCAATCTTAATAAAAATACCATGAACATACTTCATAGATCTCGAGAAATCACTCCCAAAATTCATCTGGAGTGAGAAGAAACCTAGAATAGCAAAGACAGTTCTAAGCAGCAAAGGCAAGGCAGGAGGCATCACAATACCCGACTTGAAGTTATACTACAAAGCAACCATAGTAAAATCAACATGGTACTGGAGTCAAAACAGAGTTGAAGATCAATGGAATAGATTAGAAGATACAACCACAACTACAAACACACCGAACCACCTTATCTTTGATAAAGGGGCCAAACATATTCATTGGAAGAACGACAGTCTCTTTAATAAATGGTGTTGGAAAAACTGGCTCTCCATATGCCGAAAAGTAAAACTAGACCCATGCCTATTATCATGTACTAAATTAAAATCTAAATAGATCAAAGATCTGAATATTAAAACAGAAACACTAAATCTATTGGAAGACAAATTGGGTAAAAACCTTGAAGACATAGGGATAGGTAGAGAATTCATGAACAGGACTCAAACCGCACGGGAAATACTTCCCAGAATCAATAACTGGGACCACCTCTTATTAAAAAGTTTCTACATGTCAAAAGAAATCTCCAGCATCGTGAAAAGAAAACCCACAAACTGGGAAAAAATCTTAGTGAACTGTCCCTCAGACAAAGGACTTCTGTCTAAAACGTATAAAGAATTAAAAAAAATCAGACCCCCAAAATTCAAAGATCCAATCTAAAAATGGGTATCTGAGATAAATACACACTTCTCAGATGAAGAAATACAAATGGCAAATAAATACATGAGGGGCTGGGAATTTAGCTCAGCGGCATAAGCACCTGCCTTGCAAGCAGGCAGTCATGAGTTCGATCCCTGGTACCGATAAAAAAGAAAAAGACAAAAAAATACATGAAAAAATGTTCATCATCATTACTCTTTAGAGAAATGCAAATTAAAACCACACTGAGATTCCCTCTCACTCCTGAAAGAATGGCCAGGATCAAGAAAACCACCAACAACAAATGCTGGAGAGGCTGTGGGGAAAAAGGAACTCTCCTGCACTGTTGGTGGGAGTGTAGACTGGTGCAACCATTGTGAAGATCAGTCTGGAGATTTCTCAAAAAGCTGGGATTGGAAGTCCCATTTGTTCCAGCTATTCCACTTCTAGGCATATTCCCAGAAGAACTGAAAACATTATACCTCAGTGATATATGTGCACCCATATTTATAGCAGCACAATTTGTAATAGCCAGATCTTGGAAACAACCTAAGTGTCCATCAACTGAAGAATGGATAAAAAAGTATTTTATACTCAGTATTTTTATATAATGGAGTACTACTCAGCTATAAAGAAGGATCACATTGAGATATTTATAAATAAATGGGTGCAGCTTGAGACAATACTCATAAGTGAAATAAATCAAACTCACATGTATGAATACTGAATAGTTTCCCTAGTGTAAGAAATGATACAAATACATAAAAGTATGTGGTAATCATGATTCCCCATTATATGGCTTTGAAGACTTATAAAGTTTTCACTCATTAATTGGGATGGTTTTATTCTGGGCTGTTTGATATTATTTTTGGATACTTTTTTTTTTCATCTTTTTCCTTTTTATCGGTACCAGGGATCGAACTCACGACTGCCTGCAAGGCAGGCGCTTATGCCGCTGAGCTAAATCCCCAGCCCTTGTTTGATATTATTGTCTGTGATGATATGAACAGCTATTTTGAAGAAAACAAGACATCATAATAGCTAGTGATTTAATATCAGTTTTGAAATCCCATCAAACTGTTGTTCTTCTGTCTCCATTACTTTTATCATGTTGTATCTTATTAGATTTTATTATATGTGATAGTATAAATAAAATTTTTTATAGGCAAGATAATATAGAAACCATTGTTCATTTTCTGTTATCTGGTTCTAAATACCCTGTAATACTTTCCTCCTCTTGAATGGTTTCACACTGTCTTGATATGTTTGATGCTATAGTATATGGAGTTATACTCAAATATTTCAAGGAAAGAAGACACTATGGTAACTACTATTAAGTCAGGTTATCTTTTGGTGAAACACTATGTTGCTTAAATGGTTCTGTTCTGACCTGTATTGTTATGTTGTTATGTCCTCTTTTATCTCAATCTCCCCCCTCTTTTAAAAAAATTTATTTATTTTTTATTATTTTTTATTTAAGAGAAAAAAATTTAAAAATTAGCAGGATATATTACAGTAACTTTTTTGATTTCCTATTAACTCGATTTGAAGCCTTGTATTGCTCTCACCATCTTGTTTTGACTGATTTTACTCTATTCTGTGCTGTTTGATATTATCAATTTTGAGGTATAGGCAACTACTTTGAAGGCAATAAGATTCACTATGATGCCCATTCTGGTTTGACTATTATCTTCTTTTGAAGTTCAGTAATGTCTTCAATGTTTAGGTTTTATTGGTTTTGTTTTGTACTGTTTTGTTCAATTTTATTATACCTAATGATATAGGCAATTCTTTTTAAGGTAGCAAGAGGCATTATGGTAACCATTGTTGATTACCTTGTATTCTGTTTTGACATCATGTACTATGTCCATCCTTTGTTTTGACTGACTGCTTTGTTTTGTCACATTTGGTTTTATTCTCTTCCAAAAAAAAAAAAGTAGCAAGAACTGTGGGAGTAATAAAACCCAAAATGTGTAAATGTTATTGTAAAAAAGAGAAAAAAGTACTCTAAAGGACACAACTGCAAGTGTGTTTAGGTGTGTAAGACAGATGACCATATTACTAAGTTTTTGTTGGATCATTGAACACAACTGTTTGCAGTCTCATTGTTTGAATGTCCACTTTGTATGCTTAATTTTGTAACTTGATCAACTATTTCTAAGATGACAATATATAATCTATTAACCAGTGATTTCTTAGTGTTTATTTTTTTTTGAAATTCTGTATTACTTGTACCCATTTACTGTTTTTTTTTTTTTTTAATTAAAAAAAAAAAAAAGTTCACACTGCCTCAACTCCCAGTCTAATCTCTCCGGACACTGGTCCCTTCACAGTTGCTAATGGCAAACAAACCTCCAAGTTGAGCCAAGTTCCACCATGAACTTGTGGCGGCATTTGACACCATACCTATCTCTTCTTAAAGCTCTCCCCAGGCTGTCCCAAGGTCCCACTCTCCTGGTTTCCTCTTTGAAGGAAAACCGGCCAGACTTTGCAACGAGAACAGCTCTGAGTAGTGCCTGGTATACTAGGGATCATGTTTTTCTCCCGTTTTCTCTGTCTCATTATTGCTTTTGTTTTTGAGACTGGGTCATTCTGTGGAGTCCAGCTGGCCCTGAACTTGCATCAGCCACCTGAGTGCTGGGTTTATAGCTGTGTACCACCACAACAAACTGACAGATCATCTGATTCTCTAGGGGAAAGTCTTTGTTAGACTTCTTATTAATTGTTGATTAGAATGTTTTATAGCTATTAAGAGTAGAAGCTAATTTATAAACATTTCCTAACAAGTACATAATTCTTGGCAGTGCAAATGCCTCCTGCCTGGTAGAACAGTGAACCCCAAAAATTACAGTTTCTTGCCCTGTAGGGCATTAACCTCCCTTGTGAAATCATTTTAACATTCCTTTCCCCAATCAGTTCAATATCCATCCTCGAATTCTTTTAAACTAGTCTTCACATTTTACTCTTTTTCCTTATTTACCATGAACAAGTAAAAACTTTGAGCTTAGTGGCAGAGTACCTGCCTAGCATGTGTGGGGCTCTAACATTTGATCCCAGTACCGCAAAACAAAAATACATATGTTACCTAGGTATGCTTTATTTTTTTTGAGAGTCAGGTTTTTTAACTGTTTGGAAATTATTCTTTACAATCTCCTAAACTCTCCATGACTCCATCTCAGCAGGCGACACTGAGGTTGGGGCTTGGGGAGGGAATTGGGTGACTGTCTTGGTCACTTTTCTTGCTGCTGGGACTTAGTACCTGATACCAACACACTGAAGGAGGAGAGATTTGTTGTGATTCACAGCTCGGTCCACAGTCAGCTGACTCCAAGGCAGGACAGCATGGCAGAGGGGCAGAGCACAGGAAAAGCTGCACATATTAAGGTAGTCAGCAAAAAGAGAAGATGCACCCTTCCCGGCCACACTTCTCAGTGACCTGCCCTTCAGAAAAGTCCCAGCTCCTAACATCACTTTGGCCATAATGTCCCTGTGATTCAATCTCTTTTCAAAAGCCCCACCCATGAGTACATGAGACTTTGCCGGCAATTCCAGATTTAAACCATAGCAATGACTGACTAGAGAAAAGCACAAAGGGCTTCCATGACAGGAGCCCTCGTGTTTGACTGCCTTGGCTTGCTCTGGGTTCTAGAATACCTACCAAGTCTGAGGTTGGTTCACCTGTGAACTGCACTGGGGTGCAATGTAGAGCCCTCTGTGTATCAAATCCTGATGGAGAAGAGCTCCTACTCAGCACAAAGGAGAGCCTGCCCAGCCTTCTAGACTGGCCTCCTGATGTCCATAGCAGAGGAGGGAGCACTTCTTTATCTCTATCCTCCAGGTCGAGGACACCAGTGAAATAATGGGGTCTCAGACCCTCACCCATAGCTAGCCATCTCATGTACAAACTTTCTTTGAAATGCTTTTTTAAAAAATGTGCTCTATGCATTCAATCCAACTTCATAACTACTTTATGTTACTTTCACTAAGCAAATTCAGCCTTGTAATAAGTTCCATCTTGTATTTGCCCTGTTGTTTAGACCCAATTTAAGAGCAACTAAGACATACTCACTGCTCCACTTCTGTTGGATTCCGCATCTACATATAACCTCATCTAACCCTCACAACCTTCTTCGCAGGTGTGTAACAGTTCTACTTTACTGATGAAGAACTTGAGACTTAAAGAGTTAAATGACTTGCCCAAGATCGCACATTGCATGTCCATCTGCTCATGGTCTTCCTTGTTTTATGATTATTTATTTCTCCACAAGCAGATCTGTTAGAGCCTCAAAAACTGGGATGGACTGCTGGGACAAGTCCTCATGGAACTGAGGTTTAAGCTTTAGCCTTTGGGCAGGTCACCACCCTCTTGAAGCCTCACTTTTTAAGTACATAAAATGGTTCATTATTGGACAACTGGAAAAAGTCAGGGTTTACAAGGCAATTAACTACTTGTTAACCTACAGATTGTCAAGAAGTGATAGACCATGGTTCATTCTCGGCTCTGGAGCCAGACTACCTGGGTTCAGATCCATGTTTTAATCCTTTAAGCAGTCGATAGTTTGGGTAAATTTCTATGCCTCAGTTTCCTTATATGCGGAATGAAGATAATAAAGAAGGGATTTATAAAGCTGTACGGGTTCAAGGGCTTGGAAGTGTCCGGAACACAGTGTCCCACAGGATTTAGCTACAAGCACAGGTTTAGTCCTGGGGCGGGTGTTTTGTAACCTCACACTATACGGGTCTCTTCCAGGCCCTGCCTCCGACCGGCCACGCCTTCTCCTCACTGGATCCCACCCCAAGCCGGCCCGGGTTCCTCCAGTATACCAGGGGGCGGTGGTGCTGATGGCCGCTTTCAGGCCGAAGTAGGTGGCGCTCTAGGGAGCAGCGGTGCTTCTCCGTAGCCGATGACGGCGGCACTCTAGCCGGCCAGTGTGCAGGGCGAATTCTCAGTGGTGCGGCCGGCGGGCAGCTATGGCGGCCGTACGCGGCCTGCGAGTGTCCGTAAAGGCAGAGGCCCCGGTGGGCTCGGCTTTGGGGCTTCCGTCGCCTGAAGTGGAGTCCGGCCTGGAGCGTGGCGAACCGGAGCCCATGGAAGTGGAAGAGGGCGAGTTAGAGATCGTGCCGGTGCGGCGCTGTCTGAAGGAACTGATCCCGGTACGGGCGGGGGGCGAGGAGGAGGTCGCGGAGCGAACGTCCAGACCGAAGGGGACCGGAAGGGGAGGTGGCCGGGGTCCCACCCGGGGAAGTCAAGGGACAGCTATGAGGCGCGGGCGTCCGGGGCAGGAGGACTGGCATAAGGACAGACCCCGAGCGGGATAAAGGACGCCGGGGCGCCGGAAATGGGTGTTGAGAGGGCTGGAGGTGGGGAAATTGGGGAGAGTTGAGGACACCCCATCGCTGCTTCTCGGAGCCAACCTGTGCTAGGGAGTGAGTAAGGAGAGCCTAGGGTTGCGATAAAGGGGGAGCCCGGGCGGGAAAGGAACCTGGAGCGGCCCCAAAGGAGCTGTTGGGTGCGCCCGTATCCAAGTCTCCTAGTAGGTCCCGCTCTGGTGGAGTTGGTGTCTGTTAAATGTGGCACTCGTTGTTTCTCTTGGGAAAGCGGTACCTGACAGCACTAGACACTGTGTTACTGTTGGGACTTAAAGGTTATCTTGCCTCCGCGCGTTTCTATTACTGTGCTGCATCTGTGTGCTGCGTCGGCGCCGTAGTCTTAGCATTTGACCCGCAGTGAAGTCAGAGTATCAGAACCGCTATAGTCCTTCGTCTCCTACAAAAACACTGCGGGAATGATGAGAGATGTTTTGCTGTGGTTTGGAAATCCTATGACTAGTGGTTCTGGCCATCAATTTCACACATCAGCTTTTTTCTTTTAAAGCTATCTGTCAGCAAATCTTGCTTTTAAATTGGAGTTATGACAAAAGGCTAAGTTAGGATGCCCAAGATTAGCAAATGATCACGAGTACAGCATCAATTAACATAATGGCATTTTGCCATTTGCTACATTATTTTATTTAAATATCACTGCAGTTATGAACTAAGTGTCAACATCCATTCGTTCAGTTCAACATATATGTATCCCAGCACCCACCATATGTTAGGTGTAGTTCTGGGTGCCTAATCAACAACAAGATCGAACTCCCTCTTGGAGTTTTGGTGGGGAGACAGTAGATAAATGATTTCCATTATTGTTAATTTCTGTGAAGAAGATTAACATGTTAATGGACAGAAAATACAGGGGTGTGCAGAGGATCAAGTGAAGGTGATAGGAGGGCCAGGGAATGGTGACATTAAAACTGAGCTGCAAATGACAAAAAGGGGCCAACCAGGTGCAGATTGGAAGGGAATATTTGCAGCAGGGACAACCACAAGCATGCAGGTTCTGAGATAGGAGCAAGATTGTTTTGTTGAGAGAGTAGAAAAGAAGATCAGTAAGATAAGCATGGAGGCAACCAAGTCCCAGATAGGCCCAAGAAATTGTGCTTATAGTGCGATAAATATCAGAACTGAGACTTTGGTCTTCCCTCCATGTTCATATTTCATCTTCTTTTCATTGCACTCTGCTGTTTCCCCAGGAATTCTAGGTGGGCTGGACTTTCTGCATTTTGACGGGGGCTGGTGCTCCACCTGGTGGCCTTGGATGGGCATTTGGTCCAGTCTGCATTTGGGGAAATAAATGTGCTTCATCTTTAGTATTTTTCATGAAATCATTTAGATTTTCATTTACATGGATACCTTCAGATGTTGGGATATTTAAGATTGTAGACTGGCTCCTGTCTAGAAAAAGACTTCTGGTTAGAGTGGTTGATTGCTACCATGCAGTCATGGGGATGAGCTTCTTAATGAGGGGTTGTTATGGGTGGAGAAGGGTTCCTGGAGAAGATACCAGTTATGGGACTACCCTTTATGTGAGTTTTTCTCATTGTTGTTACGTGAGTTTTTCCCATTGTTTGTCACCTTTCCTCTTTATATTAGGACACAAGCAGAAGATACGAAAACAAGGCTGGCAGTTTCATCACTGGAATTGATGTCACCTCCAAGGTGAGACACATCATAATTTATTCAGTCTGATAAGCTAATAAACTTAGTGAACTTGGTCCGTAGGATAAACAGAAAAAGAAGTATTTTTTATCTCCTTTTTTCTTTATTTCTAGATTTTAAAAATTAAAAAACTTTTTGTTGTACAATGATGCTTCATGTATTCTGAAAACATCCAGGCATCATTTTGTGTTCTTTCATCCACAAAAAGATAAAATTACTTTACCTTCTACTCAGCCATTTCCAAGAAGAATGCTGTACCACAAATAGTTTTTTAGGGGCTGGGGATTTAGCTCAGCGGCATAAGCGCCTCCTTGTAAGCAGGCAGTTGTGAGTTCGATCCCTGGTACCGATAACAACGAAAAAGACCAAAAAAAAAAAAAAAAAATTAAAAAAAAAAAACAAATAGTTTTTTAAAAATACTGTCTAATCTGTCATAGCAGCTTGATCTGTAATCCCAGCACTTCGGTGGCTGAGGCAGGAGGATCACTGTGAGTTTGAGGGCAGCCTGGGCTACATTGTGAGTTCAAGACCAGCCTAAACTACAGAGCAAGACCTTGTCCGAGACAACAGCAGCAACAACAGTGATAACAGCAAAACCCCCAGAAAACAAAACAAAATACTATGCACATTCTTTAAAATTGCATGTCATTTCCATTTGAATAAAACAAAACATAGAAAGCACCTATGTTTGGCCTTTAGTAAGTGTTTTTATTTCTTACCAATTGTGGACTTAGAAAAATAGAACTTCTTGATTGTGATCTGCCTTAACTTTGAAGGCTAAGTCAACTGCGTTATTCTTAGCACCTGAGTATATTGCTTTTTATCTAGTGATTGCTGTTACCACAGCATCACTTTCATTTCTTCACCTCAGCGTGAATGAAATCTGGTATTTTCCTTGTAAACAGTCAGTATATGTTTGTGGCTTTAATCCAGGTTAGATATTTCCCGCTCACTTACATATGCTCAGTTAAGTTTGGAATAGAAGTTTGAATACATTTGTGAATAACAGTAATATTGCTATGTTGGATGTCTAAAAGCACAAATAAAAATGTCCTCTTATTTTTTTATGGCCTCTTATATTTTATCTGTATTTGTCTGTTTTTTTTTCTTTTTCTTTACAGTACTAGGGGTTGAATCTAGGACCTTTGTATTGATTTACATCCCCAGCCCTTAAAAAGTTTTTTTAAAATTTTGACGCAAGGTCTTACTAAATTGCCAAGTTCCTCAGACTGGGCTCAAACTGGTGATTCTCCTGCCTTACTATTCCAGAATGCTGGGATTATAGCATGTCACCACACCTAACTGTATCTTAAATTTCTTAAAGGCCAGAAGAAAGAACTGATGATTTTTAGACACTCAAAAAATTAGAACAAAGTGAAAATGTTTTCATATGGTAATTGAGAAAGGAGTAGACTTCTATAAATCCTACATCATTTGCCATTATATGAAACAGGTAAATGGGAGAAAGAACAGGAGTCCAGAGTTGGTATTTAAATTGCTATTAAAGGAAAATAGATTGCTGTTTGTACTAGGAGTACTTCAGTGAAGAAAATTAGCATAACATTGGCTACATAACTAAAGTATTGCTGCTTTACCATCCCCCAAGCTTTCTAGTGTCAGACCATTAATTAGTGTGGCAAAGTCAGTATAGTAAGTGAAGGATTCCTGAGAGCCACTAGAAAGCCTAAGTTGGACGTCGATTTATTTCAGCTCTCAAAATAAACTTAATAATACTGATTATTTTTTCAGTGAAGTGTTAGTGTGTGCCATGTAGAAATAAAAACTGGCAATTCTGTGGACTCAAGCCTAGACTAGAGGAGGGTTTTGGTGTTATTTTTAAATGGGAAACTAACTTTAGGGAGCGGACTGTCGGAGCAGGCATACTGTGAAAGAGCTTGATAGGTGTGATTACCATGCACAGAAATGTGAAGTGGTGGTGGTGGAGGTTCCTAGAAATAGCATGGAAATCAGAAGATCTGTCCCAAAATACCTCCAGCAAACGTTTTTTTACTTTAACGTGCCTCATTTACTATCCCTGGAAAATTGAGATGCTGAGATTGTTTAATTGTAATTGGTTGGCATAGTCGCTGACAGTCTATGTCAGAAAACCTCAGAAACACTCACTGTACTGCTTTTATGTCCCAGGCACAGTGATAGACTGTGATAGGATGGAGACAATACAAATTACAGGAGTAATAATGTATGTCCACATTAAATGTTAATATCCAATTCCTTGTAAGACTCATTCAGAGTTCCTTATTTCTTTGGTTTAGTTTAGGGTTGTTACTGATGTGTCTTACTGTGTTCATGATTTAACTTTCTCCTCCTCCATGTTTTACCTCTCTGCCTTTTTCTGAACTTTCTAGGAAGCAATTGAGAAGAAAGAGCAGCGAGCAAAGCGTTTCCATTTTCGATCAGAAGTGAATCTTGCCCAGAGAAATGTCGCTTTGGACCGAGATATGATGAAGAAAGGTACGTGGTGTTTGGGGGAGCTTTTCCACACTTCCAGGAGAGTGACTTTTCTCTGCACTGCCTCCTGCTTCTGTCTTTGCCATGTGTATCCTGTCCTCATCCAAGTACTTCCAAAGGAAGGGAATTGCAGAGTCCCATTATTAGGTCATCTGTGTGAAGTTTAAGATGCCATCAGCTGTGTCTCAGACATTAAAGCTGGGGAAAAATTGTCTTTCCTGAGGTGGCCAGAGAATATCACTAGTTGGTGGCAGAAATGAGATAAGAACCTGGGTTTCTCTGGACTCCTAACTCATTTTCTCCCATTATCATAGAGGTTTTAACTTTTCTTGCCTTTAAAGATAGAAACATTGTGTCACAGTGAGACCTTTAAAGGAAGTTGGAGCAGTTTTGGGATTGTTGGAGGAAAGTGTTCACACCTTTATCGATACTACAAATGCATGGTAAATGCAAGCCACCCGGTAATATCCTGTTGTCAGAGAAAGCTAAATTAAACCTTCCCTGGGTTTTAGATTTGCTTGCGATTGCAGTTGAACAGATGATTTCATTTTATTTTTATTTTTTGTCTTATTAGGATATTACGCTCCCTAGAAATCATCCTGCATTATCATTTGTAGTAATCTGCCCTAGTCTTAGCTAACAATTTATAAATAAAAGGGAAAATTACTCCTTTTTAAAAAGTGAATCTACATCTTGTTATTTCACTGTAATGTGAATCTGAGTGCAAGTCTTTCTTCTGTTGTCTTTGCAAATTTGTTCACAAAGGTGCTCAATGGATTATTCTCTGAACACATGTTAAAGGTGTGTGCTGTCCTATGTGAGTGAGTTCGTGTAGTCTTGCCTTCTAAAAACTAAACATGCCGAATGAATGGAAGGATAGCTACTGGTTTTTGGAAACTTGCTTTTTTACTAAACACTGTGGTAAGCACGTTACATATTTATTTCAGCATCCTTATAAGGGATGTGTGTGTGTGTGTGTGTGTGTGTGTGTAAGGAAATGGGCTCCAGAAGTTTACTACATTGCCCAGAGTTACACAGATGGTACAGGTAGAATCAGGATTCCAGCCCAGGTTTATCTGACTCAAAAACCTTGACCTTGATTACTTCGGTAATACATAGGCTCTGATTGTGCCCCTCCACAGCTGAGCCTACAGGGCAGTGTAGCTTGGATACAGTGTTCACCTCTAGAAGCTGCTTTACTCTCGTTCTGTCTTGGTGGGTTCAGTCAGGAGTACGACCTAGCTTTCCCTGCATCTCCTGGGTGGATTTCTGTTTCAGAAGTCCCGTGAAGGCTGTGAACAGCTGGTGCAGCTCAGCACTCTTGTGCCTGCACAGCCTGGACGAAGCAGACCTTTGCATTCCTCTCCTAGCCCTGTAGTTTCACTACTCCTGTCGACATCCAGTCCAGCCTCTAGTGCTGTTCATGCCTTTCGTTTTCCTCATTTGCCGTTCCTCGTCCATACCTCATCTAGTTTAGGTATCACTTCCTTCATGAGGCACTCTGGATCACACCTTCATAATCCTTTTTCCTGTTTTTACTACACTTTAGAGTGGCAAATTTTCCTGGAGTCTTTTGTGACTGGGGCGAGTTACTAAACCTTTTTACTGTTTAGTCTCCTTGTCTGTAAAAGGGGAATATGATATTAATAGGATCACTTTGGGGGTTAAGTTTTAATTTTTAAATGATTTGGGGGGGGTGAAAGTTTGGAAAAGCAATTCTGATTTCATAATCTTGAAGATAGTCTAAAAAAGACAGTAAGCCTAGCTGGGATGTCAGCTAAGAAATGTTGCTTATTTTAAGGAGTGATTTTAAAATGTGCCTTAGGCAGGATGGCCTAAGTTCTTAGAACAGTGCCTGACACATAGTAGGTGCCCTGTAAATATTAGTTCTTATCATTATCTGGCATTCTTTTCCTTGTAAGTTAGTAGTCATCTAATTGGCCCAACCTCTTGGGTTTATGGGAAAGTTGGAAAAGACATCTTGACTTCTGCAGTTATACCAAGCATTAAGTTATTTTTATTCTTAATGCCAACAACGATAATAAAATTCATTTGTTAAATGCTATGTTCCAGTTACTCAATTCCGTGGTTAACTTGTCCTTTCAACATTCCCATGAGAGAAGGATATTTGTTGTGTACAATTTACTGATGAGAAGACTAAGGTGCCGAGAGGGTGTGAGGCTTTCCTAAGGTCCTGCTGATCTTCCTGAAGCCTGTGGCTCTGATCATCCTGCCAGCATTCAGGGACACGGTTTGGAATGTTCTACAGCAGACTGTTCTGCATCGAGGGATTTGCTACTTCCGAATGACTCAGTGTGGGACAGCTCTGTCTCCTTAACTCCAAGATCAAATCTGTCATAGTTTGAAGGGACCTTCAAGGTCATCTAGACCACTGTGTTCAGCACAGGAAGCCCTTCGGGCCCTTTTGCCCTGCCCAAACATCCAGTGATAGTTAGAAGAACCGTTTGTGAAGAAGCCAGCTTTGTCTTTGGATGTCTCCTCAGAGGGGAGCATTGCTTTCTAGGATTTACTGCCTAGCAGTTGCTGTGTGACTCTTAGAACAACACTGTGAAGTTCCTTCTTTTGCACCACCCTGCAGGTCATAGATTCCAGCCTACTGCTTCTTTCTCAAATGTCTGCTGTATGTGTTGGCTTTCTGGCCTCTGTTTTGTGTTCTTCCCAGTTTCTAAACATCCTTCCCAAGATGAAAAGTAAGATTCTAGATATGACTGGATTTGTGAAGAGAGGGCAAGACCTCATCTTCATCTCTGGCTAGCCAGTTCTTAGTGTACTTACCTTTTGGTCAAAGCGCCCAGGTGTTTTTCCTGAAACGGGGCCTAAAAGTAGCCTTTGTTGGGAGGCTGCTGTAGGAGTTTAGAGTTTAAGGCTAGACTGGGCAACTTAGCCAAATCCGCTCTCAAAAAAGTCTCTCACCTTGCACTTGAGGCATTTGAAAAATTACCTTTTAGTTTATCCATATTAAATTACATCTTGTTGATTTCAAGTCCCTGTTTTTTCATCTTACTCTTTGGTTCACCCTTTAGATACATTCCTGTCCCTCCACTTAGTAACCATGGCTTCTGCATCTTCCTCCTGTCCTCAGTGAGTGTTGAACAGTTATGAACTATGTGCCAAGAAGCAAGGTGCTCTGTGTACAGGTCTTACTCTGTTATCAGTGCACATTTCTTCTTCTTGTCAGGAGGAACTGGATTGCATGCCCTAAGGAACTTGAAATAAGGAACACTATCTGTGCCCTTTTTTGAATTTATTGACTTAGTAACCCTGTCAAAAAGAAACGAGGTTAGAGTGCCTTTCTTCTTATCCAGCTTGTCATTTCCTATGGAAGGACTTGATTTTCTCAAGGATTCTAGAGTCTATGTGATGAGCTACTTTCTTTTTAAAAAAAATTTTGGAAACTGACAGTAAACTTTTCAGTCTGTGTCTGGAAATTTCCTTTTCCTCAATTATGAAAATCAGTATGAGATGAGTCCTTCATTAGATTTAAATTACTTCTCCCCTTCCCTGCTGCTTTTTATATGTTTATTTTAATTTAATTTTATTTTCGGTAACAAGATCTTACAATGCAGTTCAGGCTGGTCTTAAGCTCACTTTGTAGCCCAGCCAGTTGCAAATTTGCAACGATCTTTCTGCCTCAGCCTCCTGAGTAATTCTGAGGTAATTCTTGACTACAATGTTACCAAAAGCTAATTCTCACCCTGTTGCCTTCTGTCTTGTGTTCTGAATCTTCTCTAATGATGACTGTCCTGTAGCTAGTAGAGTGGCAAAATAGGTCCAGTGGATCTGCCTTTTTTCTTGCAGCATCTTCCCATAGTAGAACTCTTTACACACTTAGAAGAAAGAAAGCATCCTCACTTTGATGAGCCTGTTCCCTCTGGACTTCTCTTCATTAGATGTTTTACAAGCAATTCATGTTCACCAAAGATAATTGGGAAAGCACAGAAGAAGAAAAGTGGCCCACAGTGTAACCACCACACTGCAGTTGCCAACATATCATGCATTCTAATCTCTTCTGAGCATGGACTTTCTTTTTGTCTTTCCCTTTTTAGTCATACTGCGTTTTTCCTTTATGCTTGGCAGTCTCTCATCAATATTTTCTGTTTCTGTGTGGTGTCACTCTTTCAGGTTTGTCTGTTCTTGTTCTCTTTGTCATCAAAATTTACTGTTTATCTGTATCTCATATGTGTTTGTTCTTTGTGGGTATGCTCCTCTAAGTTGTTTTTTTCTTTGTTTGTTTGGGTTTTAAGACAGTCTCACTATGTAGTTTAGACTGGTCTTGAAATCACTGTGTAGCCCAGATGACCTTAAACTCACAGTTCTCTTCCTGTCTCAGCCTCCCTCGTGCTGGGATTCCAGGCATGTGCTGCCACACATGGTTCATCTAAGTTTGTTGTCTTGTATTTTCTTGGGGTCACCTTTCATATTGAGTGATTGTATCTGATGTCTTCTGACTTACTCATTCTAATTTGAAGCCTTGGAGTTGATTCGGGGTTTTAAAATCTGCTTTCCTAGACTTGAGTTTTTTGTTCTGTCTGTCATTTATTGTTTCAGTATTAGAGCCTGCAGGGTGACACCCTGGACTCTTGGCTTGCCATCGGCACTTGGTCTGTGCACCGGCCTTATCCTCCAGTGTGTCTCTTCACTGCCCGCTCAGCGCATGGCCCTTGCTCATTGGTTGGACCTAAGTCTAATTGCCTCCTGCGTTGCTCTGTTTGATAGCTCATAGTGGTACTGTCTCGAGTTAAGGGTCTTCTCCTTGGAGGTCTTCCACTGAATCTTTTTTTTAACCAAGTGCCCAGTTCTGCTGGGCCTTGCACTATTGGTTTGATTCTTTGAGACAGAACCTTTCTTTTCTCCCAGCTCATTGAGACTGATGCCTGTAGCCCGTAGGAACCAGAGATAATGCTTTTGCACACCCCTATCATACTTCTGCCTGCTTCTTTTGACCAAAATTATACCATGCCCAATTTTCAGTATGTAATTTCTATGTTTCAGTCCTTATATTTAAATTTTATTCCATTTTGGATAATAAGTGCCAATGTGAATGTGGAGAAAAGGAAACCTTTGCACATTGTTGGAAGGGCTGTAAGTTAGTATAGCCATTATGGAAAACAGTATGGAGGCTCCTCAGAACATTCAAAAGAGAGCTGCTGTTCCGCTCCTGATATATACCAGAAGGAGGTGAAATCAGTTGTCAAAGACATCTGTACTCCCTTGGCTGCAGCACTTTTGGCGGTGACTGAGGTATGAATTGAGCCAGTGAATGGGTAAAGAAAATGTGGTACATGTACAAACTGTGCATCTTAAAAAGAATGGAATGTGTCGTTTGGGGCAGGATAGCTGGGATTAGAGCTTGCTATGTTAAGTGGAATAAACCAGGCCCAGAAAAACAAGGGGCACATGACCTCACTCATATTTGGGTCTGAACTCAGGAGTAGAGAGTCAGGTAGGGTTCCTGGGGCCTGTGTGAGTACTGAGGAGAGAGGGAAGATCGCACTGACCTGGGTGCTAAGCCCAGACAGGACAAGGAAGTCCGGCCGTGGGCTGTGCTGCAGTGTGCCATGGAGAGCCTGCGGCTTCGGGTCTCAGAAGGCTAAGTTAGGAAAGGGCTGTGGATGCTTCACCTTAAAACAACCATGTGGATCTGAGGAGACAGGCATGTTTGACGCATCTTAACACCGCACAGTGCGTGCATGCATTGAGACATAACATGGAAACCATTGGTAACCCAGGTTGTATGTGTCAATTAAAAGCAAAAATTAGTTTGGAATAATGGACATTAACTTGACACAGTATTTCAGAAAAGGAAGGGATAGAGGACATGGTGAGATTATAAAGGCCCCAGTTTATTTTTTTTCTACTGTATTTTATATGATAATGTGGATAAACTGTGATTAATATAATGAGCCCCACCTGTTAGTCTCATAGCTCCTGGACTGTTAGGAACAGTGCTGTACCGAACGCCTTTGTGAGAGCTGCAGTGTGAGCCCGTGCATGTGATTTTAAGGTGGTGACTGGAGGACGGAATTCTTGGTCCTCCACATGTGCTATGTTTTGGTTTGCCCTGCAGGATGGCTGTGGAGTTCACACTCCTACTGGCAAGGGTGTAACTTCCTGCACACTGTCTTACCTTAGTGTAAATGTTCCTGATTAGTAGGAAGGTCAGTCCCCATCTCCTCATGCATTTACTGGTGTTTTGTATAAATTGCCTGTTTTTGTCCTTTGCTCATTTTTATTTTTATTTTTTTTATTGATTGGTAAGATTTCTTTACTCTTAAGTTTCATTTTTCTTTTTTGGTGGTACCTGGGACTCGACCCAGGACACTCTGCCACTGATCTACATCCCGTCATTTTTAAATTTCTGCTACGCTGCAGCTGGGCTGGAACTTGGCGATCCTTTGCTGCCTCAGTGTCCTGAGTAGCTGTTGCAGGAATGGGCTGTTGTGCTTAGCTGCACTGTCTTCACTCTGGTTTCATGCTCTGATACATGCCCAGGACATCATCTCTTTCAGATTGTCCCTACCACTGCGTATTTCTCTTTGACATGTATTAAAAACGTCTTTGAACCAGCTTGTCAAGTTCAGACAATAATTCTTTTGAGTCTGGTATTGCTTTGATTACTATAGTTAATGTGGGAAGAGGTATTTTACCAACACCGTTTGTTTTTCAGAACATGACTGTTCTGAAGTAAATAATTTTTAATATTGTTTGGTGAAAAAATTCAAAGTTTTAATTATTGTCTTTCATGTTCTTTTGGAATAACTGTCATTTTGGGGTGTATTTGTTTTCTAAGTAAACTCTATGTGAGCTGTTACTAAGACATATTAGTGAGATATGCGGTAACAGGTGGGGAAAGTCTCATCTTTTCTGTGTTGTTTTTCTAGCAATTCCCAAAGTGAGACTGGAGACAATCTATATTTGTGGAGTGGATGAGATGAGTACACAGGACATCTTTGCCTATTTTAAAGAATATCCTCCAGCTCATATTGAATGGTTGGATGATACCTCCTGTAAGTATACCACGTTTTCTGGTGAATATACCTGTATTTATGCTTGCTAGAGAGTTCCTACTGTCAGGTGTTGTACAGCTATGGTCCAAACTCCTTGTTAATTCCTAACCTCTACCCTGGGAGAGACAAGAAATTGTTCATTGTTGAGAACCAGCATCCTTTAGCCAGTCTGCCAACTCATGCCCATAGGCATTTGGAGTTGAGTTGGAGGCAGTGTGCCATGCTCTAAGAAGAACAGCTGCTGGCATCTGAGTCTTAGTGTACATTACTGGGGGCTCTGTACACCCACAGTTCCCCAGTAGAGTGGTGGAGCCAACTATATAGATTTTGGGTTGCATTTTTAGGCCTTTTGGGCGTTCTCATTGCTGTTTCCCATGTAGTTATGACAAGGGTTTTGCTCTGCCTCTGTCTCTGACCTAGAACTAGTCCAGAATGTTCTGACCTGGTAACAGCTGCTCACCTCTGCTGCCTTGCACTCTGCTTTCTGGGCTGTCATCTGCCTCCCCTAACCTGTGAGTTGTCCAGTTTGGAGCCAGCTGTAATTTCTAACTTGCCTGCCTGCTCTGTTTGGCTTGAGTGCTGGCAAGCACTTTGCTGGCTCCTTGTCCTGGCTGACTTCTGGTCTGGCTTTACTTGCTGCCAGCTGACTGACCTCTAGGTAGTGCACTCGGTGGCAGCTGATTTTCTCAGCTGCTCTCTGAAGATACTGATTTAATGCTTTCATTGAAAGAAGAGGCATAACTAAAGGTTTTTCTCCATTTTTCTTTCGTTTAACTTACACTCTCCAAATCAAGGTTTTCTAAAAAGGGCCACATAGCAAATAGTTTAGGCTTTATACCTAAATATAGCAAGTCCCCAGCTTATGACCGATTCTGTTCTGTGAAGACCTTCATGAGGTGGATTCATTCATAAGTCTGATGAGGTGAGTTACATCTTTGACACAGATACACAGTGTGTGTTGATTTGTGCTTCCTAGCAGTCCGCTCCATGCCACTGCTTTCCTCTTGCTTCCGGACACAGATTGAGCTCTGCACTGTAGTACACTGTTGCGCTGTACGCTCAGCAGCACAACTGTGCCCAGGCCTGACAGATGTGCGCACTGCTTCTGCGGTTTGTTCGCACCTACAGATGTTCTGATGTGTGAGGGCTGTTCATATCTGCAAAAGCTCAAAACTCAGATGTTCGTAATTCAGTGCAAAAATTACTGCAAATCTGTTACCAAGAAAAATAAGTAACAGGCGAAGGGGTGGATTCGGCCCTGGGTGGTAGCTTGCTAGCCTCTAAGTCATCACCTTGGATGTTAGATTTGGAGGGATCATTAGAATTACCTAAGTTCAGCTACTTCATATTTTGTGTCAAACACTGAAAAAATGAAAAATGAAACTGGTAAAACAGAGAAAGAAAATTATTTGGCCAAGGCTACATAGCACATTAATAAAGGAAGTAGGAGTCCTCAGGCCGTAATGTCCTGAACTGAACTACAGGGAAAACTATTTTGAGAAATACCATTTAAACAGAGTTAGAGTTTCTTTTCTACAAGACCTCTCAAAGCTTTTTTTTTAGTTCATTTCCTTAAGTTAGTTGCTCCCATTGTACGCTTCCTGTGTTTACCTTTGCTGAACACACCTTATGATGTGCAGGCATCATATAGCATGGCAGATGGTGAAGAACACAGAGAGCTCCCTGCAGGAAGCAGTAGCATTACAAATAATTCAGATTTGTTTGGCAACTGTCATCATCACGAACTGTTAACATTCTGACTGGCATAATGGTCTGCACTTGTGGTCTTAGCTACTCAGGAGGCTGGGGCAGGAGATTACTGGAATCCAAGAGTTTGAGACCAACCTGTGCAATATAGCAAAACGCCATTAAAAAGAAAAGAAATGTTAACAGTGATGGTGCTTTCTGTGTTCCTCTAAGTTATAGCATGTAAAACCCTTTTTCATGGAATGCTTAAAACTAGTTTGTGTATCACAGCTTGAAAATGCAGTTCTAGACTAAGTTCTTCAAAGAGATTTTGGTATCACGTTAACTTTTTCTCGCTAGGTGGTTTGCACACTTACTGATGACAGTCTATAGGTGAGTGACTGTGATGCAGAATCTGCTCTAAAGAAATTGACCATTTGTAATGTTTTCTTTCGCACCTTGTTTTAGGTAATGTGGTCTGGCTGGATGAAATGACAGCCACACGAGCCCTGATCAACATGAGCTCTCTGCCAGCGCAGGATAAGATAAGAAGCAGGGGAGCCAGTGAAGACAAGCCCTCTGAGAAAAGCAAAAAAGGTAACTGAGCTGTGAGAAGAAATTTTGACCTGAGAGACCTGTTCTTTACACTATCTTTTTGGGGGCTTGTGGGTTTCTAAGAAGAAGATTATATAGTGTCTCATCGTTAGATATCGCTGAAATAAACTGATGTTTCGGATCAATAATAAGTAGAAGTAGAACATGCTAAACTTTTAGCACTGTGTGAGGTGGGCCATGGTGGCGCATGCCTGTGATTCCAGCACTCAGGAGACTAAGGCAGGAAGATGAGTTCCAGGCCAGCTTGAGCTGCACAGTGAGTTCCAGGCGAGCCAGGAATACATAGTGAGATGCTGTCTCCAAACATGAAAAGCTAAAAATAAAAAAAATTTAAAAAACCAATAAAATCGTAAGGTGGAGAGTTATGTTAAGGCTTATCTTCTGCCTTACATTCCATTTTAGACAAGCAGGAAGATAGTTACGATGACGATGAGGCGGAAGAAGGAGAAGTGCAAGATGAGAACTCCAGTGACGTAGAGGTTAGTAATGGGGAGGAATATCTGTAACATTTCATTGTTAAAATAGTGCTTATTGTCTGTTTAAAGATAAGGCTCGGGGCTGGGGATTTAGCTCAGTGGCATAAGCACCTGCCTTGCAAGCAGGCAGTCGTGAGTTCGATCCCTGGTACCGAGAAAAACGAAAAAAAGGCCAAAAAAAAAAAAAAAATCTTAAAAGATACGGCTTAAAGACTTAACAGGTTGTGTTCTTCCTCTGTGTTTTCTGGGAGATCTTCTGAGGGTGCACTAGGCTGTTATTTTGAGCTGTGTGAATGTCACAATTTATCTTGAGATGTTGGAATATTATTCACAAGTCTGCCTAAAAAGTGGTTTTATTGGGGTTGGGGACTTAGCTCAGCGGCATAAGCGCCTGGCTTGCAAGCAGGCAGTTGTGAGTTCGATCCCTGGTACCAATAAAAAGGAAAAAGACCAAAAAAAAAAAAGTGGTTTTATTGAGAAATACTTTGAAATGTTAACTAATCAGTAAGATTAAGAAAAACCAAGTAGAATTAGGGGTGTCATTCAAGGGTAGCATACCTTCTTTCTATGTATGAAGCCTTGGGTTTGGCTCCCAGCACCACAGAAAAGGAAAAAAGGGAAAAAAAAAGGGGGTGGCAAGTTACATATTTCCTAATAGGCTAGCTGCTATAGTTGGAAATATTAGGCTGTATTTGTTATAAATGTTAAGTACCTAATAGGAACTAATCTTGGAAGTACTGTAGTTGGATCATCAATCAAAACAAAGTTCTCACCATCTGAGAAACCTGCCTCACAGCAGGCAGACAGACGGTACACAGATGTGTGGGTGCGGACGATTGGGGATGATGTGTGCTTTCAGGAGAAGTAAAGCAGGTTAGCCGGATAAAGGGAGGGCCGACTGTTCTAGACAGAGTGGGTGGGGACCATCTCTGGCTCTGAAGTCTGACAGAATCAGTGCTGTAATGCTGATGGTGTTAGAAGTCTACTGCTTTCTTAATGGTAACCCCTCTTAAATAAATGCTAGAAAGGCTTTCATTTTTACACTGAAAATGCTCTTTTGTTTTTAAGTTGGACACATTGTCTCAAGTAGAAGAAGAGTCTCTGTTGAGAAATGATCTTCGTCCAGCTAACAAACTTGCTAAAGGAAACAGGTTATTCATGAGATTTGCTACGAAAGGTAAAGTTGATATTTGATAGTGATTTTTTATTTTCAGTGAAAATAATTATTGAGTGATAGCTTCCTCTTTTGGATAGGAAGTTGTCACAAAGTTTCCTTTAAAATATAATCTGTGTTTATAAAATAATGGCTTACAGAATGAAGAAATTTCTGACTGCATATTAATCATTTGTATACTTTCATTTTTTCTGGCTAAAGTAAGTTATTTTCTGTTAGAGCTAGTTTGCTCTACGTGCTTTTCAAGCAGCTACATGAACTATGAGGTTTTTTTTTTTTTTTTTTTTTTTTTTAACCCGGGATCGAACTCACGACCGCCTGCTTGCAAAGTAGGTGCTTATGCCGCTGAGCTAAATCCCCAGCCCCGAGTAATATATTTTTTAAAATTATTCTTTTAAATTTATTATAGTAATATCTTTCTAGATAAGCTTTTTAGGACTGGTCTCTTTTTTTTTTAATTTAAAGAAAGATTAAAACAGAAAATAGGTAGAAATAGTATATACGTTCAGAGAAAAAAAACTAAGAAATCACTAGTTGATGTTGTCGTTTTACAAATAGTTGTTCAAGGTACAAAAATGGAACATGTAAAGTGGGAATTCAAACAGAGACTGCAAAAAGTTCTAATCAACTGTCCAACAAAAACTTAGTAACATTGTTGTCAATCCTATACATTTAAACATACATGCAGTTATCCATATCTTCATTTATGTTTAGATTAAACAAACTAAAGCAGGTTAAAATTATTCTGAACAAAGAATAATAGTATTGTTGGATTTCACATCATGACACTCCGTGATCAGCACTGGGTACTGTAGTGTCTTCTTTTTAAAACTGAATTTAAAGAAAGACTAAAAAAACAGAAAATGGGTAGAAATAATACATAATTTCAAAGAAAAAATAAATGGTAAGAAATCAGTAGTTGATGATTACAGATTGTTTTCTTACAAATAGTTATTCAAGATACTAAAGTGGAGCATATAAAGTGGGGATTCAAACAGTGAGATTGCAACCAGTGCTGTTCAACTATCCAACAAAAACTTAGAAATATGGTTATCAATCCTATACACTTAAACATATATGCAGTTACTCATATCTTTAATTATGTTGACTTTGAATAAACCCAAGCAGGTTAATATCACTCTGAACAAAGAATAACACTATTGCTGGGTTTCACATTATGGCACTCCAGGATCAGCACTGGGTATTTTAGTGTCCTTTTCCTCAAAGTATCTGTTCATTTCATCATGTGTCGTAAGATCAGTTCTCATAAACTGTTTATAGATTCTACACATGCATGAGTCTTAACATGTATATATATTTTTTTAATTTTGAAAGTAGTAAAAATGCAACAGCACAAACAGAACAAAGCCAATCGAGACAATGCAGTGAAATTGGTACAGGATTTCACAGTAGGATACTGGGATAGTAGTAATAAGTTATGGTATATCTCTTTAACTTAACAATAGTTGTCCAGTCAATTACGTATTATAAAGTCAAACCAAAAATAGAACATTGTAAAACCAATTGAAAATACTGAATAGAGCAAAAGAAACATAACAAAACAGTGAAAACAACCTATGCCTTCAAACAGAAGATAGAAGGAGATCCCCCATATTTACTATACTGCATATGGTCATCCTCCCAAGAGATATTGAAACATCTATCCCCAGTAGCTAATCGGGGAGGGGGCAGGTGGGAGAAGGGTGCTTGATTTTAAGCTCACGTGGCAGTAGGCTCACAGGTAATGGTTCTTCTCCAGGCCCAAGCTGCAGGTGCTAACCAAGAGGGTGGGTGAATAAGCTGCCTGAGTAGGGCTGGTCTCTTCCTCATAAGACTTGGTGTGCAATGATTTTTGGTGGTTACTATGGTACATATAGGTAAATGAGTGTGTTTGTATGTGTGTATCTATGCGGGGTGTTCAAATTTTATACTAAATGTTTAAATTTTAAAAAATTTAAAAGATGTTATCATTAATTTGCCTCAAAATACTTCCCTCACTTCAAACACATCCAATTTTTCTTGTCATTTTCTGAATCAGTTTGGGAAGTCCTCATGCAGGTGTGTCTTTTATTCCCCCTTAGTTTTTTTGAGAAAGAATCTCACTGTGTAGTTCAGGCGGGTTTGAACTCTTTATGGAGCCCTGACAGGTGTCAAATTCATGGCAGGTTGCAGATGTGTGCCCCTGCTAGGCATCATGTGTATCTTCATTTGTGCCATTCTGGCTGCTTCCGTGTCCTGAAGAGTCACAGCATTTATCTTTCATGACCATTTTGTCTTTGAGGAGGAACCAGGCCCAGTGAACAAGGAAGATAAAGACACACTGTAATGTTTTTACAAGCCTGCCCCTCTGCCAATGGCACTCGGCAGCAGAAGTCACTGTGTTTTTATCCCTGTCTGCTTTAGAAAGTGTCAAGAATAAAGGGATAAGAATCACTGAGGGGAAGTATTTTGAGGGGAATTAATGGCAATAGATGATATCTTTTAAAAATATATAATTCTTCATTGCATTTTTTAATCTCATATATAGATTCATTGTTTTATGGAGTATACCTCAATTTGGACTTGTTACATGTTTTCTCCTGATTAAATTTACATTGTACATTTGTGGCAAGATTACTACAGAAGCGCTGTGCATTGTGGTACATACCTATAATCCCATGTACTGGGGGCTGAGGCAGGAAGTGTACAAATTCTAGGCCAGCAATTTGATAAGCTCCTATCTCAGGGAGGAGGAAAAAAAGAATACTGCAGAAGTGATAATGGGTTGTTTTCAGTGCATCATACCAAGAAGTATATGAAATTTATTAATCCCATTCCCCTTAACTTCATTTGGTTAAAGTAATAATTATTAGATATCTTTTTTCCACTGTGAAGCTGCTGTTTATAATTTTAAAAGTGAATGTCTGTTTCTCATCATATTTAAATGCAAAAATAATTTTAGCATCTATTAATGATTTTCTGACTCCATCATTTATCATTTGGCAGGCTGTTGTAGGGAAGAACTTTGTCCTTTTACCTGTTTGTTTACTTTTTTACTTATATCAGTTTAGACTAGTGGATTCTTATTCAGTGAGTTATTATCCATTACTGTCATTATTTTAATTTACAAATTGTCTTGGATTTGGCCATGTCCCTTCAAGCTGTGTGTGATATGCCCTGTGATTCTTTGAGTACTTTCTTTTTAGCACACAAAACATCTCTATACTCAGTTTGTACTTTACCTGCCCCAGATCTGGAATCAGCCATTTCTTCAAGGAGTTGGTAGGCATGGTTTTTTGTTTTTGAGGGTTTGGGGTATACACACACTGGTCCAGGTCTGTTGAGCCTTTGCAGTCAGCAGTACCCAAGGAACTGTTCAAGGCCTTTGTGTTATGTACTTCATTGAAGAGTGTGATCACCTTTTCTTTCTCTTAACTGGCCTTAATGTGACAAGTATGGTCTTTTCCACATATATTCGTTTGAGTGGCTACTTGAGTGTGTGTTAAAAGTATAGTATTGTGCTGTTTTCTTTAAGCCATTTTGAGGAATATCACAATAAGCCAGAAAAAAATATTTACCAAAATATGGAATTATATATAGTTTGATTCTTTAACCCTTTTTCTATGTTGTTGAAATGTTTGTTATTTAGAAATACCAACTTTCAGGCTGGGAATTTAGCTCAGCGGCATAAGCACCTGCCTTGCAAGCAGGCGGTTGTGAGTTCGATCCCTCGTACTGATTAAAAACAAACAAACAAACAAACAAACCCACCAACTTTCAGAAAATACGAAAATACCATCTCTTCTAAAAACCTCTCGTTATGCCTCTTAGAATCTTAAATCTTGTGTTGTGTATTTTTAATAGTATTTCCTGTGCTGAGTTAGTCAGCTCCTAAATAGCAGCTTAACCTCATTCATCTCTGCTTTTTGCTCTCCTTCCTTCATACTCAAAGAAAGAAGGAATAGTTAGAGCGTGTTTTCCTTGTTGTTGGGAGACACACTGATCTGATGCCAGCTATGGAGTCTCCCATCCTCAGGAAATCCTAGGTGACTGTTATAATTAATTTTTAGATGACAAAAAGGAACTTGGAGCAGCCAGAAGAAGTCAGTATTACATGAAATATGGGAATCCCAATTACGGAGGCATGAAAGGAATTCTTAGCAACTCTTGGTGAGTCTAAAACCTTATAGTATAAGTTTAAAGAGAATTTAAGTTTTCTTTAATCTTTCAGTCAGTATTTGGTAGTGGAATGTCAAAACCTCAAGTGGAAAAGACAAGAGGGAAGGATTCAAGATACTTAACTGTGGTAAATGATAGGAGTATGTTTCGTTTTCATTGAAAAGATGTATGTCTCAGTGTCTAACACTTTCAGTGTGTAGTTGAAACGAATTGGTGGATTTCACGATCCTCCCTGTTGGTTTCTGAGTACGTGTTTATTTTGGCATTGTTGCAGGAAGCGAAGATATCATTCCCGTCGCATTCAGCGGGATGTGATTAAGAAGAGAGCCCTGATTGGGGATGATGTTGGCTTGACGTCATATAAGCACCGACATTCTGGTAGTTGCCTGCTCAGCTCTTGGGTAGACACATGTTTGGCTCTCGAAATCGTAAATTTTATTCTTAATGCAGTCTTTTAAGGTTCCAAACTTTATCATCCTCTCTTCCTTGCCCTCACCCTCTGCCAACATATAGGAAAGTAAGTCAAGTCATAGTTAATTTTAAATTGCCCATGCAAAGAGGTCAAATTACTTTATTAAAGCTATTATAGTGACAAAGTCCAAATGTGACATAGGGCAAATGAAAAGTTTTCTTGGAAACCTAACTTTTCTACTGTAACAGCTGCATGCAAAATATTTTAAATATTTTATCAGATGGGCTGATTTTGTGTTCCTTTTCTGACAATGAAAATGCTGTTTTGAGTGCTGTGATGCTTTTTGTCTTACACATATGAATGCCTTAGAAATGTGGGTCATCAGGGTTTGGATTTTTTCCCTCTCTTTTGAGCAGACTATAAAATAATAATTTTCATTATATTTTATAATGTTTTTATTCTGAACTAAATGTGTGGAATTTTCTATGTAACTAGTCAAATTATATAGAACTTCTTTATAGAACTAGTCAAGTCAGCATATAAACAGTAACATGCACACACAAGTATCATTGGAATGGGACAGGAAGAGATGAAGTCTATATATTTTTATTTAATGCATATGTACAGAATTATATATTTAAATTTGCATATCAATCCTATTACATGGTTAATACTATCAATTTTAGTTACTTTTACTTGCATCATCTGTTCTGTATGTTCGTATTAAGAATTAAAAAGCAAATTTCCATAATTATAGCACCCTAAAGAAATAACTGCTTTCATCTTCTCATTTGTCTATTCTCATAATAAATACAATCCTTGAAACTATGTATCTTATCTTCAGTTTTTCCACTTACAAGAATTCTTCTGTGAACTTCCATGTCAATAGTTGGTTTCCGTTGTATGGTGTGGTTATGTGCTTTGAAGTCACCGTGAACTTTGAATTAGGAAGTAATTGAACCGGGGCTGGGGATTTAGCTCAGCGGCGTAAGCGCCTGCCTTATAAGCAGGCAGTCGTGAGTTCGATCCCTGGTACCGATAAAAAGGAAAAAGGAAGTAATTGAACCATACAGTGTCTGGTCACACTATTTTTATGAACTAATAAATATGTAACTTTTATTTTTCTGTTTGAAAAATACCTTATTTAATATATATTGTTGGCTAATGTTGACTTCACAGCCAATAGCAGTATTCTTCAAATCCAAATGAAGGTTTTCTAACATATATTTTCTCTGTAAGGCAGATCACAGCCTTCTTTGACTTAACATTACTAAACAGCACTTTAGCACTCTGTTTGGGGGTCATTTTAAACAGTGAAGTCAACAAAAATGTGAACAAGGCGGCAGTCGGCAGGCTGTGAAAAGGACTCTTTCTTAAACTGAGAGATAGACAGAAAGGTGCAGTTCTGCTTTTCCTCACCTCCCCTGGGGGCAGGCTCACCCGAGGACTCAGGTTTTGTTGTTGTTCTGTATGTGTCCACAAATGATCCTGAAACCACCTTGAGGACTGATTTAGGAGTTACAAATGAATTTGGCAAGTTTGCATTTATAAAACTTGTGAATAATAAAGATTGACGTACACTTTAATGGGCTTAATAGGGTTCCATCAGGCTGTTAGACCGTCTTGTCCCTGACCATTCTGCTAAAAGCATCAGGATGGTACCCAGCTTGCCGGTGTTATAAATAGTGCTCCAGTAGAATCGGGGAGGATTTGTTCGTTTTCACCAGTGTAGAATAGAAAATCATATTCACCAGTGTTAGTCTAAGCTTTTCCTTTTTTTTGGTTAAATTGTTTCAGGATTAGTGAATGTTCCTGAGGAACCCATTGAGGAAGAAGAAGAGGAGGAGGAGGAGGAGGAGGAGGAGGAGGAGGAGGACCAGGACATGGACGCGGATGACAGAGTGGTGGTAGAGTACCACGAGGAGTTCCCAGCTCTCAAGCAGCCCCGGGAGCGGAGCACGCCCAGGCGATCCAGCGCCAGCAGCTCAGACTCAGATGAAATGGACTATGATCTAGAGCTAAAGATGATTTCCACTCCTTCACCGAAGAAAAGCATGAAAATGACCATGTATGCTGATGAGGTCGAGTCTCAGTTGAAAAATATAAGGTAAAGTGTTTTATCCATGCTAGCTTTAATTTTCTTTTTTTAAATGTGGTACAGAAGATTGAACCCAGAAATTTGTGTTTGCTGGGCAAACATTCCCACTGAGCTAAACCCCAAATTTAATTTGATTTTAAATACTAAGTGTAAACTTAATTTCTTTTAATTTTATAATCACTTTTATTTATTCTAATTTCAGTCCTTTGTAGGCGTTTAATACCAGCACCTCAGTTTTCCTCTGTCCAAGCACTGGTGCTTGTTATGTGAACTGTAAACAGCCCACAAAGCAAAACTCACCCACAATAACAGCTGTTAGAAGTTGGGTGATAGCCTTCCTGTTATGTGTATGCATATGAGCAGTGTATGGAGAAACCACGTACCTATAGTTGTATAAAAACGAAGCTATGCTCCTTATATTGCTTGCAGTGTGCCTTCCTATTTATTAAAGTGTAGACACCTGTTAATTTTTCAACCATAAGTAATTCATTGTTTGAAAGTAAATCTGGGAAGTATTGTTACTCACATTACTACCTGTATCACCATCAGGTGTTACCATTATTCCTAATCTTTGCTGATTTTGTGAACAAAAGTTGTATAGATATTTTAATGTGAATTTCTTTTGTTAATAGTAGGGATGAACAGATTCTATGTAGAGCAGGTAGTATATCCATAACTCTTAAGGGTTGAATTTTAGGGATGTTCTGAGACATCTTTGGTCATGTGTTGGGGGAAAGGAAGGACCTTTTAAAGTGATGTGCTTGGATGGCCTATTTGCATCTTTAGTTGTAGTATTCACAGGACTTACAAACAGTATGCTGATGGAATAGTGCTTATACCCAGCATGATAGCAGGTTTCTTTGACAGAGAAGTCTGCCCTTTAAAGAAAGATGTGGTACCCTCTGTGGCGTCATAAGTACAGCCAGACTGTGGCCTGGGTGAGCAGAGAGCCCGAGCTCTTACAGCCTCTTCTTACTGTCTGTCTCAGGAAGAGGGGCCTCGTGGGTAGAACTGTATGGGCGTCCGTGTGGAAACAGCAGTTCCTGCTTGCCTGCCCAACCCTGTCAAAGCAGGTTGCTTAAGCAAGTTACTGTCGGGATTACTGGGGCTTGGGCTGCAGGTCAGTGCAGAGGTGCTTGCATAGCGTGGGTATGGCCCTGGATTGAGCCCTCAGCACCACTGGGGAAAACAAAAGGATGTATGTCTTGTGTAGACTTGGTAAGTGCATGCAGACTATTGGATTGGGTTTTTTCCAAAACAGGAGATTATTGTTCGGTTGTTGTCTACAGTTACAGTTGGATAACTTTTTTTTTATTTTTAAAAAGGAACTCCATGAGAGCAGATAGTATATCCACAAGTAACATCAAAAACCGAATTGGTAACAAATTGCCGCCTGAGAAATTTGCAGACGTCCGACACCTCTTAGATGAAAAACGTCAGTACTCACGTCCACGGCCACCAGTCAGCAATACTAAATCAGGTACTGTTCTTTTTTGTGTTCCTGGAATTCATTCTGAGTGCCAGAGAACAAATTGGGGTAGGACAAAGTTGTGGGATGGCATGTTGCTATTCAGAGTGGATTTAGTCGTCTTCATCACATCTAAATTGTAATTGCATGTTAAGAAAAAATAATCAGACTTTGGCAAAACTATTTTTTAGTATTTTGCCCGAAACTGTGGTTTTACTCTGTAAACTGTTGGTATAATTTACATATGAGAATAATAGAAATGAAGTGGGAGGTTGGAGAAATGATTGTTTATGCCTGCAGACTCTCACGTTACAGGTATATGGCTGTGTTTGCCGTGAACCATGTGGGAAGTCTTCGCAGGGCTACAGAAACACTGTCAGTTCACCAGGGAAACTGGAAGTAAGACTTCTTGGAGAAAGTAGCTTTAGAGCTGGGCCTTGGAAGGGGAATGGCATCTTGGTTGGCAATCCTTATTTTTTTGTGGGTGAGATGGGCCAGAGCTCCAACACACAGCTCTGCTAATCAGTTTGTTGCTGGTGTTGCTGCCACTATTAAAGGGTATTTAAGGATAGGCAGCTCTTTGAGCAGGTTGAGGAAAACTCACTTGGTTTGGGACATTGCTTTTTGCCCGTCTCATCATAGCTAATGGTTAAGTTTATTGAAAACTATTCACATTTTCAAAGATTGGTTCTGCACTTGGAGAGCCTATAGTATTGTTTATTAAACTGAAATTTATAAAACAAGATAAAAATGTGATTCTGCTTCAGAAATTTTTTTCTGAAACAGTCAGCTCAAGGTTTTTGTTTGTTGTTTTTTCTCCTTCAAATAGCTCTGGCGTCTCAGTTTCCAGAGGGAATATAGGCCAGTGACAGAGAAACCCAATTCTGTCAGGCTCTGTGTTGTCACTTGGGGAAATTCGGTTCTAGGTCCTTTAGAGATCTCAGCTTGACAGTGTGGCAAGTGAAGCATGTATACTTAGTCACAGTAGCACTTTTTTTTTCCCAGATATACGCCAGCGGTTAGGAAAAAGACCGTATTCTCCAGAGAAGGCTTTTATTAGTATCCCAGTGGTTCGGAGAGAGCCCTCTTCAGATGTACATAGTAGACTAGGTGTTCCCAGGCAAGACGTTAAAGGCCTCTATTCTGATACTCGGGAGAAGAAATCAGGTGAGTAACATGTAAAACTGAAGGAATGGCAATCGGGAAATAACAGAGAACAGTAGGAATAGCATAGATCTGCAGGCTGAAAGAGCACAAGCCAAACAAAGTGAGTTTTCCTCTTCTGTTGTCATTGTCCTGGTCATCAGCGTCATCATCATGCTAATACAAAAATGTAGGAAGTGGAAAATAATGCACACCACTGCTTCTTTCAGTGCAGCACAGATCCTTCCTAGTTTCCCGTGTGCATTTCAGACATCTCCACATACATATCATGCCCTTTTTGTACAGCATTTTATCATAGTCATTTTTCCATGTTACATTCTTTGTAAATAAAACTTTTAATCACCTTAGTAGTACCTTGGTTTGTGAGTGCTTTTGTTTGTGAACACTTTGGTTTGCAAACAAGTGTTTGGCAAAATTTTGTTTTCCGTTCACAAACGCTCCATTGGATGACACAGCGGTGGCCATCTGTCCCACACAGACTTAGATGTGGCCATGTTCACCAAAATTGTAGAACAAATTAAGTCTGTGAACTGAGGTACCACTAAATGTGCCTCTAATATGAAAATTCTAAGCACATATCTCTCTTTTGTTAATAAAATAAAAAATTAATGGGTAGTGGGTCAAAAATCTAAAAGTAGTTTGCGATGTAACAGGCTCCCTCAGTTTGCAGAATGTGGGAGCTTCCAGTTTCCTTGCAGAACTCAGCAGTGTGCAGCATGGTTCAGTTTCACGGGGAGGGTCAGGTATGACAGGAGACAGCCTATGGTGGATCCAGATGTGTGCAGGTGTACCTGCCCCAGCAGTGAGAATCTCCCGTGGAGTCCTCAGCCGTCCACTTGCAGACAGGGGCAGCAGCCGGGACAGGAGATAATCTGCCCAGGGCTGCACTGCAGTTGTGAGTGCCACAGACCAGTGATGTTTTCTACATGTCATGTGGTGGCATCGCCCCTGCTTCCTCAGAGCCGCCTGCTCCTTAGGATTGACTGCCAAACTGAAATGCCTTTTCTCCCAAACAGGGAGCTTGTGGACTCGTTTAGGATCTACACCCAAGACCAAAGAGAAGAGCATGAAGAAAGTGGACCCTAGGGCAACTGGCATGGAGGAAGATGACTCTGAGCTGCAAAGGGCGTGGGGGGCTCTGATTAAGGAGAAAGAACAGTCTCGCCAAAAGAAGAGCCGGTTAGATAACTTACCATCTCTCCAGATTGAAGTTAGTCGGGAAAGCAGCTCTGGTTCAGAGGCAGAATCCTGATGTCCCCAGTGCGGCAGCTGCCCTAACGCGATACTCTTACACAGGGCGGGGTGCGGCAGGAGCCTCCCCTGCTGGAGTGGTCCCACCTGTTCCTGCTCACTCGGTCTCCCTCAGCTCTTGCTGTTTCAGCAGGACATCCTAAGGATGTGACCAGTTTGGAAGGGCACCTCTCTTGTGCTGCAGTTATAGTGCTGAGCTCTGGATTCTTTTCCCACTACCCCATAAGCTTTATCCTTTGAGAAAAAGGCAGCCCTCCAGATTTTATAGACATTTTTCTTAATATTTTTAACATTGTGTCTTTTAAAAGAAATGTTTTACACAGTTCATCCAAAGAACAGAGAACTGAACTTCTCACTATTGCCTTGGCCCTGTCAGCTGTTACCAGCACCCTTTTCCCAAGAAAAGTCAATTCCCAGGTGCTTACCGGACAGACTGCGAGGGGGAAGAGGAGGGAAGCCGCCAGCTCGCCCTTCCAGGATCCTGGTGTGAGGGCGACTGTCTCGGACCTGGCCTCAGAGGTGTACCAGTGCTGGCAGGTAGCTACCAGATGCAGCAACAATCGCGCTTCCGTCCTCCCTTGGGGTTTCTGTTGGGGACTCTCATGCTGGCTGTCAGCTTGATGTGAAGGTCACGTTCAGTGCTGTGGGGTTTTTAGGAATAAAAAGACTGTGACTGACGGATATGGGGTTGATTTTTGTGCTAGGGTTGGGGTCATGGGTTAATGATGAACAATTTTTAAGTCTGTACGTATTGTGTTTAAAATTATTAATGATCTTAAAGTTTTAAATTTTTAATTTTTATATGTGGCAGTTCTTCCTGTTGGCTATAGGAGCAACTCAAGTGGTGTCTTCTTTTGTGCTGTTAAATATATATTATATACTTTGGAAGATGGTAAAGAGAGGAGTCTCATTATTTTAAAGGACCCTAACTGTATGGTCTATTTGTTGTTTATAGTGTTCAATATGCTGTTTGGCCACTGTAGGAAAAAAAAACCCATCTGAGATGGGACCTTGTTTATTATCACTTTAGAAGTAAAGATAATTTATTCTTTTTGTCTCCAAGTTGTGACTGAAGACCTCTTCAAAACTAGCAAATAATATTTTCAGAAATGTTTTGTTTAAACTCTTTTAGATTATTTTACCATGAAAAGGAGGTTGTTTTTTGTTTTTTATTTTGTCTTAACATCTGATTTTTATCTCACAGTACTTAATTCTGTAGTCTTTTGTAGGCTTTAAAATAATGTTTCATTTCAGTTCATGAGCACTTGGGAGTTAGAGGTGCTAGTAAGCTTTTGTCACTGTGTGATGTCACATTCTTCACCCTCCGGACTGTTTTCCACCAGAGCAGCCTAGAGCCCTTGCTGGTGACTGAGCTGATGGTGTATTAATAGTTGGTTGCACTGTGGTGCAAATGAATGCGTGCAAAGCAGTGTTGTTCACTAAGAAAATCAAGGGTTGAGACCTGAGGGCTGTAATGAAAACCACATTGCAGCATATTTTAACCTACCTGCCCCATGCTGTGTTTCGGGTTCCCAGGATACTAGAAAAGAGGTGACACTGGTTTCTCAGCCAGCTAAAACCTGCCCCTGACAGTTCTAAGTGCTTTTTGCCCTGTGAAGCACATGGCTCAGAGCTAGGTTCTTAGGTTGAGGCTCAGGGGTTGTTAGGGTGAAAGGTGCAAGGACCTGAGAGTTAAGAGGCCCTATGCCACCTGGCTCTACTGCATGGACCTGGGCCTTGGTTTCCCAGCTGGAAATTGGTGGGATGGGACTGAGCTAGTTATGTTGGCTCATCTCAGTGGTGTTTTACTCTTCCCACAGCTGTGAGTACAGTGGACTGGCCAGCACACCTTTCTGCTGCAAGTGGCCAAAGAGTCAAGAAGACAGCTGAGGGCAGGCATGAGGTTGTGGGCAGGATCCATCCCTGAGCTGTTACAGTGTGGTTTTCCTGAGGGGTTAGTGGCCATAGTCTCCCCAGCACTCAGGAATTGTCCTTTGTAGGCTTCTCTTTTTGTTTCCCAATCACGAAGCCGACCCTCATACTAGAGAGCAGAGAAGACTGTAGAAGCTGGGTGACATGCAGTCACAGCTGGGTCTTTGGTCTAATCGTGAAAACCATGAGAAAACACAGAACTCAAAGAAGTAGCTCTGGGATTGTATTTCCTGAAGTGGTCCTCCTTCCTCCCCTCTCTCTCTGGTCCGCACTCAGCCACTTGTGTCTTGCAGCATCTTGAGCATGCCCTGCATAGCTACTTTGTCCCTGAGTTAGGAGTGAGGGGACAGTCAGACAGCTTGACAAGCCGCTCAGCGAGCTTGCACCCCAGGTGTTTTCTGTGTGGCAGCCAGTAGGGCTGCACACTCTGTACCCTTCCGCTCATCCTGGCAGGTAGGAGATTTTAAATACAATCGTGCTGCTTGATAATAATTGCAGATACCTCATCTCTGTTTCCCTTCTCTCTTAGGAGAGTCCAGGTACACAGGAGAACTTGGAGAAGCCCATCACAAGACATCAGCCCCCCCCCCCCCCCGGTGTACTCTGGTCTGTGAATCTCTGCCTGCTCCCTCTGCCCCATTCTCTCTTTCTAGTCTGCTCCACTGCTGGGATGAATTTTTGTTGGCATTTCATTGAGTGATGGCTTGTTTGTATAGTGTAAAATTCATGTCATAGTGTACATGTCAGTGGGTTTTAGTGTGTTTACCAAGTTGTGCAACCATCACCATAAGCAGTTTTCAAGCATTTTATTGGCAGAATCATCAGGAGTCATTATTTCTTTCTAGCCCTTGGCAATTATTCTTTTTGTCTGTGGCCTTGTCTTTGGTGGATATTTGATAGAACTGGAGTCACGTACTGTATATTTGTGACTTCTTTCACTTCGAACATTTTTAAGGTTCATCCATGTTGGAATATCTGCACTTTATTTTTTTAAGTTGTAGAATAATATTCCATTGTGTATGCCACATTGCATAGACCATGTTTTATCTATTAATCAGCTAATGAACATTTAGGTTGTTTCATTTTTAATTATTTTGAATACTTTTTTATGGACGTTTATATACTTGTGGATATATGTCTTCTTGTCCCTGCCCCTTGGTTTTGTTTGAGAACTGTGGCAGTTTCCTTGCTTCAGCCTTCTGATTGCTGGGATTGCAGACTTGTACCACCATGCTTGGCATTTTCTTGGGTTTATACTGAGGAGTGGAGTTGCTAGATCACATGTAACTCTTTTTCAATTAGACCTTGGGCTTTGCACATACTAGGCAAGGATTCTTGGGCTATGTCCTTAGCCCTTTTAAAAAATTTTGATAGTGTCTCCAGTAAGTTCCTCAGAATGGTCTTGGACTTTTGATCTTTCTGTCTCAGCCTCCTGAGCTGCTGGGATTATAGGCTTATGCCTGCATGACCAGCTGCTAAGGGTCTGTTTAATCCTTTGGGAAGTTGCGGAGCTGATTTAGCTGTATTGGTTTACATTCCTGTTAGCAGTGCATGAGGTTCCAGAGTTTCCTCACATCTTCAGGAACACTGTTTTAAAAATGGGAACTGGTGCCTTTGGTTTTGATTTGTACTTCCTTAATGGCAGGTGACGGGCATCTTTTCTTTTTTTTTTTTTTTTTTGATGGGCATCTTTTCATGCGCTTCCGGATGAACTTTTAAAAATGTCAGTCTGATCTTTTTATTCCTCTGCTTGAAACTTTTCCTGACCTTCTTTATTTCCTTTGGAATAAATCCAAGCTCTTCTGTTAGCTTATGAAAGCTGATTGTGATCTAGACTCTTGGGCCTGTTCTCCCCCGCCTTCTCTGCTTGCTAAGTTCCGGATCTATCTTTTTGGGGGGTGGGGGTGGGGGATGGGGTTACCGGGTATCAAATCCAGGGCTGTTGCACTGACCTTTATCTTTAGTCCTTTAAAATTTTTAAAAATTTTTAAAAAATTTGAGATGGGTCTTGCTAACTTGAGAAATTGTCCAAACTGGGCTTGAACTTGTGATCCTCTTGCTTTATCTCCCAAAGTACTGGGATTGCAGGTGTGCACTGAACTGTCTGGCTCCCTGGATCTGTCTCAATCTCAGCAGTCTTCCAGACCCAACAGAGCACATGCTCCCAGTGACATACTTTCCCAGGCCCTGTCCCCTGTCACTCAGCCTTGAGCTCTCAGGGGCCTCTTAAGAAGCAGTCCTCAATTTCCAGAGGCAAGGTATGGGTTCCTTCTGTGTTTGTTCCACTGCTGACACAAAGGAATTCTACTGATGTAACATCAGTGCCTGAGATAAAGCTGTGTGCAATCAAAATTCCTCGTGGCAACCCCAAGGCAGGCACTATAGTGAAGGGGAGCATCACACAGTCGGTCACAGTCATCTCCTGTCTGTGGGAGCAGACACTTTGGCTCTCAGTGGGCACAGGTGGGGTGGTTGGCCTGCAGTTGGTCTTGTACAAAGCTCACTTCACTGTAGCTGTTACAACTTCTCTTTTGAGGAGCTTAGAGGTTTAGACTATGGAAGCAGCCAAGAAACAGACTTGCCAAGGATTTCCTGCCGACGTGGGCTCATTGAGGGAAAGGGGAAGCTGGAATGTCCCAGGCAACTTGGAATTGTTTTTTGTTTGTTTTTTAAATAACTTTTCAGACTGACACCACTGTGTCTGACTAAGTGAAGTATGTGTATTGTCAAATATACTGTATTCACCAACCCAGCACCTCCATGCTGGACTGGAACCTCCTAGCCTTTATTTGTCTGTTTTGCTAGACTGGAAGCTCCGTGAGAGCAGGGTCATGACCATTACTTACGTTCATTGGGGTTTTCCCACACCTTTACCCAGGCCTGGCATCTGGTCCTCCCTAAATGTTTATGGAATTTGTAAATCTCCAGCCTCAGAATTGCTTCATCTGAAGCCCTCGGATCATTGCGGTTCTTTCTCTGCCATCTACTGTGGGAGATGACTCCAGTGACTCCCTTTGAATCCAAAACAGTTGCTGTGACTTGATTACTTGGAGACTCATTTCCTTATACTGGTATATAAAAGACTGGCTAGGGTATTGCTTTCTCTCTTCAATTGGCTCTGAGCACTGCAAGTAAGGCTAGCCGAGGTGCTAATGTGCAAAATCTGTAGCCATCAGACAGTCCTGTTTCTTCCCTGGTGCTCTCCACATTACTGGATTGAGCTCTCAGAGATGTTAGAGCAAACAGCTCCGGGAATGTCAACTGGGTACCAGCCTCAAGATAAGAGGTTATTATTCCCCAGGGCACAAGAGTTTGCATATCAAAAACACAAACAATAGCCCCCCCAAAACAATTCCACTGCTGCCTTAATTAGATTCTGTAAATTGATCCTTCTGCATATCTTTATCTCTGCAAATTACCGAGATGCCATTCTTGCACCTGGCTAGCCAGCTCAATTTACTCAGTAATCCCTGAGATCTTCACTATCACTCATCCATGAGCCACTCCCCTTTGTTCACAAGAGAATAAATGCTGGGAGAGGCCTAGGATCGAGGCCTTTGTCCTCATGTCCTCATGGGAATTGGACTTAGGACCCCTTGGCTGCCCGTAATTTAGAAGATGTCTTGTTGTCTTTACTCTCGCTGTGGGTTGGATTGGTAATGGTAGATTGGAATTAACTTGCTAGGATTCCAATGACGTCTCGAAGCGATTATAAATATAACCTTTTGGATTGTGAGGAAAACTAGAAAGAGGATTACAATACTTGGGTGACTGAACTTGATATTTGGGTTTACAATAATCTACATTTAATGTCTTTTTTTCCTATTTTCCTTCTAGCCTGTGAGCTCCTAATGAGCAGGTGTCTTCATGTTTTCTTTGTATCCTTGCAGCAGGTAGTGTGCTTCGGGTGTTTGGGAAGTGATTGAATCATGGTAACTGAGGCCTACTTTTGCACAAATCTGATTCTAGATGAGATCCCAGTCCCACAAAAGGACACTGTGCTTATATAAGGTAAAGCGCTCAGGTTGGTCTCAGTAAGCATCCAGTGTTGATGACTGTGACATGCTCTATAAAGAATATGCTAGCAGGTCACACAGATGGTCCTGAGTATTTTGTTAGAAAAGCACTCATCTGCCCCATGATAGGAAGGAAAGAAGCTGGTGGGAATGTGCGAGGTCCCAAGAGAGACTGCCTAGGCTCTGGTCCTTGTGGAATGGAAAATGACTGCAGTCTGAGGTGTGTGACAAGAAACCGCTCATTCCCAGCAGTACCTCTCTGTCCGAAAGCAGTGTCCCTCGGGCTTCCCAGGTGGAGCCTTGTCCAGGAGTGGGAAATGCTCACGTGCACTTCCGGTCAGCACCAGCAGCGAGTGACAGTAAGCTTTGCATATTAGTAGTTACTGCTTCAATAAGTTTGACGTGTAAGTATTTGCTTTAAACTCCTTATAACAAGAGTGAAGTTAGCGCTAAGAGGAGAGCATGCTTTTGGTAATCTTGGGAATAGCACATTTGCTCTGAGGCAGATCACTGCTGTGTCGTTTGACCCACAACAAAGGTGGAACTTTTCTTAAATACTTGTAAAATAAATCTTAGGAAAGAAAAGTACTGTACATTTTTTCCCCCAATGAAATTCTATGAATGTTTCCTAGAACTTTGTTCCTGCTTCAAAATCTGTTTTAAATAGTTCAGAGGCATTGAAGTGGGATTTCATGTACTATAAATAAAACACTAGGGTAAGGGTGGCATGTAGCTTCCCACAGTCACTACCCTGCTCGGAAATTCTGATCTGTGTGAGCAGTCCCCAAGGCCTCCTCTGGATGCCTGCATGGTTAGGTGTTGAGTCTGTGTGTCACCTCAGCCCAGGACCGGAGGGGGTTAGTACAGGCAAGAGGCCTTTATCATCACCTCTTTTCCTTGGGTGGCCGCAGATCCTGTGATATGTCCCTCTTTCTCCTTATGGACAAGAGCTTCTCAGAGGGTCCTTTAGTCTTTGGGAAAGAACTAGGATGAGAGCCGGAGCTGGAGCTGGAGTATGAAGAATTCATCCTCCCTCACATGCTTAGGGGGGAAGGGCAACATCCCTGCCTCTGGACCTCAGCTTTGCACTCTGTCAAACGAAGGGCTCCACTGAGCTGACGCCTGTTTTCCTCCTAGGGCTGGAGTGTGTCTGAGGACCTCTGCTGCCTTCACCAGGGCAGGAGGGAGGCGGGTCCAGTGCAGCTCTTCCCCTCCCAGCCCCCATTACACGAGGACAAGCAATCCCTGTTGGCCCTCCTGACGCCCTCCTGACCAGCACACCCACACCCATACCCACACACACCAGTCAGTCTTTTAGGGCCGGCAGCCCAGGGTATGAGTACGAGGGCTGCCATGTCAGTGTCACACTTAGGAGGCATTCTCGCAGGGCTGGAGCCTGAGAGGCAGACCACAGTGCCAGGATGGCAGAGGCCCTCAGCCAGGCTTGCTCACTGCCGTTCCTCTGTGTATGCACATGAGCCTTGCACCACCATTCCTGCTGAGTTAGAGCCAGGCCCTACCCTTCTCACTGCTTTTAACTTTATTTCTTAAAAGCCTCGTCTCCCAGATACAGCCGGGTTGTGAGTTTGAGCTTCGCCATTTGAATTTGGAGGGGATGCAGTCTAGTCCACAGCACCAGTTCCAACAGAATGCCAGTCTGTGTCTGTGGAGTGAATGCTCCTGTTTGCTGAGACAAGGTCTAGCTATGTAGCTCCGGTGGCTTGAGACACTTGTCCTCTCCCAGTTTCCACTCTCCGAGTGTCAGGGTAAGAGGTGTGCACCACCATATGTGGCTTGGGTTTGTTTTAAGCTGAATCTAAAGGTGGGAGGGTTTGTAGTGTTCCAGTCATGGTTCCCAGGGAGAAAAACTTGAGTCCTACGCTGCCACTACTGTCTGTCTGGCTTTGGCAAAGCACTTTCCCTGTCTCTGGGCACCAGCAGCTGCATCCGTAAGTTGGACCCCCTCAGATGGAGGCCTGCACACAGAGCCTGGGCTTGCTTGTGTCTGGGCTCCCTGCTGAGTGCTCAGTGGTAGTGGGCCCCACTGCTCTGCCCTGTGTGCCCCGCAGCACTCAGTCTTCTGGGTTGACTCTGCCTGTGTCCTGAGGCTGGGTAACATGGTGTCATGTCTTGTTTCTGACTGATACCCCAGACTGCAGATCCATCTTGTGTCCCACACCTCCACCCTGATCATCGTGCAAAGGGCAAAGAACACATCACCACATTTTATTTTACCTCTCAAGCTCTCCTTCCTTTCCTCCCTTGTCCCTTGTTTTTCTTTGCCCTCTGAGCCATGAACAGTTTGGGAAAGATTGCATGTGCCCTGCCCCTTGACCCCTATGGTGCTTGTTAGTGCATATTCCTAAGAACAAGGCATCCACTCACGTGTCCACGGTGCAGTCCCCACATTATGCGAAGATACAATCTCAGGTCAGTGCAGTGCAGTGATGTGTGCTTCAGGCTTCAGCTTAACCAGCTGTTGAGTATGATAGACCAGTCCTTTCCGGTCTACAGTCCAGCATCAAGTGCTGCCCTCTCATTGGTCTCCTTTGATCTGGGGCAGCTCCTCCGCCTTTCTTTACTGCTCATGAGGTTGATGTTTCTGAAAAGTACAGACCAGCTGATGTAGGTTGTCCTTCAAGTTGGCCCCTTAACATTTGCTTAAAGTGAAACAAACTAGGATGCCTCTTTCCTATTTCCTTTAAGTATATAATTTGCTGGACACTCAGCCTTCTATTAGATAGCAAAACCTGGCCATAGTGTGGAGACCTTGGTTCCGTGTGTGGGAAAACTGTTAGCATTACGTTGCTTGGAGAGCCCCTCTGCATGCCCCAGACGAGCTTGGATTACCACATCTTGGATACAGAATGCGTCCAAAACAAAAATAGAAAAAGGCCTTGGTCCCTGTCTGAATCCAGTCACTGCGCCTGCCTGACCTCCTCAGGTGCCTGAAAGTTCATGCTCCAAATACAAGCTTGCTTCCCACAGGCTTCTCATGTGAGCGGCAGTCTGTGTCCCAGCCTGTCCTCGCAAGGACGTGCTGTCACTTTGGGCTGCCCTCTTCCCTTCTGGGCCAGTGCTGGGAGAGGAGTCCTGTGTCACCCTGGGAGCTCAGGATGCACTGGGGAGGCCAGGTACTGAGCCCTGGAGGGTGGGGAGGTGATAGGTGGGAGGCTGCAGGCCCTCATGCTGCCTGTGATGAGGTTAAAACCTAGGGATGGTCTGCATCAGGATATGGCAGGAAAATCGTCAGGCCTGAAACTTGGTTTTTCAGCTGTTTACTTTCTCTGTTGGCTATGTACAGGGGAAAATGGTGAATTGTAATATATCGAACCATGTAAAATCTAGTCATGGGTATTTTGTGAGACCAAAATAGGTAAAGTAAAAGTGTATGCAGTGTCATCAACTCATCACAGGACTTTGGCCAAGTGAGCTTTCAGTGTGGAAAAAATAATAAAGCATAAAATCAACCCCATTGTCTACTCTGTGTTAATGCAGTGACATTTCAGAATGCTCTCAGGGCTACAGGAGGACACCCTGTCTTTCTGAATTTAAATCAAGATTATGCTGGGCATGGTGGCCCAGTCCTGTAATCTCAGCACTGAGGCTGAGGAGGACAATCGCTGCGAGTTTGAGGCCAGCCTGGGCTACATAGTGAGTTCAAGCTGTCCTGAACTGCATAGCGAAACTATCTAAAAAAAAGATTAAACAGCGTCTGAAGCTCAGTGTGTTGGTCGCACTAGTGCTATTTTAAGGACTCAGCAGCCACATGTGACTCATGGCTGCTAGGCTGGATAGTGCAGTCTCGACAGAGCTCTGTGAGATCTTGGTCCCTGAGCTTGGCTGCTTGGGAGCAGTGGTGGCAAGAGCCACAAGGGTGAGTTTGAGAGCTGAGGAATTTGGCCCTTGTCCTGCCTGTGGCTGTCCGTGGTCAGTCTGGAAGGCCCAGCTGGCCTGTGGGCAAGTGTCCTGAAGTACTTACAGCAGTGTGTCTATCTGGCTTGGTAGCTCAGAGCCTTGTGAGAGCAAGCTCGGTGTCAGGATGCTGGAGCTAGGTTTTGAAGAAGATTCAGCCATGGTTAGATGGAGGCAGTGATTCCAACCAGCACGTTGGATCTTTCCACTCATCCGGTCTCCCATAGGCCAGGCCTTGGGTGCAGGGGCAGATAAGAGGAGCCCACTTTCTATGGGAAAGGAGCCCCCATCTCATTGTTGAGGCACCTGCCACTCATGACCCTGAGCCAGGACCGAGCTGTGCTGTCTAGCAGTGAGTCCTGAAGCAGGACAGGGACCCAGCACTCATTCACGTGGATAGAGACCTTGGGCTTGGTCACTGTTCCTTACCAGTGGTGTGCACCTCCAAGGATACCCAGAATGTGGCCCTTGGCTCACCATTCCACAAAAGCAAGTGATGCAGCAGGACTGATAGCTGTCTAAGCCCTGTCACCGAGCTCCCAGCTGCTGAGGTGGTCGTGTGGCTAGCTGCACAGGCGGGAGTGGCTGGGTCCCTTTGAAAGTGCCTGTCTGCCTGTTGGTCCTTGCCTGTGTGTGCACTTCTGTCCCCGCCTCCTGGCCACCTCAGCTAAAGAGGGGAAGCTGAATAATTGGCCAGGCCCCGTCAGCTCATACATACCTGCCTCTGCCTGGCCTAGGATGTGGCTCTTGCACACGCTGCTCTGCATTTCCAGTAAGTAAGCCTCCCTCTCTGCCTTGCAGGCCATTGTGCTCTCAGTGCCAGTTGGATGTCTGTAGAAAGCCTCTGTCATTGTCTGATGGAGCTCAGGCCCAGAGGTCAGAGACTGCAGGAGCTTCCCCAGGAACCTCCCTCGCTGGTCCATTGGATCTTCTGCTCCCTGGGAAGTGTCAGATCTCTGAGGTTCTGTGCTGACTGCAGCCTCCAGCACTCTGCCAGCCTCCTCTGCAGGCAGGTCCTCTGTGAGTGTGGCAGCTTACACGGCCCTGCTACACCCAGCAGAGCACCAGTCTGCCGCAGAGCAGGTGTGAGCATTGGCAGAGACTGGGGGCAAGGGTGGGGGAACAGCTTCCTGTTCCTGCAGCCTTGGCAGGGAGGGGCACACAGCTCCTGCTGCCTGGGGTCCCATTCTGGTCTTCCCCTCCTCACGCCCCCAAGACAGCATGCTCAGGTGAGCTAGTGACTGCTCTGGGCCTGGGATTGGGTAATCCTACCCGCTGCTCTGGGCAGCTTACAGAGATCTCCACCTGGTCAAAAGCTTGGCAGGAAAATTGGTAGACATCAGATGCAGGAGTAAAAAGGCTCTTGGGAGCCAGCATTCTCCCCAAAGCACAGTTGGGCCAGTGAGCGCCAGTGTGTGAGGAAGCTGAGTCCATGGGAAGAGATGCAGGATTTGGGCCAGGTCACTTGGAAGTAGGCCAAAATCTGCCTAGGTCCCAAAGCTAGCCTACATTTGGGGACAGATTTTGATGCATGATATTTCAAAACCATCAAAACAGTTATCATGGAAACAGCAAAATTTGGTCAAACTTCCTGTGCGTTTTACAACTTAGATTCATCTTTATTTTCCTTACATACTGGGTGTGAGCAGCTCTTACCTTTTTATGCCTTATGGTTTTGATGCCCCATCTCCAGTATCTGGAGGTGGTGCTAAAACTGGATTCTGGGCCAGCCCCTCTCAGCACAGAGGAGGTGACTGAGGTCCAAAGAGGGACAGAGACTGTCCTGAGTAATAAGCAAGGGCCCAGGCCCCTGTCCTCCTCCCAGCTCGGAAATTCAGCTTGTGACACTGACCTTGGCACCACCACTCTGCTCTGGACTCCTCATCTGTGTCTCCTGCAGCCCCTTGGATGACCGACCATCCGTCACCTCCACACTTCTCAGCAGATGATATTTATTAAATCACTTCTGAGGTCCAGGATTGCTGAGGCCTTCTGGGGCCTTCTAACTTGAAAGCAGAGAGCAAGATGGAGCTGCTCTGCACTGCGTCCGCTTCGGTGCTGCCTGCATCACGGCACGGGGGAGGAGTGGGCTCAGCAGCTCAGTCTGGGGGGAGAAGTGCTGTACTGGTCCTGTTTGCCACTGTGCGGACCGAGGCTTGGCAGTGGGCCGGTCCTGGAGCACTTCGTGGAGGAGGTGAGGCTGGCACTGCTGTTTGAAAGCTGGCAGGAATCTGATGAGGAAAGGAGATGCCTGAGACCATGAGCCTAGGCCAGGGGTCCCACACCCCAGGCCTGGCTGGGGGTCCCCCAGACCGGGGCAAATCCAAGACTCCCTGGCCTAGCTCTGACCTGCTTCTCCCAGGCCTAGCCCCTGTGTCTGTGCCCCTGTCTCTTACCATGAGAGCAGATGAGAAAATGTTCTAGAAATTTTGAAGAGTCAGGTAAGGATGCACAGACTGGAGCTGCCCAGCACCCGGCCCCAGCCCTGCTGCCCTCTGAAGGTCAGAGCTGAGCTCCGGCCCATTCTGTGGCCACAGCAGCTTACTTCTCCCTCCTGGGCGTCTGAGGCAGAGTCTGCCTTGCTTATGGGAAGGGAACTGAGCTGTTGACCCTCGAAACCCACAAGGTGAAGAAGGAGGAACCAGAGTTCAGGACCTTCTGTTCTGGTGCCACCAACTCGGGCTGAGGTCCCAGGCCCTGCCAGGGTATGGTTTCTACCTGTGCCAAGCTCTACACTTGCATCCAAGTGTGTGCAAGAAAGCCCTGGTTTTAGGTGGACATGGTGACCATGGCAGTAATCCCAGCACTTTGAGAGGCTGAGGCAGAAAGATTCCAATTTGAGTCTATCCTGGGCAATTTGGCAACACCTTGTCTCAAAAAACAAAACAAAACAATGTAAAGCAAAACAAAACAAAACAAACGAGGATGGGGGATGGAGCTCAGTGCAAAGTCTTGGGTTCAGCCCCCAGTGTCCCCCCCCAAAAAAAAAGAAAGAAAAGGGAGGGAAGGTGAGAGGGAAAGGAAAGGAGAAAAAAGGGAGAGAGAGAGAGAGTGCCCTGGTCCTCTGATAGTGAGGACTGTGATGTCTTGGGACTGGTGAGAAAGAAGTGCTTTCTGGGGTGAGAAACGGAAGAGCAAAGGCCTGGGTACGTGAGAAAGATGGAGGGTGAGGTGCTGGGGGGCAGAGGATAGTCTGCTCTGGCATTGCCTGCGCCTTCCCAGGGGATGGCTGGGCCCTGGTGGTGAGGGCACGTGCCTGTCCCGGGGGTGGTTACAAAGGGGGCTGCACACACACGAACCTCTCTCCTGGTGGAGGAAGCCTCCAGGCCCTGAGGCACAGCAGGAAGGGTGCTCCAGGCAGAGGGCCCCAGTGGGGCATCCAAGGGGGCGGTATCCAGGGCAAGTCATGTGGGTAGTGTGAGCCCAACAGCTAAGAGCGTCTTGGGAAACTGGCTTGCAGGTGTGTGTGTGTGTGTGTGTGTGTGTGTGTGTGTGTAGGGCGTACGGAGGGCACATCTCTATGACATATGTGAAGCATCTGGGGTATAGGATTGTGGAGCATGTGGTCCATGGTGGGGGGTTGTGGGTGTGCATGGTATGTGTTGGGTGTGCACAGTATACAGGGTGTGTATGGCATAGACGTGTGTATGGGGCACCTGTGGTATGTGCAGTGTAGCACGTGGTGTGTATGGGGTGTATTGGGTACCAGGTATGGGTGGTGAGCATGGATGTAAATGAGGTGTGCATGGCGGGTGTGTGTTTATCAGCATCCATGGGGTGTGTGTGGCATACGGTGTGTATGGGGTGTGTAGGGACCCCTGTGTGGCCAGGCCTGAGAGACCCGCGGTGGCAGGTGCAAGGAGTTTGGAAGGCCCGGAGTGGCAGGATGACACTTGGATTTCCCACAAGGGCCAGGAGATGCCACAGAAGGTCTTGTCAGGGTAGTGGCAGTCAGACATGGAACGTAGAATCCAGGAGAGGGGATGCAGGGAGGCCAGTGAGAGGCCACTGCAGAGACCAGTCCAGAGGTGTCGAGAGAGAGTGGGGAGGAGAGGCACCCACAGAAAGACTCGGAGGAAAACTGGGGCGCCCATGAGTGCTTAGTGAAATGCCTGGTACACAGTAACAAGCTGGTGGCCCCTTCTGTTGTTAGGTAGCCTGGGGCGGGTGGGGCAGGCAGTCTCCATGCTGCAAGGTCTGGGCTGAGATGATGAGCTGTGAGCTCGAGACCGTGGGCAGGACTGAGGCGTGGGCTGAGGACGTGGTGTGCGAGCTGCTCTCAGGGCAGCCTCTCTGTAGAGGATTCTGAGCCGTGACCCACCCAGGGCCTTTCTGGGTGTTCTGGGCTGAGGGTCTGAACCCTTGAGTCTGTACCCAGCCAGCTCCCGCCATAGGTTTGGCAAAAGTTCATTGGAAGTAGGGATGACTGTTGTACTACAAAAATGTGCATTTAAAAGGCACAGTGAAGAAGGAGAGGCTGTGGGGGCCGAGGGAGAGCAGGTGGCTAGGCAGACAGGATGAGGGGTGACTGACTCAGTGGCCCACATGGCTGGAGACAGCCGAGGAGCAGCAATGTGGGTTGTGTGGTGATAGACACTGCTTATCAGGCCTCTTGTGACAGGCTGTGAGCAGGCTTGTGGTGAAGGACCACAAGGCTCGGAAAGAATGTGACAGACCCTCGTCTGCGGTTACCATTCCCTGACTCTGACGGCAGCTTTCGCACTATGAGCCTCTGCGCAGCAGCCCCTGGGTGGGCCTCACGCTGCAGGTGCAGACGCTGGAGCAAGGTGACAGCCCCAGGTCCTTCGGTGACTGCGGCACAGTCAGGATTCAAGCCCTGGACTGCCCACCTGTGTTATTTTCCGATTCTTCCTGGGCAGCGTGGGACCTCAGGGACCCAAGCAAAACCAAAATGTCAGGGTCCCAGCAGGACCAAGTGGACCAAGCCTGGAAGTCCCCAGGAACCAGCTGGCTCTGGGGAAACTCAGCCAAACATGGTGAATCCCATGGCTACCCCACACCCCACACACCGACACATATGCTCCTGTGCCCTAAAAGTGCTCTGCCCTGACCTGATTTCCAGTCCAAAGCAGGGCATTCAGGGTAGGCTGTAAGATGCACTGACGCCAAACCTGTCACGCATTGGCCACCAAGCCAGGTCCTGAGAGACTGTGAGAGAGGCAGACACCCAGTCTTCACCCCTGTGGGATCCCTGCCCGGTGAAGGGGACAGTTATAGTCCCAAGTCAGCAAGGAGGACAGTGACGTCAACTCGGACAGTGTAAGTGCGGTAGTCAAGGCCCCAGGTGGACAGAGCGTCCCAGTGGAGTCTGGAGGTCAGGAAGGCATGTCCTGGTAAGGACGTGGAGGAGGCTCTAGACCTTCCTAGGGCGGAGCACTTCAGCTGTGGGTGGGAAGATGGCTTCCGTGCGCCCTTTTAGACTTTCTCTGGCTGGGATGCCAATTAAATAGAGACAAGGCAGATGAACAGGATAAAAATAGAGTCAGATGAAAACAGGGTTAGATAAAGTTGCTTGTGGAGCATCCTGAGCTACAGAAAGGGTGTCAGGCATGGTGGTGAACCTTTGGAATATCAGCTTCTTGGAAGTCTTAGGCGAATTGCAAATTCGAGGTCAGATTGGGCAATTTAGTGAGACTCTGTCTCAAATAAAATAAAAAGGGTTCAATACACACACACACACACACACACACACACACACACCGCTGGGGTTTAAGGTAGGAGTCCAGGATGCAGCAGAGCAAGGAGGAGTTGACTGTCCAGGTCTGCAGATAATGGCTCCCAGGTAATAAAAACGATCTTTTCCCGTAAGTTACTAATGCAGGTTTCCTTTATTGATGTATATTTCTCTTGCTACAGGTAGCTTTTTAGAGTTACTTATATGCTCAGTTTCTTAGAAGAAGTCTGTTTTGGTGTGGCACTTCTGGTCTCCTACAGTTATGTTTTGGGGTGGTGTGCACTGAACCCTGTAGTAGTGCACATTACATTGGGCCATGGAGAGGGTTCTAATCCATTCATCAGATTCCCGAAGGAGGAGGGACTCATGGGCAGGGTAAGTTTGTTCATTAAGTGTTCTTGTGAAGAGGATCCCCAGGGAAATTTTGTTTCTGTTTTAATTGACAGAACCAGTTGTGCTTTACCAGAATACTTTCTTTTTCCAATTTTGTGGACGCTGTGAAAGACACTGACTGATTGTTTTTATCTCTATCTTTGGCTTCAAGGAAGCCTAGTTTGTGGGCTGGGACTGTAGTTCAGGAATAGAGCACCTGCCTGGCGTGAGTGAGTTCCAGGCTTTGATCCCAGCACCACAAAAGTATGCACGCATGTACTGTTTACCATGTGCTGATGCTGTGTGCGGAGCCCAAAGGGCCTGTAACAGAAAGCACCAGCATTCTTCAGCACAGAGACAGGCTAGCGGCTGACCTCCTTCCTGGTGTGACTGCGTCTGTCCCTTTTCTAATTAAAAAAAATTTTGACTTTTTGGGAGTGGAGGTTGCTGGAGAACGAAAGCCTCAAGGAGGCTCATCAGCGCTGTACGCTGAGCTCTGCTTCCAGCTCCTAGGTCTTTTTAAACCATCAATTCCTTCCTTCTTCTTTTTCCTGACCCATACCTTAAATAACTTTTATTTCATTGTATTGTGTGTTTATATGAGTCGGCACACATTCTGGTCTTCATCCACCAGATCAGGCACTGCTCAGCCTCTGGTTCTTCCTCAAAGTCAAAATGACTGAGAGAAGTGAAACATTCTGGGTTGATTCAGAACGAGAAGGCAGGCGTAACATGGGTGGCTGTGCAGCTAGAGACGCGGTCACTGACGAGGGCTTCCCTCACCAGCAGCAACAGGGGAACCAGGGTGTTGTTTTTTTGAAACATGTTTTTTACTGCAATAAATCTTTAAAAAAATTAAATATTCACCATGTGGGGGGTTTACAACTCATAGCTTGTATTCATATCAAGAAACAGAACATTAACACCTTGGTAATGCACTCCTAGGCTCGAGGGGACCCACTTTCCAAGGGTCCCCTTCTGTCTCTCTTAAATGGAAGCTTTCTTTCCCCCAGTAAATATTTCCTGCGCTTAAAAAGAAAGAAAGAAGAAAGACACTGTCTCTTCAGCCTCCCCAACCACTAACCCCAAGGACATCTAATAGCATAGATTATTTTGTTGTTTTATGCTTTGTATAAACGCTGTATTTTGCCGTGTGTACTCTTCAGTTCCTGGAGTCTTCGCTCAGCACTCTATGAGGTCTGCTCCTTATCATGGATTATTTTCACTGCTGTGTCCTGTAGTGCAAACACCATGATTTATTATCCATCATTTCCGCTGTGGATCTGTGTTGTTGCAGTCTGGGGCTACTGTGTTGTGAGGATGTGTCTTTCATGACTATGTGAACACAGTTCTGTTGGGTTTGTGTCTAACAGTAAAATTCCTCAGTTATATTGCTAGAGGTTTCTCAGTTTACTGATTTTTTTAAAATAAAAGATCTTCTTCACTGTAAATTTTCTATTTCATTGAAGTGTTTTC